GACAGACAGACAGACAGACAGACAGGCAGACAGACAGACGGCGAAGAGGTCAGCGGTTTCTGGTCTCGGGCTTACGGAGCTGGGATTTAAAACACGCCGAAAAAAACGACAAACGAAATAAAAAGGGCTCGCGGCCACGGCCCGTGTCGTGTCGAACCTCTTCCCCGGCGTTCTCCAGCAAAAACTGGCAGCCGCCGTCCGTGGTGACCCGCGACGACCGCGGCGACCGCTACTCGGCGACGACGGCCACCTCGCCGCCCATTCCATCTCGCGCTGGAAAAGGGGGTGGGGGGGAGCGACTCGTCGAGGGCGTCGTCAGGTCCGCGCCAAACACATAATCACCGAATTTCGCTGCCAGTGTAGGGCGAACAGGCGGGCGTCCCAGTGGCAGTGAGAGGGACGGTGAATGCCAGTAAGGCCCATTGAGCGAGAGAGAGAGAGGAAGAGAGAGAGCCATGGAACAATGACTAATTTCCACTTCCTTCCCAAGAGCGGCGCGCGGCCCGCTTCACTTGACGTGCTCGCTGGTGCCCGCTGGCTTGACGGTGATGCTCGCCTCCATGGAACACGCGACGCGGCCGAGCGGACGGACTTGGCCGCGCAGGTACCAAAATCTACGCCAGATTCTTGTTCTCTCGGCAGTAATTTCCATCCTCCGAGCCCTGGTTCGAATACCGCCGGATGCTGTAAGGGATAAGGGGGTGCCGACGCGGCCGCGCCAGGCAGGCCAGGCGCACCTGCAGGCCGGCAAACGCGGCACCTGGCTCTGTTTGTAAACAAAGCTGCGGATTCGATCTTCGATCCCTCGGCGGAAACGGCGCGGCATGGCAGCTAGGCCACGGCTAGCGCGGACAGGCCGGCCGCCAGAGCACATGCGCCCCCCTCGCGGCGCGCCGCACGGCGCCGCACGCCCTTGGCTGCCCCGCCAACACCCTCTCCGTTTCCACCGTCGGCCGTTTTCGTTATCTCTATCGGCCACGGCCGCGCCACACTTTCGGCCCGATAGCTGATCGGCTGGCCTGCCGGCCTGCCGGCCTGGCGGGGCCCTCCCTCCAGCAGCCCGTCGCAACGAGAGAACCAGCACACTCACTCCGAACAGTCCGTTTCGTTTCGACGCTCTGTCTCTGTCGCACTAGTGGGGCGTCGCGTAGGGAGTGCGAGAGAGACAGAGCGACGAAGCGATTTGTCGGAACCGCTCGGCAGTAAAGCCGTTGGCCCGTGGCGCGCCGGGCCGGCCCTGATTCGGACACGGCGGGCGGGGCGGGGCGGGGCGGGGGCGGCCGGTGACGCTATGACCGAGTTGCGGGCCGAGCTGGCGATGCACATTCTTAGCGGCGACAACACACACGCGACACCTCGCCGCGGTGGAGACAGCCCAGTCCAGCCCAGCCCAGTCCCGGACCACACAGCCAGACACAACACTCTGTTCTCCGCGACGCCGTCTGCAGACACGCCGACACGCCACCGCCGCGGAAGGCGGCGCGGCCGAGGGCGGGGCCCCGCGGAAGGCGGCGGGGTGAAGGGGCAAATCGGGGGTGGAATTGGAGCGGAAGGCGCGAATATATCTCGCAGTGATTGCGCTGCATCCGCCGGCTGCCTTGCAATTTCCCCTCCCCTTCCCCCTTCCGCCATGCGCGGCTGCACTGTCAAAAAACGGAAAGCGCTGGCCGCAAAGCGCTTCCGCGACGTCGACAACGTCGGGGCGAGGCGACCCTTGACCGCGCCGACCGAGACGCCGACCGCGCATAGCAGCGCGTTCCCGTCACCCGGTGCGGCGGCAGCCAGCGGCACGGCACAGGTGGTGACGTCACCAAGGATGGTGGGTGACGTCATCGGTCAAGGTCATCATCAACCGATGGGTAGATAGGTAGATGGAAAGATAGCCCGCCCCTCGAGGCGTCGTGCGTGGGTGTCTCCGCTCCGCTTGCTGCGCTTGGGGCAGGTCGCCCGCGAGGTCGCCCTGCGACGCTCCGTCTCTCTCGCGCCAACACGAGACGTCCGACGAGAGCGAGGGAGACGGAGTGCGGCACCCCGCCGCTGTCATGGAGGCCCCCGGTGTGTCCGACGTCGTGTCCGCGCAATGCCCGAACACGGCGCGCGCTTTGGGAAACGTGCCAATTCTCACCTGTGTCGGGACTGTGTCGAGCTGAGCTTGGAGGCGGCGCGGAGCGGCGCGGCGCGCTAAACGCCAGGTAAACGGGCGGCCCGTCACGCGCCGGCCGCCGCCACGCCACACGCCACGCCGCCGCGGCGGAGGGAAGCCCTTGAGAGGGAAAGCGACTCGGGGGACTTGGCCTGCAGCAGCGCTGCTCTCAGTGCAGTGCACTTCGGCGATGCACTGTTTTTGACAGTGGCGTCTATTCGAAAACATGAGCCTTGCCTATCAAGGATTCTAATTACGCAGGACGCGCGGCGCGGCCAAGATAGCCGCGCAGGAAGCTCGCCGCCACACTGCAGGAGCGAGTGCGTACCCTCGCAAACAGCAACGACGCCAAAATAAAAGCACAAAGTACGCGCCGCAGGAGCGCGGCAGCGCGGCCCAATCCAAGGCCCTCTCCTTGCACTTTGAGGATAATGGGCATTCAAGGAAAACCAGTCCGGTGCGCGGCTGCAGCTGCATGCGCGCGACCACGGTGCGAACGCGGCGCACCGATGCAACCGGGTAGCAGGGCGAAGACCACGACGTCGTTGTCGTGGCCCCGGCCGTCGTCGTCCTGGTACGGCGCGCGCTTCCCCGCGACCTCGCGGCACTTTCCTTGGCACAAATTGGTGGAATGAGACGGGGCGCGCCCCGCCGAATGCAGGCTGCAGGCCGAGCTGCAGGCCCTGAAGACATTACGGCGTGGCGGGGGCACGGCACGGCACGGCACGGCACGCCGCAGCAGCGATACACGACAACGGGGTCAGCCCGCCAGCCAGCCTTTCTCCTGGGTGAGAATCATGTCCACCAAGAGTGACAGCGACCCGGTGATGAATTGAGAAAAGCGAAGCGCCGCGTCGCGGAGCGATCAGCGCGCCGCCCTGATGGCCCTGCCGAGGACGAGGGCCGCCATGGCCGCCCATGACGAGCGCGGGGGCGGGCCGGGCGGGCCGCGGCGCCGCGCATAGTAACGACGCCGGCATGGCCGGGCATGGCGAACACGCGGCGCCCCGGACGACCGGCCGGTCCTTCGGTCCTTCCGACGGGCGTCAAACGCGTAACGCCACGCGGCCAGTGGCCGCCCACCCGCCGCGGGGGACGAGCACGAGTACGATCACGTGCAGGGACAGCAAACATCCCGCGCGCCGGTCCGCACCTGCCCAGCGCGCCTGCACCCGCCTGCACCTGCCCTTGCAGGCCCTCCCCCCCCTCCCCGCGTGCCCGCCCCGACCCTTCGACCTGCCAGCCCTTTATCACCCTGCGATACTACTGCGGCCAGCAACAGCCAGCCCTCGGCGAGGCCCTCGGCCACCCTCGGCTCGGAACACAGTTCACCAGGCCAAATCACAGGCGTTCCTGAAAAAGTTTTCACCCCCGTCACAAAACGAAGGCCCTTTGGTTCCAGCGACGGCACGGGGAGGGAGAGGGGCGGGACGGACACTTTCAGTTTCGCTTCGCGCTTCGCAGTCCGGCCGCGGGAAATTTCATGTCGGGACAAACGGCCGAACCTGGGAACTAATCAGACAATGGCCTCGCGCGAGTTGGGTTGCCGCGGGTAACGCGAGCACGAGGAAACCACAGGAAACGGGCATGGAAGGCTGTAAAAAGCAAAAAGTCGACGAGACACTGCTGTCAAGACCGCCTTAAGAATTTTCGGAAAACAGCACCGTGCGCCATCAGCTTAGAGAGGCGTTAGAGGCGACTTTCCGAGAACCACGTGACCACGTGCCACTGCACTGACAGGCGCAGCCCCGCAGCGTGACAGGGAAAGCCTTCGGCCGCTGGACATGCCCGGAACTTGACAACTGGAGTGACTCCGGCCGAGTCCGGAGCAGACGACGCTCCGCTCCGAGAAGGCGGAACGGAACGGATGCCGACGAGACGAACTGCCCGTACCCGAGAACCAGAGGCGACCACCACCGCGCCGGCGCCGGCTCAGCGGTACGCCGGCCAGCGTTCGGTTCGGTTCTTGTTGCCTTCTTCGGTCTTCGGCCCGGCAACAGCGCAGGGGCGCAGGGCCGCGCACGGTTAGGTGGCTTAGCCGAGTCGCCTTAACCCGAAACTCTTTCATTCAACCGCGCTCACCGTGTCGATGAAGTTCTGGTGTGGCGTCCTGTGCACCCCGTTCATGGTGACGGCCTCGGCCCTCGGGCTGTGTCGCTGCCTGTCACTGACGCGCTGAACGCGCTCGTTCTTTCGCTCGCGGTGCGCGCTGCGCTGCTCGCCGGACGGCGCGGGCCTAGCGAGAGACGCCGGTACTCGTACCCACCGCCATCACGGCACGGCCATGGCCATACTGCCCGGCCGGCCCGGCCCCGGCCGCCGGGCCACGGCGCGGCGCTTCGCGCAGCAGCTCCAGGCTGTCTCGGCTCGGCTCGGCACCGGTACGCCCAGCCCGGCTGCGCAGGCCGCGCCCGGCCTCGGCTCGGCCCTAGAGGCCTTAATACTTCGTCGGAGAGCGGCAAGTGAAGGAACGCGCTCTGGTTGGCTATCCCAGTCACGTGGGTACTAGGCGCCGCCATTTTGGAGTGCAGCCATTGCCAACGTCGGAAAAGCTTTCAATGCTTAAAAGTTAAAATTAAATTGTAAAGAGACTGTGATGATTTAGGTGTTTCATTAAAATTCATCAAAAATGTCGAAAACACTCAGAATTTAAACGTCTGCTGTGGCTCTGTTCGTTCCGTCGTTGTTGTGAAGGGACTGTTGGCACCCCTGGGAACGGAAGAGAATAACAAGCAACGCGCCAAGCACAAAAGCCCACTGTACTTGTCAAATTCGTTTCACTATTCTTACTGATCTCCATGGTTCGATTATCTGGAAAGAGGGATTCGCGTAAGGATGTTTCAGCTGCACAAAATAATAAAAGGCCTATTTTGCCTACGTTTTGATTTTATTAAAACATTAACATCCAAGTTCATGCAATCATGTATTCCATAATTCAAATAAGTTCATATAAAATTGGTGATACCAGTCTTCCCCGGTCATTGCATTCCCATACCCACTCAGGAGTCACACAGACCGATCTTGAACCCTATCCAAACAAAATCAATCATTAACAAGGACTCTTTGCATTTTAGAGAGGTGAGTACTGAATACTGCACAGGCCAGACTCACAGGCAGTTTTAACTTCTTACTGGAAATGATAAAGTGGGCTGGTTTATCTTCAGATTCTAACAGGTCGCTAAATAGAAAATATAAAGAATTAGACTAAAAGTTAATATGTGTTGATAATCATAAAATTCATTCATTCATTTGTTTCAATTGACTTACCCTCCAAATGCCACTATGTACCTACAAAGAGACTGTCTTTCTTTCTCTGGTAATTCTGTTGACAAGAAGAATGTCTTGTCCTTAAAAAAGTCTGCCAAAGGAGGCAAGTCATCTAAAGGACTTTTATTCATCTGTGCCTTAGACCATTCGGCCAATCGGATCTTAGCTTCTTCCTCACTATCCGCATCTGTACTGCAGTTGTATGCATCATCACTGGTTTTTCCTTTGAGGTCTTTTGTTTTTTTAGACTCATCATCAAGTTGCTTCTTTTTGAGATCCTGTTTTGCTTTCACTCTGAAATTCAAGTTCAAGAAACAATGAATTTTTTGGATTTTAGGTATTAACTTGAACCAATTTTTTGAGTGAATCCAAAATTACCTTTTAATTTCATCCTCTGAATCTGAAGAATCAGATCCAATGCTTCTTTTATTGTTCTTGGAGATGCTTCCATTCAAATCTTTATTCTTTCTTTCTTCAACTTTTTTCTTTTGCATGTTCTGCTTTGCTTTTATTCTGAAGAACATAAATGAAATTTTCTAACTAGTGTATTATGATTTAGCTGGCTATCTTGAGAAAATAAGGAGCGATACCCAAGGCATTACCTTTGAATTTCATCTTCAGAATCTTCTGAGTCTGATTTGAGTCTGGTGTCTTGAGTCGCAATATTGTTGCGTCTGCTTACAGGCGGCAAAGGAGAATCATGATTAATGTCCATGCCAGGTATTAACTCCCACACCTCAGGCTCTGGAGTACCACCTGAATTTCTTTTGTCTTTGTCCAAGAGAGCATAGCTGAAATAAAACAGCAGGAAAGTGTTACGGAAAATTCAAATTATTGTCTGGCATAAGATGCAGCTGCAAAAAATAAACCAACCTTCTCCATGGTAATTTTTTCCGTTCACTGTAACAATCATCAACCCAGTCACGACTGACAACAATTGCATTCACTCCTTGTGATTGTAACTGTTGCAATTTTGGAGTATTGGTAAATGCACAGCTGTAAGGTAAGAACAGTGATGAGATTTTACATCATTATTTTAAGAACGATAAAATAAAATGCTCTGCACATACATGAGATGAGTGCTAGACGAACGCCAATCTCCACAGTATTTAGAACCCATCGCAAGGGCTTTGTCCCTAATATGGGCTCTCCCCGGGTTCTGATAGCCACTAATGACAATTTCCACATCTTCAAGGAGTTTTGCAAATGGCTTGTATGTAATGTGGCTCCTTTTTTCATTAGATGCCTTTTGACTATTTTGCGAAGCTTTGGAAGTACTAGCAATATCAGTTGCAGCTCTATGTTTAGGTTGATCAGTGCTAACAGGTTTCTTTTTAACAATGTTTAACTTGGGACTATTTTCATTGGAGTCATCTAGGTCCTTTTTAGGTTTTTCTTTGGAAGGACTTTTATTTTTTCCTGGCTTAGCCTCTGTGTCTTCATCTTTTTTCGGCTTGTCTTTCTTTTTCTCTGAAATACGATAAGAATTAGATATGATTTGTATCCTCTCATTTAAAGGAAAATCTTAAGGCAAATGTTCCTTGCTATCTTACTCTGAGAATCAGTTACATCATCGTTTGTGTCTTTGTAAGTCGAAGTGTCAGGATCATCTTTCTTGGGTCTTCCTTTCTTTTTCTCTGCAATAAGTTAAGAGTTTGAAATGATTGGTATCCTCCCATTAATTAAGAGCAAAATGTTTAACCCTTGGTTTAACTAGAGTTCCTTGCTTGCTTACTCTGAGAATCAGTCAAATCGTCGCTCCCTTTGCGTTTTAATGGAGGCTTCTGCTGAGCCAAGTTGGCAGGGGAAGATGCATCTCGCACGGCCGCAGCACCTTGGTTATGGGAAATGGTCACTTCAGACATCATACTCTTTGGGAACACTCTATGCAAGCTTTACAATACGGAATATCTCAAATACCTGTCAAAGGAGCAGGAGCTGGTGAGGGTGAGGCCTGCAAATCTTTCCTTCTGGAAAAGAAGCTTCCTAAACTAAAGTCAGACTCTTCTTCATCTTTCAGGGTAAACCGCCCTAAAGCCTTGACAGGTGTATTAGGATTTCTAGTTGGCTCCTCTTTAGAGTCACTGGTGTGCAGTTTTATAAAGGAAAGACCATACTGCATGTGTTTATTGAAAGGCTGAGTGCAAACTACTTTAATGCGGTCCCACTTCTCTTTCCTCTCAGGATCTGATAAGCTGTCCCGAGCAAACATGCGCACACGATTTTTATTAGCCTCAGCACGAGCATCCATTGGAGTCATGAATGACGACATAACTAGTAGCACCTGAAGGATGAAGGATTTTGGAATGAATACGAAAAATACTAAAGAAACATTTCAATTTATATACATAAACAAACTACAATGTATAAATTTACCTTGAAATCATCCGGACTGCTTGTTCGGCTCACCAAAACCTCCACAAAAGCAGAGCTTTCATTTCCAATGTCAATACCCGTAATGTTGTAAGGTTCACTTAATTGAATTATTACTGTTTCTTTTTCTTCGCCAGCCTCTTTGCTTCTCCATTTTCGGCCTAATAACAAATTTTTTGATGGATAAGCCTGTGAACAGTAGGTTAGAAACATGTTGTATCTTTTAAAAACCCCTTATTTGGAAAGATTTTAGTGACAGTGGTCAAGACCTAAGAAAATACAACTTACGGGGTCTTCACTGCTACAACTGACAATTCTATCAAACTTTGCTTGCGGCATTATTGTTCTTCGGACTTTAATGTGTATCAACTCAACAGAGACAATGTAAACATCAGAAGCGCTTTATGTCCCGCCCTTGAGCCCAGTGCTGCGAAACTGGCGGGTTAAAAAAAGTAAAAATCATGAAAATGAACGTTCTTAAATTTTTTGAATGACGAGTTTAAAAATATTTACGATGCACGCCATTAAAGTAAAATATTAAAACAGCGTTTAAAATGGCTTGTTTCAGAGTCTTTCCTGGACTGTCTTAGTTTTTAAGGTTGGTCAAAATCAGCAGTGTCGCCTGGTTTCCGTTACCTGCAAATAACGCTCGTGGACCCCGCACCCGCCCGGTATGTAGGCAACCCATCCGGCAGGCGCCAGAGCTCTTGCCCACGCCCCGAGACGAGAGGATCTCCCCTCCTCATCGAGGGGGTAAACACTTCAAGAAATCGTGTACAGACTACTCGGTATTACGCTGTATTACGGGTGTATTACACGTGTATTACGGCCCTAAAATGCCCAAATTTGCCACGTTTGACCCAAAAATGGTATTACGATCACGTGTATTACGCGTAATACACGGTTTTTGTGTACAGGGTATTACGCGAGTGGTTACCCCCTCGCTCCTCATCTTGAATTGGGGAAAACAATCTGGCGTTGCTAAATCGCAACGCAGCAACGACATTTTAACCGTCAACAATGTTCCAATTCGAAAAGTCCGACTGGGTAGAGTCCTGACTACGACTGGGGGACAGGGCAGGGTCGACATGAGCCCCGTCCCGATTGAGCCCCGATGACCTGAGCCCCGGCAGAGCCCCGGCCGAGCCCGACTCGAGCCCCGACTTGAGCCCCGACTGAGCCCCGATGGCCAGAGCCCCGACCTGAGCCCGTTTTGAGCCCCGACCTGAGCCCCGTTTGAGCCCCATTTGAGCCCCGCGCCAAAAAGTTGCAATATCTTCACTAAAAAAGTTCAAAAATGGAAGTTTTTTGGCGTGGGCTCAAGCGGCTCAAACGGGCTCAGGTCGGGGCTCGACCGGGCTCAGGTCGGGTTCGGACCATCGGGGCTCAGTCGGGCTCGAGTCGGGGCTCAAGTCGGGCTCAAACGGGGCTCTGGCCGGGGCTCAGGTCATCCGGGCTCAATCGGGATGGGGCTCATGTCGACCCTGCCGGGGACAGTGCTGTCCAGCCGGGCAGGCTAGGCAACCCAACTAACGCTCTTCTTTGGCCCTGCGGCGGTCACTGTTTCTCGCGGACAGTCAGGGGACTGGACGGGACTGGCTGGCTCGCCAAATTTGAGAACTTTTGGTGCAGTTCGTTTGCCCGGAAAGGTGGGGACTCATTGCCGAGGCGACGATTTCGTCTACTGCTGGTATGACTGACCACGATTTACCATTTATGCTGAGCTGACGATTCGGGAGTGAGTAATTGTCCACCCTTGTCCACCCTTGTTGACAGACGGTGAGGAGAAGTTAGTGTCATCTTTGCTGGTGGATCGGCGTTGGTTGGCGTCCTTCGGCGAGGCTAATGCGGACGTAGGCGGCGCTCCCTATCCTTGTCGGTCCTTGTCTTCGTCTTTCGCGCCGAGCAGCGCGCTGCCCGGTGAAAAACTTTGAATTAGTGCAGGAAAAGTGCATCGGGATTGTTTTTAGAGCCGCCCGGCCGCTCACCACCTCGCCGCCGGTGGCTCGTGTTGTTGTTGTTGTGGCCAATGAAGCGTACATGCCAGTGGAAAGTGAAGGTCCATTGTAGCAGAGCAGTCGAAGGCGGGGCGGGGCGGGGCGGGGCGGCCAGGCACGAGCACCTCGCGGGTACCGGCGGGTACCTTTTGCGGCTCGCTGTGGGTGACCGAGGCGCCCAGCAGACTGATTCCGAGAGTCGATTATCGCTCTGTCTCTCTCGCACCTATACGGAACGCCCCGTGAGTGCGAGAGGGACAAAAAACGGCCGCAGTAAAGCGTCTGCCCACAGGGCGGGGGCCGCCGGGCCGCCTAGCCGGCCGGGCGAGAGTGCGGTTTGGTCGCCAAGACGCACAAAATTGCTTCTTCCGGTGGGCAGGGCGCAGGGCGTGACCCGTCTGCGGAATCACTTCCCGCAGAACTCGGTCACTGCCAAATAAAGAGTTCGACGCGGCCTTCGTGGGTTGTGGTGACTGCGGGTAGGGAAGGTGCGTCAAAACGTTTGTTGGCGACACTGTGCGCTTTCTCGTTGGTAGGATGGTAGGCTTGGTTTGGAGCGTGTGGATGCGGTGCAGGCGCAGGCTGCAGTGCACTGCCCCTACATGCACCTCCTTAAACCGCGCCTGGTCGTCGCTCTGTCTCTCTCACACTCATGGGGCGTCCCGTAGGGGTGCGAGAGAGACAGAGCGCCGAATCAGGAGGCAGGTCTCTTTGTTGACGGCGTCGTTGTAGTGTCGGACGGTGGCCCAGCACGCCGCGTGCCGTGTCGGTGTAGTCACTGCAGTCCGTTTGGCCGGATGGGCAATCCGTCGAGGCAGGCGAGGGCCGCGACGGCGAGGAGGCGCCAGAGGCCCTGGCCGTGGCGCCGCGGCGCTGTCGCCCGCAACTATGGCCAATCAGGCACAGAGAAGAAAGTCGAAATCCGAGCGGCAAGCGACGCCCCAAGCGCGGACGGCGTTCGGCCCGCCCGGCACACTGATTCCGGGAGTCGTCCTCGTCGCTCCGTCTCTCTCGCACTCACTCATGGTGCGTGCCCTGCGGTGCGAGAGAGACAGAGCGACGAAAACGGACTCTCGGAATGAGTCTGCCGGCCCTGCAGGCCACGCCAACGCCACGGCGGGCTGGCTCGTCCACTTGGCGAATTTGTCGCACGGGGCGAGTTGACTCGCTAATGCGCGAGAAAGCTGCGCGTCGGCGAGTCGGCACGCGCCGCCGCCGCGGCGTTTAACGCGTTCACCGCCCGGTTCACCGCCCGGTTCACTGCCACCGAAGGCCGCCGTCGAAACGTCACGTGACGTCACGGCGACCTGGCAGACGGACAGACGGACGCATCAGCGCCGGCGTAGAGACGTAAGGCTGCACAGCAAGGCACTGCGCAGCGTGAGGTCGGGATGGCGAGAGATAAGCGCTGGAGAGAAACACATAATACGCCGCTGGAGCGCCTCGTGTGTGTGATGTGTGCGGACGAGGGAGGGGGGGGGGGCGTCGCGCATCGGGAGAAAGTGTTGTCAATGCCAGGCGGGTCGTTAGCCTAAGCCTTCGCCAAACGTTAGTCCAAGCGTTAAGTTAGTCAGTCAGTTAGCTCAGACAAGACAATAGTAACGAACTTTAATGACAAAGAACGCACATTTTTCGGTGTGGTTCGCCCTAGCCCATTGCTACGCTGATTAGCATCAAAACGAATGTGACACTGTGCTCGAAGGGACGTGACATTTCGTCCGATTCGTTTCCTGGGCTCCCTGGGACACTGGGCGTAGAGCGTTCGGTTCGAATCGAAAGCCCCTCGGCCACTCGGCCGGGGGAAGTCCTCGCAGTGGCCTGGCAGAAATAAAAGGGCCCGGACTCGTCGCTGTTGCGTCGCTAGTCGTTAGTCACACCACTCGATACTCGAACAGCCTTTTCGCCGGTCGCCGTCAATGCCATCAATTACGTCCTGGTGTCCGCCATGTCTCTGCGCCCGGCGCCACCGGCACGGCGCGGCACGGCGCGGCACGGCCCGGCTCGCCGATCTGCCGGGCTTTCTCCTCCTATCTGTGGGGCAGGGCACGGCACGGCACGGCACGCGGCCCCACAGCAGGGCAGTCCTCGTGCAGTTCATGACCCCTCGAGGCGCGCGCACACGAGTGCGAGCGTGTCTGCTGCGTGTGTGTGGCGCGAGCGCCCGCCCGCCCTGTGAGCCTGTGTTATGCGTGTGTGTCTGTCTGTAAGTCTGTGTGTGTGGAGATCGGCCCCATGCTGAGCGCCGAAACCATACTCGGGTCGGGCTGGCCGCGTTTTTCACACGGAGAAACGTACTCGAACGTAGGACATCAGCCTGTTATGTCACGCAAAGTGGATTCAGCTGGCAGTTCACGAAACACTTCTCTGTACTATTCAAAGGAATGGTCACTATAAAACAAACATTCAGTACACTCTTAAGTTTTCGGTGTGTACTGTCTGTACTGAGTACACTTTAGTGTGTTAACTAATTTTTAGCCGGTGAGCATGTTCAGTTCAAACCGAAGTGCACCGGCAGGAAGTTGCCCGGGCGTACAGCCGCTCGCGGCGACGGCCGGTGGCACCAAGGGCGACACACCGTGGGGCCATGGGGTCCAGTTATGCCCGCCAAGTGCCGTGAGGAACAGCTGAGGAGCAGCGGGGCGCCGGGCAGACTGATTCCGTGCACTGCTTTCGTCACTCTGTCTCTCTCGCATCCTCACGCGACGGCCCACCAGTGCGAGAGAGACAGAGTGACGAACTGCCTGCAGGGCACCGGTCGGGCCCCGCGGGGAGAGCTTTTGCATAACTTGAGGAATGCTTTTGTGAAGTGCGGCCCCGGCCGGCCCCTTGCGGGTCCCCGCTGACCGAAGACTGTCTGGCGATGACAGCAGCTGCTCTCTCCGGAAGAAATGCACGACGGGCCGCGACAGGCAATGACATTGGCGCCTCAGTCTCGTGACAGGGATGAACAGCAGACTGATTCCGAGAGTCGTTTTCGTCGCTCTGTCTCTCTCACACTCATGGGCGCCCCGCACAGGTGCGAGAGAGACAGAGCGACGAGAACGACACGACAGTCGAAACAAGGACCGCCCAAAAGTGCGAACCGTTCCGCAGCTCGTCGGGGGCAATGCAATCCAATTGGCAATGTATGCACTATCGGCGTGCCAGTGTGCCAGTCTCGGCCCGATGAGTGCACCGGCTTGGCTAGCTTCGGCCACGTTGAATTAATCTCGGGGCGCAAACGGCGTGACAACACCACGCCCCGTCGCGGTGTCTCGCTCTGTCTCTCTCGCGCGCACGGCGTGCACGGCGTGTGCCATGGGCGGCCATGGGGGTGCGAGAGAGACAGAGTGCGGGCGGCGGAACCGCTCCACTGGGGCGGCGCTACTCGCTACTTCGGCCCTTCGCTTCCGCGCCTCAGTAAGCCCGCCCATCGCCGCGCTGTCTCTCTCGCACTCCGACGGCACGCCCCCCGAGTGCGAGGGAGACGGAGCGACAAGACATGCAAATCGTAACGGACGGCGAATTCAATTACGGCGATTGCTGCTGTTCCGAATCTGAATCACCGAGTCTGGCCCAAGCCTTGTGGTCGTTATGGTCCAAGGCATGCCGCCGTACGGCACCGTAGGGCCGCGGCACCCCGATGACGAGCACTTGTCTCTCTCGCACTCATGGGCCGCTCCCGATAGATGCGAAAGAGACAGCGACGAAAACGACTCTGGGAATCAGTCTGCGAGTTGGTGGCCTTCCCTGTGGAGGTGGACATTTATTGTCTTGTGGGCAATTGAACGGAGGTCTTTTTGGTCAATCGGGGCTGCTCTCGGAGGCACTCGACGATGGAGGGGAAGAGCGCGTTCTTTCCCAGACGCCCCGTTGGCCCCTTGGCGCGGTGGGCCGTTTCGGGTGTGACCTTTGCCCCGCCGGCCGCCCCGCCGCGACACACCGTGAATGAAGCGCCGCCCCCACCAGGCGCTCCAGTCTGTCTCTCTCGCACCCAAGCCCGACGCCCCGTGAGTGCGAGAGAGACAGAGAGAGGGCGAGGCTCCAGGCGTGGCGGCGGTGCTTTGCGTTTCCCCGCGCGGTGGCGGCTGGCTGGCGGCCGGGGGCCTCCAGGCCGGGCCCCCAGGCCGGCGGCGGGGACTGCTCCGCACTGCTCCAGCTCCAAGGCGAGGGCCCTGGTTGCTCCAGTCCTCCAGTCGCCTCGAGTCGGGCGGCAGAGTCTGATCGCGGAGCAGCCGGTCCCAGCGCAGCCCAGCGCAGCGCCGCGAAGCCCTCCGTCCAGCACCACGCCGCCAGCACCACGCCGCCAGCACTGACCAGCCCCACGCGCAGCCACGCCCGCCAACGCCCGCCCGCGCACCTGCAGGTGAGAACGCCACCATGCCGACTGATTCTGCGTGGCCTGTCGTCGCTCTGTCTCTCTCGCACTCGTGGGGCGTGCCGTAAAGGTGCGAGAGAGACAGGGAATCCGCCTGCCACCACTCGGCGCACCTGGAAGACGAGTCGGGGCGAGTCGGGCGAGCCGTAGTAACATCGTGGACGCCAAAGTCTGTCGCCGCAGCCACACTGCCGACCATGTCCTCGGGGGCGGGTTGAGCGCGCTTCGGCAAATGACCTGCTATTTATTGAGAGTAACGACGCCAGATCGCAGTAAGGTCGATAAGTGCAAGTCGCGGAGTGACGTTGGTAGCCGCGCAAGCTACGTCCAACCAAAGAACAAGGACTCTTGAACGAGAGGAAGTGAGGACGCGCGCGCTGTGTGGGCGTTTCTGACTTCCGACTGACCCCGAGAGTCTTGTTCGTCACTCTGTCTCTCTCGCACTCATGGCGCGTGTCGTTCGCGCTTCGCGTCTCGCGTTCACACTCTGGCTGCCCCATCTGCTTTCTGGAGCGGGCCCGGCCGTCGCCGCGTCGCCGTGTCAGCCATGTCACACACCGCGATTAGGGCCAGGCCAGGCCGTAGCGCCGCAGCGTTACCGGCAGTCTCACTCCGAAAGTCGTTTCCGTCGCTCTGTCTCACTCGCACTCCTGGGGCGTTCCGTACAGGTGCAGGAGCGACGAAAACGACTTTCGGCTCAACGTGGCCGACGCGGCACGGCGTTTGTAACAAAGGGCAGGCCTGCTAAATGGCGCGCCTTCTCACTTTTTACGACAACACAGTCTCCGTAGGGGTGCGAGAGAGACAGAGTGACGAAGCAGTGTTCGGAATCAGACGGCTGGAGCTCAAAACGCGTCCGGGATTTTATCCGCCTCCACCGGTCTTCTGGACCCGTAGCCGCGTCGCCCCAAGCAGGCTAAGCAGACCCTTAGCCGAGCCAGCAGGTTTATGAGTGTAGCGTCGCACGCGACCCCGTGCTGCGTGGCGCTGCGTGGTGCTGCGACACGACACGCCGCCCCTGCGCGTCCTCCCCGACACTGCGACACGCGCGTGACGAGCTGCTTTCACTGCAAGTCGGCTCCAGGCCCGTGACAGGGCCCGACAGGGCACAGCCCGGGCACAGCACGCCCCTCGGCCAACAACAACCCACTCGCGACTGCAGGTGCTTTTTCTGTATCCTCAAAATATTTGAATAATGCGCTGTACGATAAAAAAATGGGTACTATCAAATGTGTTGTTGTTGTCGTCGTCGTTGTCGTGGTCGTCGTCGTCGTCGTTGTTGTTGTTGTTAAGGTTAGGTTAGGTTGGACGTGGCAGTGCGGGGCAAAGGGCGTCTGGCACGTGTGCGAATAATCGAGACACTTTTCCACGTCTATCTACCCATCTAGCTGCTTGTCTGCTCTCCCTGGTTGAGGGGAAGGGGGAAAAGGGGGGGGGGGGTCGCCGAGGAGTTGCCGCGCTCTCTGCACCTTCTAATTACCGATGTCGGCTGGAAGTTGGTCACCGAGACCAGACCGCATCGCGCCTGCCAAAATTTTGGTTGCAAAGTAATTTTTTCTTAAAATGAATTCGTATGGTGCAAGTATGTTCTCTTGGGTCAAGAAACGACTTTTTCGGGCATTGAGTGATGACAGCAGGTGCACAGTGGGCCAAAGGACCGGCGCCAGCGGCCAAAACTCTAGACGCGGTTTGAGCTCCAGAGTCGCTAAATAGGACTCGAACCAAGCGTGTGACCCCACCTATAGATTCCTCATTCGGAGAGCAATCCATTGATGGGGTCGGGGGGTCGGTTCGAGTGACAAACGAGCTCAAAACGCGCCCGGTACTTTGACCGCCACCACGGTCCTCTGGCCCACTGTGAGGCGGAGGGATGGGTCCTCGGCAAACTGCACTGATGCCATCTCCGGGGCGTTCGCTCGCGATCTGCGCGCCCAGCCCCGGGTCGACCCTGGATGCCAATCTCAATGCTCTTTTTCTCTCTCTCTCGTTGAACGCCACAATAGCGATGTTCGTCCCTTCCTGCTTTGACGGAAACTGAGCCAGGAGGGCAGTGGGAAGGAGGCCTGCTATGCAACCGGCATTCCCTTTCCGTCCAACACTAAACGAGGACATCCTATTTTGAGGGGCTGATCCACATTTCGGTCGAGTTGACGAGTACTTTCTTAATCTGCCTTTTTTTATGAAATTGACGCCAGTCGAAGGGATAACCGTCAACAACATATATTTAATGGATGAGAGGATATGGTCGTGACTTGGATTCAAATCATCACGGACCGTTCCCTAACGTTCTCCGAGGAGGAATGGAGATGTGACACTGCGGTGCCGGCACGGCACGGCGCCCCAGGGCCCCGCAGGGGAGCGTCTCGCACCAGTGCCCCGTGCTCCAAGTGCCCCCCCCCCCCCCCGCCCCCTCCGGGTCAACGCGGCGTGCAATGCCGAGCAGTGCACTGGGGCGGACTAGGGCGGACGGCTGAGATGAAAGTGATGACTTCGTGAGAACCCAGTGCCAAGGGCCAAGGGGCCACCGCAAGCGCTCCGGGTTCGGTCCTAACCCGCGGTTTGTCGCAGGGTTTAGGGTTCGACGCCTTGTCAACAGCGAGTGTTTCGGTTTCGGGACGGAACACTCTGAAAGTCAATGGCGAAGATTCTACTTCGACTGTTAGTGAAGCCTCACAGCATTAAAATTTTGAATAAAGGAGCCGTTTGTTGAAAGTCGAACCTAAACCTCGAACCCTCGGACCGCGCGTTGCGTTTACAGAGCTTCTCCTCTTGCTTCCGAAAAAGGTGACGTTTGCTGCGGAACAAGTGCATCCAGCGATACAGAGATGCAGGGGGAGGGGAGGGGACCCGGGGGGACCAGGAAGGAGGAGGGTGGGGCGGCTGGCAAGCTGGCAATCAGTGAAAGTGACCCTGACAGTGGCGCTCCGCTCCGCTGTGCTGGCGGCAGGGGCTGGGGGGGGGGCCTCCACCCGCACCATGCTCTGCTCTGCCGGCGGCGCGCGAGCGGCACGGCATCAGGAAGGGAAGGGGGAAAAGGGGGGGGGGCAGGTGACTGGCCGACTGCCTGGTGGATGAATGGGACTCACGGGGGCGCACGACGCGGAGAGCAGCGGTCCGCTCGCTGTCCAACTCGATGCAAGGCTTCTTTCTGGAGAATCAACAAAAAAGGTCCATCTGAAATGGCATTCAAACTAAGTGGCCAGTGCTTCTTTGAGCCTCGTCTTGTTTTCGGCGGCAGTGCTCCCATAGTGTGACTTGAGAGTGGCGCGCCCCGGAGCGGAAGTCCCTCTGCTCCGCGAGGGCGGCGAGGGCGTTCTCGGGGCGCTCCTGACTGACTTTCCTTTCCTTTCCGCAGCGCCGCAGCATGCTCCGCGCCGTGCTGCTGGTGGCCGTCACGGCGATGACGGCGTCCCCGGCGCGTTGCTCGCCGCTCCAGGTGACGTCGGGCTCGTCGGCGGCGTCCACGGCGCTGTACCGCGCGCCCTCCACGTACCGGGAGCCGGGCCGGCCGGCCAGGAACTCGGTCATCATCACCAGCCAGCCGGTGCGCATCGGCCAGCAGCTCGACCTGGAGGCCTCGGGCAGCGCCCCGGTCGGCGTCGTCGCGCAGCCGCCCCCGCCGCCGGAGGGCCCCGCCACGCCCGCCACCTGGAGGCGACAGCTGTTCGTCAGGACCACGCTCGGCACGGGTGAGTACACAGCGTGCACAGTGCAACGGCATCCCTCCCTCTCTCTCGCACTCACGGGGCGTCCCGGGAGGGTGCGAGAGAGACAGAGCGACGGTCTTGAGAGGGAAGGCTGCGTGGACGCTGGCTGACGCGAGCCCCGTGCAGATAGGCAGCCCCGCCGGCCGGAGTGCGCGTCTGCGTTACGGGATGGCCTACCTCGCAGGCGCCATGACCGCCCAGCTCGCCCAGCTCGCCTAGCCGAGTCCTACAGTGGGCTACAGCCCTGCCGCCGCACAGTGGGCCAGGAGACCGGTGCGATCAAAATCCCAGTCGCTAAATGGGACTCGAACCGAACGTGTGACCCCATCAATAGATTGCTCTCCGAACGAGGAATCCATGGGTGGGGTCACACGCTCGGTTCGAGTCATGTTTAGCGACTCTGGCGCTCAAAACGCGTCTAGAGTTTTGGCCGCCGGCACCGGTCTTCTAGCCCACTGCGCGCCCCATGCTGCTGCACTCCAAGAAAGCCATGACAAAGGCCGTGCGCGTGCCCTGGCCCTGCTAATCCCATGCAAACGGTGCGCGCGCCACTGTGACAGTGCGGCAGGGCGGCAGGGCAGGGAGCAGGGATAGGGATCTCTAATGCCCAAGCGAGTGAAAGTACCCCACGTTTCTCTGGCCGGCGCCGCCCTGCGCCGCCGCTGCCCGGGCTAAGTTCAAGCAAAAGGATCGCGTTTTTGTTGTTGCCCCATGTTGTTGCTGCCCTTGTTGTTGTTGCTGATGATAGCGTTTGCCGGCCGTTTACGGCATTTCTTCGCGTCGCCCTCGCCGCCGGCCGCGCGGCGCATTTCTTTGTCAAGGCAACAGAATCAACAACAACAACAACTCTTTCTCGGAATTAACCGCCTTCCGCGCGCCTTCACGCCTTTCCTCGCTTTCCACCGTCCGGCCGTCCCGTCCCGTCCGGGCCCTTTGGTCCTTTTGACACGCCTCGGACTCCGCGGCGGAGCGGGCTGCTCGTCGCGGTCCTGTTTTTTGTCCTTTTCGTCATGTCGCGTCGTGAGCCGGTTTGCATCATTCCCGTGATCGACTGATCGGGCGAGATGATGTGTATTTTCGCAACGGAAAAGAGGAATGTTGGCAGGCGTTTGGCGTTTGCGTTCCTAGTGATGCACACGACAGTCTGTTGCTTGCCAGCCTTCCTGTCTGTCCGTCCGTCCGTCCGCCCGTCCGCCCGTCCGCCCGTCCGCCCGTCCGCCCGTCCGCCGTCCGTCCGTCGCCCGTCCGCCCGTCCGCCCGTCCGTCCGTCCGCCCGTCCGCCCGTCCGCCCGTCCGCCCGTCCGCCCGTCCGCCCGTCCGCCCGTCCGCCCGTCCGCCCGTCCGCCCGTCCGCCCGTCCGCCCGTCCGCCCGTCCGTCCGTCCGCCCGTCCGCCCGTCCGCCCGTCCGCCCGTCCGCCCGTCCGCCCGTCCGCCCGTCCGCCCGTCCGCCCGTCCGCCCGTCCGCCCGTCCACCCGTCCGCCTGTCCCTTGACCCTTGGTGCGTCGCCCACTCCGTTTAATTGTCCGTCCGGATAGCGGGCCGCGCCGCCGCGCCGCCCTCGCCGCTCCCGAACGGGCCGAAACGGGCCGAAACGGGCGGTCGGCGTAATAACTTCCACCAAAAAATGACGAGCATAATCCTTTTCTCCGCCTTTTGCTCCGCCTGGCTTGCGGCCCAGCCCGGTCGATTTTGTTCCGAGGAAGACAAGTGCGCGACAAGCGGGCTGGCTCGTGCGTCCAAGTCCCCGCCACGGCGTGGCGGTCCAAAGCACCGCCTTCAACGGCACAGAGTGGGTTTCCATTTCCCACACCGCACCGATGTCCCTCGAAAACGCGATCCCAGTGTGTGCTCGTCGCCCTGCAGACTGCTTCCGAGAGTTGTCGCTCTGTCTCTCTCGCACTCATGGGGCGTCCCGTATAGGTGCGAGAGAGACAGCGACGGCAGCGGAGCACGGCGTCGTCCTGGAGTCGTGCGCTGGGCGGCGAGGCGGGCGGCGGGCGTGCGCTGTGCCAAGCGGCGCCAGGCTGTTCTCCGCCCGCTCCGCCATGGCTCCGCGGCGGCCACGGTCACTGACCCGTTCGGTAACAGCGAGGGTCAGTGTCACATGCGAAAGCGAGCGCAGAGCGCAGGGCGGCGCAGGGCAGCTCAGGGCCCGGCGGCTCAGAGGTTTCCCCGGCGAGGAGCAGGAAGCACGCGCACAGTGGGCCAGAAGGCCGGTGGAGGCGGTCGAAATCCCGGACGCGCTTTGAGCTCCAGAGTCGCCAAATGGGCCTCGAAACCGAACGTGTGACCCCCAACAATGGATTGCTCTCCGAACGAGGAATCCGTTGGTGGGGCTCTCGCGGGGGACTTCCCTGGCTCTGCGCGCCATCCCGCCCGCACTCCCGGTTGCCAATCGACCGGGGGGGGGGGGGGGGGCCGAAGCTCCGCGTTGTTGTGCTTCTGAAATCGTCTTCCTCTCTTCTTCCGACCGGACGAAATCGCGAAATCCACGGCGTCTTGTCGTGGTGCTCCCCGCCGCCCCGCCGCCGAGGAAGTCCTCCCGATGCAGTGTGGCTGCGCTGGCTGCGCATGCGCAACACAACGGGCGAAAGTTTTGTTGCTGGCGGGCCATGCAGGGCACCGCGCACGGCAGCCCCGCCCCGCCCCACCCCGCTTGTCAGTTACGGAGGACAGGCGCTTTGTCACGTCACAAGCGCCAAGCGCGGGGAAAGGAAAGGGCGGTGCGGAGAAACGGCGGCGCCTGGAAAGGCAGGGCGCGGGCGCCGTCTCTCTCTCTCTCTCACCCACACGGGACGCCCCGTGAGTGCGAGAGAGACAGAGCGACGACTGTTCGGGATCAGCCCGCCGTCCCAAGCATCAGGCCACAATGGCTGAGGACGTCCGAAACAGTCGGGGTTTCCTCTTCCTCCTCTCCGTCAACGCGGTCTACACCGAGGCCTGCACGCCAAGCGCCGCCAGGGGCCAGGGGCCAGGGGCCAGGGGCCAGGGGCCAGGGGCCAGGGGCCAGGGGCCAGGGGCCAGGGGCCAGGGGCCAGGGGCCAGGGGCCAGGGGCCAGGGGCCAGGGGCCAGGGTCAGGCCAGGGTCGAATGAAAGGCCTGGTAGCCGTCCGTTTCAATGAGCCTTCGCCGGGCCCTCGGCTGCCCTCGGCCAGCGACTAGGACTAGTGCTGAGTGACTCACCTCTTCTGTTCGGCCGGTGGCTGCGGTGGCTGCAGACGGCGCGGCGGCGGGGATGCCCTCCATCCACGTGACGTCCAGCTCCACGGCGCTGGGCGTGGGCGGCACCGTTGGCGGCGGCATAGGCGGCCTTAGCGACGCGGGTACGGCAGTGACAGTTGGACACAGACACCCTCGTTTGGCTCACTCGGCGCATGGCTGCGCATGGCTTTGATGTTTGGACCGGCAGGGCGGGGCGGGGGCCTTTGCCTGTGGGACTGTGGGACTGTGGGGTGGTGGCAGCTCGGAGAATGCCGATGCATCTAGAGGTAACTGTGGATGACGAGTTGTCTGATCGCCTCTCCCGTGCCCGACAGGTGGCACCCCCGTCGTCAACATCGACTGCGCGGACGGCAAGTCCTGCTCCACCACGATCCCCGTGCGGCCGCCGGCCGCCACGCACAGCCCCACGTTCAAGCCCTACTCCCAGGAGGTAAGCGGTGGGCACGACTCTCTGAATCAGTCTGCAGCGGTAAACAGGCGCGAATAATGCGCTTTTGCCTTCACTTTCCCTGTCCCTTTTCACAGGTCCTCGACAAGTTCCTCAGCGACTACGCCACGGTTACGACCGCCGGGAATGGCTCGGACCCCGCGGCCAACGGCAAGGAGCTGCTGCTCCAGTTGCAGCAGCAGCAACAGCAGCAGCGGCAGCAGCACGGCGACGCGGCGGCGGCGCAGGCGGCGTCTCCGGACGGCGACGGCGACATAGAGCCCACCAACAGGTACGATGGGTGGCCTACTCGCCGGCGCGATCGGTGAAGCGCGACTCTGGTGATGTTGCAGTGCAGTACCGTCACTCTTTCTTTCCCCAGGCTGGCCAACCTCTACCTGGAGGACAACGCGGAGGGCGCGGACAACAGCACCGAGGACAAGAGCAAGTCGGTGCAGTGGTCCCTGCTCAAGTCGCAGCACCACAAGCACCCGTACGACGACCACAAGGGCTGGGTGACGCTGGAGCCAGTGCCCTGGTCGTCCAGCCATGTGTCCAAGTGGCAGAGCAATGTGCAGCCGGGCCGGCCCTGGGACAACAGCCCGTCGCCCAGCTCGTGGCACAACGACATCGACCAGCGGCCCGCCGGCCCCGGCCCCGGCCACGGGCCCGGCAGCTACGCGCCGCCGCACCACGGCCCCAACAGCGGCTACCACCACAACCAGAACACGCAGAACTTCAACGGCAACGGAAACGGCAATAACTGGCCCAGCAGTGGCGGTGGCGGGCCACCCAGGCCGTCCTGGGGCTCCCTGGACGGACCCTCGCCGTCGCAGTGGGACCAGGACCGGCCGGGGCCGTCGCAGGACTACCGCCCCGAGAGGCCGAGCAGGCCGTCGACGTCGTCCTGGGACGCCAACAGGCCCAACAAGTGGGAGCGGCCGAGCCAGCCCGACCAGTGGGTCAGCTCGGCGGACCCGGACATCATCACGGACAACAGCCCGCCGGACTTCCCCGCCCACCCCGCGCAGCAGGCCTCGCGCCCCGGCGGCTCCTACTCGTACGGCCCGGGCGGGCCGGCGTCGTCGGGCAGGCCGTGGGGCGGCGACCGCCCCCACAGAGAGGTAAGGGATGGATCCTGGGTTCCTGGGTTCAAACACCCCTCGGCAGACTGATTCCTGGAGTCGTTTTCGTTGCCCTCTCTCTCGCACCTATATAGGGAATACTCCATGAGTTCGAGAGAGACGGTAACGACTCTCGGATTGAGTCAGCGGTGCGGCTTTACTCATGTTCTCCTTGTTTGACGCTTCGCAGCCCGGCCGGCACCCTCCCACGCACCCCGAGGAAGGCGACGGCACCTGGGTGCTGCTCTCCTCCACCAAGGGCTACTCCACGCCGCCCAGGGGCCGCCTGCCGCACCAGCGCGCCCTCACCGTGTCCACGCACCGCTCCGTCAGGCTGACCGTGCTGCCGCCCGAGAACGGCACCAACATGACCACCTCGCACGGCGGGCTGCTGGAGGTGAGGGCCAACGCAACGCAGTCATGACCACGCCGACGACGGCCAGCTACGACCATGGTCGTAAGAACCGCAGAAGACTAGTGACAATCACCACGACCAAGACGAGACAAACTCGAAGACCCGAGCACATAGACCCACACCACAAGCATGCGCATGCCCACCACGGCGATGAACTGAATGTGCCAATCAATGACCCTGACGACGACCGACGCGGTGATGCCGGTGACGACAGAGCCCATCCCGAGGACGGCGACGAAGAGACTCTGACGGTGTGGTGCTTGGCCCCGCAGGTGGAGGACACGCAGCACACGGTGGACGAGTCGCAGCGGCTGCACGCGGCGTCGCTGCTCAAGCACGCCTTGGACCAGCACCACAACGCCACGCTCAGCTCCTACGAGACCCTGGTGCGCGAGGCCGCGCGCGTGCACGAGGCCCAGCTGCTTAAGCAGACCCTGGAGGACCGGCGCCTTGCCAACGCCACGGCGCTGTCCCCCGCGCTCCTGCACTTCCAGCAGCAACAGCAGCAGCAGCAGCAGCAGGCCGACAAGCGCGCCGACAACAACACCGCCAGCAGCATCCCCGCCGCGGCCACCATCGCCGCGACCGCCAGCCGCGCCAAGGCCAAGACCAGCAAGTCCAGGACCAAGATCAGGATCGAGCCGATGCCTGCCCCGCTGCGCCAGCACCACGCCGACGACGCGGCCGGCTTCACGGGTCGCGGGGAGGGCTCCGGCATGGCGCTCAAGGTATGCTGCATTGTTTGACGCCGCGTGTGCACAGTGGGCAAGAAGATCGGTGGGGGGGGGGGACTCTATACGCGTTTTGGAGCTCCAGAGTCGCTAAACAGGACTCGAATCGAGCTTGTGACCCCACCAATGGATTGCTCGTTCGGAGAGCAATCCATTGGTGGGGTCACACGCGTGGCTCAAGTCCCATTTAGCGACTGGAGCTCAAACCGCGTCCAGGATTCCCCGCCGGTCTTCTGGCCCTCTGTGGTGTGGTTGGCTGACGCGCTGACACTGACGTGCCTGACGCCGAGCTTGTCCTTCGCCAGGTGGTGCGGCCCAACACGCCGTCGCGGCGCTCCATGGCGCTGGCCGCGGTGGGGGCGGGCCTGCTCCCTGCCACCATGGCCATGCTGGTGCCCATCATGCTCGGCCGGCGGCGGCGCAGCGCGCCCAGCGTGGACGAGGACGCCGACCTGTACTACGGCAAGGCGGTGCAGGGCACGCTGCAGGGCACAGTGCAGGGCACGGCCTTCGACCAGCCGCTCGAGGTGGAGGACAGCCCTCCCCGCGTCCTGGACTTGGCGTCGCTGCCCTCGTCGTCCTCGTCGTCCTCGTGGCCGCGGCCTCGGCGACGCCGCGACCTGTGGCAGCGGCTCAGCAGGATCTAGTCTGTTCTTTATCGGCGCCAGTTTTGATCGACGGGACACACTGACTGACGCGTGACGCCTACTGTGACGCGGGACGCTTTTGCTGTGACACGTGACGTGACGAGCGACGTGACTCATGTGATCCTGCTGAACTTTAACGTCGTGACGACGACCAGAAGAACACCCCAGACCGGAAAGGCGCACCCAGACGAGTACGGACAACAGCCTGGGCCGATAGGCACAGCTACGGCACGGACACTACTAGACGAGAGAGCCGCGAAGGCATTTTGGCTTGACCACCCACACTTGGACGTTCTGAACGGAAAGACGAGCGGCCGTCGTGAGTATAGCGCGTGCAACGCAGTGCAACGAGACGACGTGTGCTTCCCCCTTTACCTGACGTCATGACCGCTCGCTGAAGCGTGACGAGAAGACATTCACTGACAAGCCGTGACTACCAACGACGGCCAACTTTCCTTTTTCAAACCACTGACTTGAATATTCAAACCACTGACTTGGATAATCTCACTTACGGACAAGAGGAAGGGCTGTTGTTTTTTAAGTTCCTTGACTGATTGCAAAATTAGTCAGCATAGATGTATTATTGTGGTCGAAGAGTATTGTATCGTGAAGATTCATGTACAATAATGTGTAAATAGTATGTACTTTGTGAAAGATCTATTTATTTTTTGTATATAATTGTTGTTATTAATTATATTGTTTTGACCCAGTCAGGCGATCCCTTGTCTAATCTGTCTAACTCTCTCCTCAGTTCATCTCCTGTGACAGTATGAATCAAGAATACGAATAATAAGACTGCACTTTTGTTATTGTTTCATGTTTGTTAAATTATTTATTTTGTGTAATATTTTTCTATTACGATTAAAAGATTGTTCAAGTAATAAACTGCTCACGTGAAATTTATTACTCCATTACTCAAGTGTCCTCTCCCGGCTGGCTGAGAATTCCATAATTTTTCTGCAAACTGAGGCAAACTCAAAATAACAGAAGCAGGAAACCCGGCACACCATGACGAGCCGCCGCAAACTGAGGTGGTTCAGGGGCTGGAAAGCGCAACCAGTAGAATCTCCTTTGACCTGGGCTGGATAGGAAAATGCACAGTCAATCCACAGTCAAATGCAGTTCTCCTTGCGCGTGAATAAAATAGGGAAGGACGAGGACCAACCGAAATTCCTGAACTAGCAACTTCTCATACTTGTCAATTTGTGCCACCACTTTATTTCTCATCCTTGCCAAGGCCCCTGGTACCTGGATGTGAATATGAATGTACAGTTTGTTGCTTGTGTGTCAACTGTGTCAAGCGAAAGCGAAACGTCTTTGGGAAAAGAGCAGAAAACTTTCCATTTGCGTTCCTGTTTGCGTTATTTTGTTGCCAGTTGGTTGAAAAAGGTAACCTTATTACTTTTTAAAAACCTTTGATCTCTCAAGTAATGGAAGAAGCCCGTTACCAAGTTATTTTTCTGAGCTGCTAAATGGAGGCCATGTCAATAATTAGCAACTTTTTACTTTTTCAATAAAATTTGCTGTATTTGTCTTAAAGATAACTCTTTCTTAAAGTCTTTTTCTATTTTCAAAAAATGGGTTCGCTTAAAAAAAAAAATAGTTTGCATTGATTCTAGATAAGGAATTTAATGTACAAAACTCACTATATTTAAATCACTTGGTGTGATTTCATTCCTCCATCTGTCATTACCTTTTTCTTGTAGATGTAAGATAGTCAAATAAAGCTTTCCAGCCTGAATTATATTTTGTAATAGTTCCGACACCAAGTGTGCTGGGGAAATCACCTGATTTGATGCAAACATCACCAGACGATCCAGGGCCATCAAATAGTCCTGGGAATACGAACTCAAGTATGCCACTCAATCCAGCAATGAATGATGCGCCTTTAGAATTTAACAAAAATAAGGGAAAACCACCTATGCCTATTATGAATATTGGTAAGTGTCAATGTTTCTAATTTTTATCATAATACTCAATAAGATATTACTGACATAATTTGCTTGCAGACATTGATAATGACAACGACAGTGATGATCTAGCCATCATAGGAGAAGAAATCTTTGTGCGTGGTAAGGGTGATAGGGACAACAGAGACAAGGAAAACCAGAAAGAAAGAGACGAAAGACTGAGGGAGAGGGATAGAGTGCGCGATAGAGATCGAGAAAGAGAACGTGATCGAGGACGTGATCGTGACAGAGATCGAGATAGAGAAAGAGATCGAGAAAGAGAACGCGAAAGAGAAAGAGACCGGGAGCGAAGAGAACGAGACAGAGAACGCAATGGCCGAGATAGAAGAGACCGCAAGACTGATGACCGCCTTGAGGTATGTAAGGGCTATTTCAAGAACCAAGCTCATCTTGCTGAAGCTTTACCTTTCTGACCTATTTAATTTCATTTCAGGGAAATAATGGTCTTCTGCCAAACCCAGACATGATTGGACCAAATGGAGGAGCCATTCCCATGGTGCCAATGCCAGGGCCCAATGGTGCACCACTGGTGGGCCCAGGGCACGGCCCAGGGCCTGGCTTGGTGCCACCACCCTCTGGGCCTGGACCAGGGGGTCCTGGACCCGGACCCATGGGACCTGGGCCTGGACCCATGGGGCCCGGACCCGGACCTATGGGTCCGGGGCCCAACATGTGGGGCAGCATGATGAACCCCATGATGGGCATGATGGGGAACATGATGGGCCCCATTCCTCCCATGGGAATGAACATGGATCCCACCATGATGGGCATGGGGCAGGTGAGTCAAGTTATGTCTCATGCTCAACTATAAACAATCAAAGTGATTACTTAACTCCGTGTTTTTCTCCACCGTTAGTTTGGAATGATGGGAGGTATGATGCCTGATGGATCTGTAATGGGACCAGATGCAGCAATGATACCACCTGACCCCTCCTTGTTGATGGGGCCTCCACCTGAAGAGTCAGGTCTGGCCAAAGAAATTGTACATTGTAAAGATTGCACCTTATTTCCACCCAATCCCAATGCACCACTTCAGTCTACTCGAGAAAGGCCTTTGGGTTGTAGAACTATTTTTGTTGGAGGCTTGCCTGACAATGCCACTGGTAAGTTTCAAACGTGATCCATTTGTCATGGACAACTAGTTTTTTCTAATATACAATTTAATTCTTGTTTTTTCTATTATTTACAGAGGACATGATTCATGAAATATTTCAGCGGTGTGGTGAAATTCAAACCATTAGAATGAGCAAGAAAAATTTCTGCCATGTTCGTTTTATGTTTGAAAGTTCGGTAGAGAATGCATTTTACTTCTCAGGTTGTAGTACTCTATTTACTTTTACTTTCTTTTCTGTGTATGTAGTGAAAAAAATTATTTATTGAAAATTTACTGTTTGTTTAGGATACCGCATGCGCATTGGATCAAATACAGACTCTCCAAACACAGGAAGACTGCATGTGGACTATGCACAAGCTAGGGATGACTTTCACGAGTGGGAGTGTGCTCAAAGACAACTGCAGCGAGAGGCAAGACACCGTCAACGCATGGAACAAGAACTCTTACACCCACCCTCCCCACCTCCTGTTGCACACTATTCTGAGCACGAAGCAGCTGTCATTGCAGAGAAGATAAAAGGTATTATGTAATTCAATGTAATGATGATTTTTCTAAAGTCTTCCATGTTTCCGCTTGGTTTCCGCTTTGCTAATGCCTTTTTTGTCTGTAGTGGATGAAACCTTCGCCCAGTCAGTTCAGACTCTCATTACTTGGTTGGAGCGTGGCAATTGCAACAAGCGTAATTCCAACCAATTTTACTCAATGATTCAAGCTGCTAACTCTCATGTTCGAAGACTTTTGGGAGAAAAGGCGCAACTGGAAGAAGAACTACAAGCTGCTAAAAACCTGTTCAAAGGAGGAATGCAGGGCCTCTTAATTCAGTGTAAGTATATAATGGTCTCTTCTTCCCTAAGTTCATCCAACACCCATCAGGTTTGTTTGGTAGTAAATGCTCAATGGATGTGCCTCTCTTGGTGTAAAATCTACTAGGCTGCGATGGACTTGGAAGCAACACACACATTTGGTTTGTTGTGCTCTGTGGAAGCTCATTGGTATCCCAGGAAAACCTATCATGCGTTTCTCTTTCTTTAACTGATGTATCATATTGTGGGTAAACTGTAGAAGAATTGAGGAACATGTGGCTGACAATTGTTTTGAACACAGGGGACTTTACACTTCCTATTGTTTTCCTCTGTTTGAAAGGATTGCATGGATAGCTGATCTTAACTGAGTTTATCTAAATTTCTGTTGAGCTAATTTACTTACATTTTTCATTTACTGTAAATTTAATTTATTAACTGACTGATGGTTCAGACTTGAGCGTATTCATTCAGTTTTTTTGTTGATTTTTCTGGTTCAAATTTTACATTTTTACTGTTCTAATAATGTAATTTTGGTGACATTTCTTTTTAATTTTTTTTTAGTTCTATGGGCATTTGTTAATGAAATTATGTCTTTGACAATGGACTTGGCATCCAGATCAAAGCAATAATTTCAGTTTACCTGTAGTTGTCAATGTGTTACTAGAGGTGCAAATTTTGAAAACAATTTAAGTTGTTTCACATTTATATTGACCCATTACAACTGGAAAGATGTGTCAGTCCTCTTTGAGCAAAAGAGTCATTTTGATGTGTGATGGGAGTATGGTAATCTCTGTGTATTGGCTTTGCTTCTGAACTTGCTGTGCACTCCACCTCCGCATCCAGCCATCGTGTGCATGGTATGAGTAATTTTAAATCTGCCTCAGTCAATTTAATTTAGTTGGAGGACTGTGTTGGCCCAACTATAACTATTCCCTTGCTGTCAAATTTGTGAACAAGGAGTCTAACTTTTGTTGATTAGAATTAACTTCTGTTACCAGAAATAGTCTTTGTTGTGCCAGCACAGTGAATATGATTCCTATCTAATGGTATTCAATGGAGAAAACTCTAGGGCATGTAACTCTTCTGCTGAATAACTTGACGGCCCAGCATTCAATTCAGGTACCAACAGCTCACCAACAGCTCAGATGCCTACGTATTATAAACTGATTATTGTTCCCTCAGAACAAAAAAAGCAATTTTTATTCTGGTTACCTCTTTCTGAAGCCTATGAGATGCATCAGATTATCCAGGAAGTATTTCTCAAAAGTAATAAATGTGTGTAAATCTAACCAGTCGACCTGAAATCAGAGTTTCTTTGTTTTCAATGCGATCATACTTGCCTGCACTAGAAAAAAGCTGTTTCAGTATGCTATCTGTTTTTATTAAGAAATTTTTTGTGTAGCTTACTCTTTTTCTATTTTGGAGTAGAGGGAGAAATGATCCCAAGAGTTCTTTGACTAATATAATCTTTGCATCTAGGCAACATAACATAGGGGGAAGGCTGTAGGAAAAAAAGAATACAAAGTTAGCTCGCATTCCTCCATTGTCGTAGATTTTAAAATAATTTTGTCTAATGCGAACTCTGGTTTTCGGTTTCTGGCATTCACACATTTTGAGCAAGTGGTATAGAAAGCATGTTTGCACTGGACAAATCTCTCCTCTCCTGAAGCCCATCTGCCCAGTTCTTCGCCCGGACATCAACTTCAGCTGCCAAGGGTATTTTTGATCGATCTACTGCTAATACTGTATGTGCCTGTTTCCTTACCAAAGTCAGTGACATCGAGAGAGTATTTACGTCAGCCAGCCACAAGAAAGTCTGGGACCATTTCACGAAAGCTCAAAGAAAAAACATCGATTTGTGGAAGAAACAATCCATGGTATGTACTTATTTGTGAGAGGCAGAGATTTAGAAACCCTTTCTCTTCCTCGTGATTTGTATTGCTCTGCATTTGTAGCACAACTCCTTTCCTATGAATTAGCTCAAACATTTATTTTCTACAACATATCTAGCTGCAATTGTTCGCAATATCCCATGATGTGGGATGGCCTCCAATACACTCTTGCTTCCTTGCTCTATGTTACTTGCTGGTTGTGAACAGTTTTAACTTTGTTAATATGCATGTTCATAGAACAATGATGTAGTCCTTTGTTGTTCATAGTAACTTTCCTTAGACATCTCTCAGTTAACATAGCAAATGTATCTTATTTGTTCTTAAAATAACCATATTTTGCTACACCTCAGGACTCGTATTAAATGCTTTCATTTAATATCACTTGACCATGACCTATGCCACAGCCTACTAAACAAATTCAACTCACCTTCAGTGTTTCATGTCTTTGCCTCACATGGTTTTCCTTTCTGTATTGCTATGGTAATTATAAAATATCACTATCTTATAAAAATGCAACTTGTAGTCCATCTCAATCATTAAGTTGTCTGGAAGGGTGCCTTGGCTATGTGGTAGGTATTATTGGGATTCATTGAATCTGGTGGAAGGAAATTTTTCCCTCATTGATGAGGTAAGTTTGGGTTCCATCATTTAACACTAAAATGCTATAAGAGGTAAGTGATTCCAAGGCAAGGATATCATCAATGTAATTTTAAGCCCAACAACTTGTTTACCAAGTTCAAGCCTCCTTCTCAATCAAGCTAAGTTTTCTATATTTTATTTTAAATTATCTGCTCCTATGGAGGTACAGGTTTATGAGATGAAAATGTGACTGGAAATTCAATGAATCTTTGTACAATGTATCTGTAGGGTACCTAATCATTACTTGTCTTGAAAAAAATAATTTCCTCTGTTTTTATATTTTTGGAACAATTTTCACCTGCATTATGATGGCAAAATAATGATATTGTTATTGTATAAGATGAACAGTTTCCCATGTACTGTATATTAATGGCTTCATGGCGTTTGATTACGTCTTGACCTTTTCAGGAAATCAAAACGATTCAGCTAGAGGATGCTGTTCTGCACAATGAAGAGATGGAATTGTCTGATGAAGAGGACTCTATGCAGAAAAGGAAGCAAAGAGATGACTCCACAATGGTGTCCATGGATGAATCTGATTCCCTCAAGGTTTGTAAACAACCTCTCTATCTTAACTTATAATCCAACATCATATTTGTCAATAAGTTCACACACTGTTACATCTGGTTGACAGGAAGAGAATGATAGTTTACGTTGCCAGCTTGAGGCCTATAAGAATGAGGTGGATCTTGTTCGGTCAGACTTAAAAATTGAGTTGAACAGGAAAGAGCAGCAGCTTAAAATGGTACAGCAGACTATGCAGGGTTTGCAGGAGGTATGTATAACAGATCTCTTTAATAAGAAAGAGACTGAGAAGTCTGAAATATAGAGCTTCCCTTACTTGTAATATTTTTGTCTTAGAAACTAATGGAAGGCCGCCGAAAGCAAATGGATGATGAGGTGAAAATTAAGGAGCTGATGGCCCGTTTGGCTGAATCCACAAAATCTAGTAACAAAAATGATGTCAGTATTGATGGAGATAAGTCAACTGAAGGAGATGTTGGAGAAGAAGGACGTAATCAAACTGACAAGGAAACTTCTGAAACAAGAATTGACACAGATGCCATGTCCAGAATTTCAGACAGGGAAGCCAAACTCATTGGTGGGTAACTTCATGAGCTTGTTAAGATGTCTTTTTTCTTGTTTTATAATAATTTTATAAATTTATTCCCAGGCGTTATCTCAGCTTTTCTTCATGTGCATCCATTTGGAGCAGGGACTGATTATGTGTGGTCTTATGTTCAGAAGATTGAACCAACTTTGAGACCCTCTGAAGTAGAAGCTCTTTTAACTCAATACCCTACAGTGTTTAGACAGGAATTGTGTGGTATTGGTGCAAATATTGAGAGAAGGTGGCAGTTTTCTGGGTTCAGTTAACTGTTTCTACATTCTTGATACCAAAATTTCATTTTTTCCCCCCCTGTAAACATAACCACCACAATTCCTTAGATGGTAGCTTTTTGTTGAATTTCACTGGAAAAGAAAATTTTATGTACACACAATTTGTTGGAGGCTAGTTGTACAATTTGTCTATTTCTCATTGTACACATAAATAGTTCCTTCTCTTTTTAGTAATTGAAATGAATCACTGTTTTATTTTACCCAATTCATGTGAATTGTAACCTCTGTAAATTCTAGTTATTAGTCCATATGTGTTCAGAAGTATAGCTTTTGCTGTGCTTTAGATTTTTCAGTCAATGTTTATGGGTAATCACGAACAAGTTTCACTCAGGCCTTGTTTATGAAGGGAGAGTGTCTATTACTGCATGTCTTGGGGTACTTTATTCATAAAAATGATCAGTTGTCATTGTACTTACAGCTTGTGAGACTAACCCCAGATGTCTTTGAACCCCATTGTATTTGTACATGTAAAAGTCGTACAAGCATATGAGTTGCTGAAGTAAGTTGAAGTAAAGTGAGCCTGTCATTCTGTAATGGAAGTGGGCTTTCTCAAATCAAGTCAAGTTCAATACTGATTGTTTAAAGATTGCAACATTTTAATCAGTTTGAAAGGCACTTTTCTTCTGTTTTTTTTAAATTACTATTCACATTATGCTCAAGTAACATGTTCAGTACTTTCCGAGTTTTTGATGGTCTCTGGAATCAAATGTTGTTTCAATTATCTCTCAATAAATGGGGAATAAAATATAAAATTTTTCCTATGCTCATATTTTTTATGAATTCTCAATTTCATAATAATGCATTTTAGTCGATTTACCTTAAAGTTTACTGTACTGTATTCTACTATTTAGCGAGGACCCTTCTCTGTAATTGTGCATTTCAGAGCTGTGATACTATTTGATAATCCCGATTTTGAATTTGTCACCCAAGGAAAGGTTGTCTAATTTCTAGCCAATGCTGTTTTCATCCCTGCAAAAAAAAAAAAAACTAAAGAAAAAGGATGTCTTTCTTTTTCTGGCAGCTACCTGTATGTTTACTTGAGCATATACTGTATGCTCAGTTTAACCAAAAAAAAAACAAGATGTCTCCCCCATTGAAGTGCAATTTAATTCTCTTCTGAATTCAATTAATCAAGTTGTGATATCTTTTAGGTTTACTGTTTTACTGTGATTGCCGCAGTAAGACCTCTCATATTCTAGAAATAAACTATGGTTCTAGCATATGCACTATATTTTGTATTTTATCCCTACTCCATCAAAAAAATATTTTAAAAATGGCAATGTGTCATTGAGTGGCTTGAATTTGGCCCTACAGTATTTACTTTGTACATTATTTCAAAATTGCAGTTGATTTAACCAAATGATGGATGTGGTAGAGAAGAGACACTAGGTCATTCTACAGTTTAAACTTATTTTTAATGGATCTCTGTCAAAGTCAGATCGTTCTTAAAAATTGTCACAAGCTGTACAACAATAACACAAAGACACTTCGAAGGCACAGCATTTCCCTTCAAACGCGTAAAGAGGATGTGCATTTTGGCAGTGGCATAAGTAAAAATTACAGTAAGTAGACTTTTGTTATCAGGAGCGGTCCATGCGACCCGGACGAGTTCCCACAAGTGAATGGTTGTCTCGGCCCGAACGTTCACGACTTGGAGCCTCTCTTGGAGTCGGATGCCCCGGGCGATGTCCCGGGTGCGGATGCGTCCGAAGCCCTCCCGCCAGACGACCCGGGCGCGGCGGGCGCGGCCTCGGCCTGGCTCGGCCTCGGCGACGACGCGGCCTCCTCCGTCTCCGCCGCCTTGAACGAGGTCCTGGGCGAGGCCGCCGCGCCGCCCCCCTCGGACGTCTTGAGCGACCCCTTGGGGGAGGCGGTGGCGGCGGCGGCTGCGGCGTCCGAGGCCCTCCGCGAGGACGCGGCCGCCGCGTCCGCCGACGCCCTCCTCGAGCCCGGGGGCAGCCCCAGCCCCGCCGTGCTGCCCTTCCTGCTCTCCGCGCGCGTGCCCGACCCGTCCTGCACGTCCCCGTTGGGCTCCTCCAGCGCCGCGGTCATGTTCTCCGTCGCCTGCGCCATCTGCTGGATCTCCTGCGAACGCCAGTCACCGTCAGGGTACAGCCCCAGAGTCGCTAAACAGGACTCGAACCGAGCGTGTGACCCCACCAATCGATTTCTCGTTTGGAGAGCAATCCATTGGTGGGGTCACACGTTCGGTTCGAGTCCCATTTAGCGACTCTGGAGCTCAAAACGCGCCCGGGATTTTGACCGCCTCCTCCTCTGGCAAGTTCACCGTGCGGTGCCCTGCACACCTTGTTGACGATGGCGAAGAAGTCCCTTTCGGCCTGCGCTCGGAACTCGGCGCCCTGGTTGGTCTTGGGGCCCTTGACGGCCGCCTCGTTGCCATGCACCTTGGCCTTGAGCCTCTGCTCGCGGCTCTTGCCCTCCAGGATGCGCTCGCGCCTGCTCTCTCGCTCGAACATCTGCCAACAACACGGCCAGCTTTACCTCCTGCAGCAGCAACGGCGGCAAGGCCGGGAGGAATGGCGAACAGTCGCGGACTCATGGGGAGAGGGAGGGCAATGGACCTCCCCGCTCCCTAGCAGTTTGAAAGGTAGGCAAAAGGGCACACTTTGCCCTGCAAGAAGGCAAAATGTGCTGCTGTGCCCCTCCCTCTGGAGGGCCCTGGATCCGCCCCTGCTGGCGCAAGCGAGCGAAGAGCGCGGGACACTTACGTGCGTGAGCAGCGTCTTGTCGTTCTTGTGGGTGACGGCCAGGTTCTCGGAGAACTCGATGAGGCACACGTTGCCCTTGTCGTTGCCGATGGCCGCCAGCTGGCCCACCTCGTGCACCCGCATGCAGCGCAGCGCCTCGTCGCACACCTTGATGCTGAGGCAGGGCTCGCGCTGCTGCTGCAGGATGTCCCACACGTCCAGCACGCCGTCCATGCGCGTCGTGAAGAAGACCGACAGCTTGGTGGGGCTCCAGCAGCCGTCCGTCAGCAGGGCGGGGTGGTAGCTGCAAGGGAGGGACCGTAGCACAGTGGGCCAGGCGGCCAAACCTCTAGACGTGCATTGAGCTCCAGAGTCGCTAAATGGGACTCGAACCGAACCTGTGACCCCACCAATGGATTGCTCTACAAACGAGGAACGACGCCGTGTCCAACTCACCTCGTCCACATGATGGCGCTCTCCCGGCAGTCCTCGGACCAGATCCTGGCCGTCCAGTCCCCGATGGAGAGGAAGTTCTTGATGAAGCCCGGGTTGCGCTGCAGCGCCACCACGGGGCCCGGGTGCGCCTTGAACTGCATGGACATCTTCTCGGCGGGCGTCTTGCCCTTGCGGTTGCAGGCCAGCACCATGCCGTTCTCGGTGCCCACCATGAAGCGCGTGGGGATAGTGGGCTCGTACTCGAGGCTGGACGCGCCCATGGCGCGCGACAGCAGCTGCTCCTCCTTGTTGGCGTCCAGCACCAGCGTCTCCAGCGGCTCCTCCAGCTTGCGCGTGTCCCACCACTTGACCATGCCGTCCATGGACGACGAGAAGAACTCGGTGCCCGACTTGGAGTTGATCCAGATGCAGTTGTGCACCGGGTCGCGGTGGCTCGTCTCCAGCACGGACACGTCCACGGGCTCGGCGCCGCGCCGCGTGTCCCAGCACGCCACTTGGCCGCTCAGCAGCCCGCTCACCAGGCTGTGGGGGTCCTTGGGGCTGTACTCCAGGCAGGACATGGCCACGTTCCACTGGAAGGTGTGCTCCGGCTTGTTGGGGTTTTCTGAAAAACAAGTTGGCTCTTAACGGGCCAGTGGGCGCGGAGCGCGGAGCGCGTGCCGTTGCGCAGGCGGCCGCGACGGGTTGCCTACCCCCACTCTTGCAGGCGCTAGGTGGCAGGGCTGGCGAACATTCCCACCACTATGCCCTAGTTTTGACAGGGTTGCCAACCTCAGCCTAGCTTCTTGGCAACTTCTCGACAACGAAGCCAATCTTATCTATTGTGTAGCGGGCAGGCTGAGGTTGGCAACCCTTTCAACACAAGTGCATAGTGGGAATTTTTTCCCCTCTCAAGCGGCAGCACTGCCCCGGTGCCGCGAAGCTCCCTCACCGACTTCCCAGATGTACGACGCCGTGCTGAGGTCGGGCGGCGCGCGCTGGAAGTCGAAGTTGCAGTGCGTGACGGCGATGCGGGAGCCGCCGTCCGGAGACCACGACACGTGCGTCACGGGCCTCTTGACGGGGCAGGGGTCGCGGTACATGTTGACGGTGCGCGCCGAGGACTTGTCCACCAGGCAGCTGGGCTCCAGGTCGTCGAAGTACATCTCGTAGATGTTGAAGGCGTTGTTTTGGAGGATGCAGAACTCCATCGACTGCTCCGGGAAAGTTGAAAGACACGCCGTCATTAGGCACCGCGAGATCGAAACGAGTGCGCCGTCACGTCGCAGTTCAAGTACCGTACGTTGGAGAGCTGCAGCACCGTGTTGATGTAGCTGTCATCCTTCTCGACCTTCTTCCGGAACCGCTGCGTCTGCTCCAGGTCGGCGATGTTGATGTCCCGGGGCCAGCCGCCCTCCGTGTGGTTGGCACCATGCTGGGTGTACTCGGCCCGCACCGTGTTCACCTGCACGACGCAGCGCTTCCATTAGGCCTAACCTAACCCAACCTAACCCAACCTAACCTAACCTAACCAGCCTCCCGAAGAACGCGCAAACTCGCGCAGCAGCCAAAGGAAGCCAAAACAACGTCAAAATAATGTGTTTTTGGTCAAAATTTTGACTCCGTATTATTTTGAAGCAATATTGCAAAGCACGCCACTTGCCTCGTGCTCGGCGTACTCCTTGCTGAGCTGCGTGCCCCTGTGCACGGGGTTCTCCAAGACGTACTGCTGGAGCAGCTCCTTGTTGGGCGCGATGTTCTCCAGCAGCTTGGTGCCGCTCTCGGAGAAGAGGCATTGCCGCCCGAAGTCGCTGCGCTTCTTGGTGTACACGTACTCGATCTCCATGGCCTGCCAACACAGTGCCAACACAGTGTCGCGATAAGCCACGCTGGGGAAGCACAGTGGGCCAGAAGACCGGCGGAGGCGGTCGACATCCCGCACGCGTTTTGAGCTCAAGAGTCGCTAAACAGGACTCGGGACCGAACGTGTGACCCCACCAGTGGATTGCTCTCCGAACGAGGAATCCAATGATGGGGCCACACGTTCGGTTCGGGTCCTGTTTAGCGACGCTAGAGCTCAAAACGCGTCTATAGTGTGTTGTCCGCCTGCGCCGGCCTTCTGGCCCACTGTGAAAAGGGGCTGCAAAGCTGCAAAGCCGCTCGTGCTCCATGAATAGACTCACGAAGTGGTATTTCCGGTTTTTACGGCGACTTGGGTTCACGAAGGATTTGCTGTTCCTATCTCAACGGCGCCGCGCACACGGCCATTGCGTTTCCATGGCGGCCACTGGGACGCCTTTTCCGTCCCGCTGGGCGAAAGGCTGCGACGCACTGCAGCGTTCCTTGCACCGCTCCCTTGCAGTTTCGCCCTTTATTCTCGCCCTTAATCCCGCGGCACGCCACTGGCGGCACTGGCCCGGTCGCCATGGCAACCCGCGCGCTGTTTACGAACGGCCCAGGGGCGCCAACGCGCCAGCCGAGAGGACGGGAAGGCGAAGCGCCACTTGGAAATGTTCAGTCCAGAACCTTCGGACATGGGATTCTCGCGGAATCGCTCGTTGATGGCCGTTTTAGACGGAGGAGTAGTACAGTACGCGGACTGCCCAGGACTGCCTCCGCTCTCCCGCCGACGGTGCGCTGACGGCGCTTGGCCGCGCTTGGCTCTCCCAGCCTGACAGTGGCGCGGCAAATGCATTTCCGGCCGCGGCGTTTGTTCCTCTCGGCCGGGAAGTGCATGCTTGGTCGATACCTCGGGGCAACTAGGCAACTAGTTGGAGCGAAAGCGCGCTGGGTCGCGGGGGCACCCACCAAGCTGCTAAACTAAAGCACCACGTCCAGGGACATGTATTTCATCGGGAGGCAGAATCGACGAGAACGAGACTACAGCATGGTGTTCTTCGAGCACTGCTGTACACACTGCCGATGCACAGGACATGCCGTGGTTCCTCGTTTGGTTTCTGGACTTCCCTCGGGTGCACTGTACCTCCAAGGTGTCATCAACTCGGTCCCGTGTCGAGTCGTTGACCCCGCGGGTCACGTGGTCTCGTCCTCTAGCTGTGTTGCCTGGTTGTGCCCTTCCCCTGACCCCCTGACCGAGCCGGACCGGGCCGGGCCGGTCCCCTGTAGCGTTTGGACTGACCGGAATGGGCCCGCCGGCTCGGCTCGGCGCTCGGCCCGGCTCGGCACGGCTCGGCTGAGATACTCTGCTCGGCTCGGGCCGCGGCAGAGATTGCTCAGCGCGGCCCCGCCTCGGCCCCGGCCCGCCTCGGCCCGCCGCATCTGTCTGACCAATCTGGCCGTCACCACACCGCCGCTCTGCCGCTCTGCCCTGCTCTGCCCAGCCAGTCAGTGTGGTTCCGACGTCGCTGCCAGCAAGAGCACTCCGTGACAAACCCCAGGTACGCGTCGCCGGTTCGGCCCGCTCGTCAGCGTCGCGCAGTGGAGTGGGCGGAAAGCGCGGGAACGAGGCTCACGCGGCGTGCCAGTTTGGCGGGGTTGTTGCTGCCTGACAGTGTGTGCCGTTTCGCCATTTCGCGGCGCTGCCGGCCGCTCTGGTACACTAATTGCGCGGCTCGCTAGCTTCCCCTTAAATTATACACGGCACGCGCGCGTCTCGAGAAGGGCACACCAGAAGGGCCGTCAGGGACGTCCCACGCGCCGCGCCGCCCCCTGTCGGAAACAAATTGAATTAGTTTCTTTCTGCTTGTGGCGAATTGCGTTCCCGCGGTTTGCTTCGGTTTGCCTCGGCGCGTGCCTCGCCGGCTGTGACTTGGCTCGCTGCGATGCCGCTGTGCTGCGCTGCACAGTGGGCCGGAAGACCGGCACCGGCGGCCAAAACTCTAGACGCGTTTTGAGCTCCAAGTCGCTAAACAGGACTTGAACCGAGCATGTGACCCCACCAATGGATTCCTCATTCGGAGAGCAATCCATTGGTGGGGTCGCACGTCCAGTTCGAGTCCCATTTAGCGATTGTGGAGACCAAAACGCGTCTGGGATTTTGGCCGCCTGCACCGGTCTTCTGGCCCACTGTGCGCTGTGCTGCGTCGGTGCGTTGCTGTTTGACGACGCGGCCGCGGGGCTCGGGCCGTGCAGGCCCAAGGAGCAGGCCTGAGTGGCAGGCCGCGGCCGCGGGGCCCCGAGGCCCAAAGGCTTTGTCGCCGCACTGTTGACTGAAGCCACGCGCCGCCGCTGACCCGACCGACCGGCCGCAGTCGCGTAGTCGCCGCGCAATTCCAAGGACACTTTTATTTTCGATGGAAAAAACCAGTAGGAAGTGCGGTAAGGGACAAAGGGAGGGGGCTGGGGACGGGCGCTAGAACGTAGTTCTAGTCCTGCTAGGTGCGGAGGAGCGCCGCCACTCTCAGTGCAGAGCCAGCCAGCCAGCCGCCGCACCGCCGCGCCGCGGAGCATGAAGTGCGCCAAGCTCGCAGCTCGCGAGTGCGTATCCGCGTGTTCGCTGTGGTTACCTCGTCGGCCTTAGCGCGACAGCCGAGCCGACAGCCGAGGCGACAGCCCTCTAATTTCAAAATCCACAGACGCAGCCACGTCTATTGGCGAGCGTTTTGTCAGACTAGCAGGTACTGTAAAGAAAGAAAAAAGAGGGGGGAAAATCAAAACAAATACTTGTTTCTTTTCCAGTTTTGAGAAAATTTGTTGGAATAGCAAAAGTAGTCGCAAACGTTCTTAAAAATAAAGTTTGTCGCAAGGTCAATTCGTACTTTTCTTTGGGCGATGCTCGCCCACATTAGCCTCCTTTTTTTCTTTTTGTTTTTACCTGGACCTGGCGAGTACAGTAGGCACGGCACTGGTAAATGGTACACACGGACCCGAGCGCAGACCATTTGAATCCCGTCGTCGCGCCAGCGTGCTCCTCGCCGCCGTCCTTGCCTCACGGCCGACGCCGACCCTCTCTGCCCGCAGGACCCACAGGACACCATGGCCCCCGTCGTCGAGAAGGTCTGCGAGCCCGTGATGCTGGGCGAGGGCCCGCACTGGGACGCGCCCACGCAGACCCTCTACTACGTGGACATCGAGGGCAAGAAGCTCTTCAAGTACGTGCCAGCCACCAAGACCCGCACCGCCGTCACCCTCGGTACGTAGTGCACGCCGCGGCCTCCTCGATCCAGTGGCACACCCTGCCCACTTGCAGTGTGGTAGTGAGTGGATTGGGCCCGCACCTTTCTTGAGTTTAGCTTCATTTTTCAAATAGAAGCCTTTTAAGGTTTCATTGTGGTGGGCTGTCCGAAGCGCCCGGCAGGCAGGCCGCCCTGCCGCACCGGTGTCCGGCGGGACGGCCTACCTGGGCGGGCTTCCCGCTCAGGCAACGTGCAAGGAGAGAGTACCATTATTTCGCCTGCCTAGGCAACATCTTGGCTTTGCTGTAAGAGAATTTGCCCAGTGGGTTGGCAATGGGAATTTCAGCCCATTCATGTGTGCCGCCACAACTTTGAGGCCATAAACAGCACTGGCCGCAGAAAGGGGCATTATGCCCGACGGCCGACGTCAAAGAGTAGCGCGGGCAAGGGCAAGGTCGACCCGCCCTGGGAGTGGGAGAGAGAGAGAGAAGCAGAGAGACCAAACGACGGGCGATTGTGCCGGCAGCCTTTCCACCGCCCGACCCAGCCCGACCGCTGTCCGCATAGAACGCGTTCGATTATAATGCGGCTCTTGAAGGGGGCCTGGCTGGCCTGCACTTGTGTGGCTAGGCAACAGGTGTGATAAAGGCCTGGTCGAGCCTCTCGTCGGTCTGTCTGTCTGTCCGTCCGTCCGTCCGTCCGTCCGCCCGCCCGCCGCATGGCAACGCCGCTGCATGTCGATGACCCAATGCGCGCTCCTGTTGGAGCTCAAGTACACTCCGGCCGACCCGACCCGACCCGTCCTTCCCAATCACAACACGACACAATTAGCGGAACGCGCCCGTGCGCAGCGCGCAGCGGCACTCCGTCGCTCTGTCTCTCTCGCACTCGCAGGGCGTGGCGTCGTCGCGTAGGGGTGCGAGAGAGACAGAGCGAAAGGGCCTGCAGTGCGGCGCCGTGACGAGGACGCCCCACGTGCAGCACTCGTCTTCCGGTGCGCGGCCTCGCCTTCCTCGCCCACCCCTTGGCCCACCCCTTGGCCCACCCCGCCCCGCTGCGTCCTCCCCGCGGACTGGTTCCGTTCCGCGAGTCGTTTTCGTCGCTCTGTCTCTGTCGCACTCATAGGGCTCCCCATAAGGGTGCGAGAGAGACAGAGCGACAAGGCGCTATTCTGAATCACTCGGCCGCGCTGCGCATCGCGAGGCGCGAGGCTGGTTGAATTAGTGCGCGTTGTCGCTGCCACAACACTGGCTATGCCCCCCCCCCCCCGGGTCTTTGCCGCGGCCTGCCCCAGCGGAGCTCGGTAATTGAAATTGAACTTGACAGCCAGGCTGCGGCGACTACATAAACGGCGCGTACGCTTCCTCCCCCCTCCCCTCCACCTCGAAATAGAGGTCCGCGTCGTCGCGAGCTTGCGCACGTGCGTGTCGCACAGTGGGCCAGAAGAGCTGTGGAAGCGGACAAATTCCCGGACGCGTTTTGAGCTCCAGAGTCGCCAAATGGGCCTCGAACTGAACGTGTGACCCGACCTATGGATTGCTCTCCGAACGAGGAATTCATTGGTGGGGTCACACGCTGGGTTCGAGTGCTGTTTAGCGACTCTGGAGCTCAAAACGCGAACGGGATCTTGACCCGCCTCCACCGGTCTTCTGGCCCACTGTATGGCGTCGGATAGTGTGGGTTTTAATTTGCTCTCCGCTTTCCTTCCAGATGACCTGATCGGCTTCGCGCTGCCCGTGGAGGGCCGCCCCAACGTGTTCGTGGCGGGCCTCAAGAAGCGCATCGTCCTGGCCACGTGGGACGGCAAGTCCGAGACGCCCGAGCTCGTCGAGAACCTGCTGGAGGTGCAGCGCGACGTCAAGATTGACGAGCTGAGGATCAACGACGGCAAGGCCGACCCCAGCGGCCGCGTCTGGGCCGGTAAGGCGCCAAGCCGCCTCTGTCTCTCTCGCACTCGTGGGGACGTCCTGTATGGGTGCGAGAGAGACAGAGCGACGAGAGCGGTGCTCGGAATTGGCCTGAAGGCTTGTGGGAGTCAGTGTCGATGATATAGACACTTCTAGCAGACTCTGAAGTGAAGAACAAGATGGACACAGACCGAAAACAGTCCCAGAAATAGGCTTTGTTCGATGTTTTGGCAGGTTTTATTCATAGTCAATCAGACAAATTGTCTTTCTTCAAGTTTTTGATGATATTTAGTGACTATTTTCGGTCTACGTACTTCCACTTCTTCCGCACTCTGGGCTATACTAATTGGTTTCGGTGAAAATGGCCGCTTGGTTCGTTTCGATATCCGTGCGGGATGGGTTGAGCAAGTCCTGCGCTCGACGTGACAAGGATAAAAATAATCCGCGGGCGATTGGGTCCAGGCGGCACCACACCTCGCCTTATCTGTTTCGACATTGACCGCCACCGCCACCGACAGCGCGGCTATCACCAGCCAGCACGGGAGAGAGTGATGACCGCCCCGTGCCGGCCGTGCCCCCTTCCCCCTTCCGCGCGGCCTATCGGGCCTATCGGACACCTCGCGCCCTTGGGGCCGGGACAATGTCACGGTCAGGGAGGGCACGGCGGCACGGCCGCGTGGTGCCGCGACCCTCGCCGACGCGATGTCCGTCGTGACCTTCCTCAACGAAAACACCGCGAGCGTCGTGGCCTTCGGCGGGGCCCGCCTGTTTGCACCTTGACTCCGTTTCCGTTGTCCTCTGCAGACTGATTCGCTTCCTCGCCGGCCGTCCCCGATCGGTGCGAGAGAGACAGAGCTAAGAGCGCCCCTTTCTGTCGCAGGCACCATGTCCAAGGTGGAGGTGGGCATGAGCGACGGCGTGCTGTTCTACGTGGAGGGCGGCAAGCACCACGTCAGGCAGACGCAGGTGGGCCTCTCCAACGGGCTGGCCTGGACGCAGGACTGCAAGACCATGTACTACGTGGACTCGCTCAAGAGGACGGTGGACGTCATGAGCGTGGAGCCCGCCAGCGGCCAGATTTGTACGTGTCCGGGATGCTTCTGAGGGAGTTTGTTGTGTGTGAGTGCATCGACACTGACGTGCCTCCTCCGTGTCCAGCAAACCGCCGGCCGCTGTTCGACCTGGCCAAGAACAACGTGGAGGGCTTCCCCGACGGCATGACCATCGACCTGGAGGGCAAGCTGTGGGTCGCTGTCTACGGCGGCGCCAAGGTAAAGTAAACAGGCATTCACAATTGCAATACTCACTGTCTCTATCCCGCGTTGAAAAATTTACTGCAATGTGTTGTTGCGATAATGCCTGCAGGTGCTGCGCATCAACCCCGACGACGGCAGCCTCATGACCACCGTGGACATCCCCGCGGCCGAGGTGACCTCGGTGGCGTTCGGCGGCGCCAACCTGGACGAGCTCTACGTGACCACCGCCGCCATGAGGGTCACCAAGGAGCTGCGGGAGAAGATGCCCGACGCGGGCGCCCTGTTCCGCGTCACCGGCCTCGGCGTCAGGGGCTACCCCGGGCGCGCCGCCAAGCTGTAGGCCTCGCTGCAGGCCCTTGGCTGCTACCCCCACCCCTTCCATTCCGAACGCGCTCCCGCGTCTCGGGATAGCCTGCCGTATGTCCATATTGGACGAGACTCCATGACGACCAACGCGTTTTTCGTGATTCGCTTTCTGTTGAATCACGCCTTGACGATTCGTGTTCTCGGACATTGTTTTTGTTGTTACCACGTTAGTTTCGCAAGTGTATATTTTTGTACTCGAAGTTTGTTATGGTGTTGTACAGTTTGTAAATAAAATTGACTGATTTAAAAAGAAATTTGCGCTTTTGTCCCTGTTCTGGAGATATCCTAATGACTCCCGACACTATTTCGAGAACATTCGTGACAGTCTCTTTCGAGCGAAGAACTGGAATCATTTGAATATGCGCCGTGAGAGTAGGCAACCCATCGTCCACAGCCGAGGCGGAGTACTTTGAGGTGGCAGGAGGAAGGAAAGGAAATAAAAAGCAGCGAGAATTCTTTATCTAAATAAACTTTATTTTCATTCTCTTCGATATCTTCACACAAAACTCGGAGCTTTCCTGACAGCGAGTCCGAGTTGTACCGGGCTTTTATTTCAGAAGCGTTACTCAACGAATTACTCTTGGGCTACTTTCCCGTCAAAAGCGTGGTGCCGCTTGCCTCGGAGGGGACGCCGGTCAGGAATGCTCCGTTATCAACTTCTATATATTGTTTATACGTTTATATTATATAAATTATTTATTTCAGGCTGTAGAAAAGTTGGCATGTATAAAGTAACTAACTTCCTTGCTTGGCAACCATTTTCATCCAACCTGTGGAGAAGATGTTTAGCCATATATTTGCCGTCTTATATTAGAAAAGAGCTTACATACATGTATATACTCATATATTCTTTATATTTATATATAGATTTTCTTTCGTGGTAAGGGAAAGGTAACACATCGACTACAGGGACAATCATCACAGTTAAAAACTAACAATAAATGCTCAGTATCGCCAGAGAGTTGAGCCCCCTAGCAGACCCGCGGCCCCGCCCCCACCCCGGCCCGGCTTGGCTAGGCTAGGCTCGGCGTGTGGTGTGGTGGGGTGGGGGTGGGGCCGCAGAATCCCTCGCGGGCCGGAAGAGGAGAGGAGCCCACCGGAAGCGAGGGCGGAGGGCCGGAGGGCGGGTCACATCAAATAGATCAAAAATAGGACTTCGGTTGGTCAAGACACACAGCGCCCTCTAGGGCTAGAGAGATAGAGAGAGATAAATAGAGAGGCGCGGGAAACTGCCGCGGCAACAAGGGTCGCACGGCGGCACTTTCAGGCAATCGAAGTGGCATCGAGACATCGAGGAGCCTCGTTCGAGGGGACTATAAACGCGCCAGGCGGTTTGCCTTTTGGCGCGAAGCAAAGCTTGCCACGCCACGGCAGCGCGCGCCCGCCGGTTCTACATCAAACACACAAGAGACAGGGCACTGAGGGGTAGGCGTGTCCTCGGGGAAGCGACCGACCACGTCGCGACTCGCGACACAACACGACTAAATTAGGATGCAGTCAGGTTCTGAGAAAGGAGGAAAAATAGTTTCGGTGTCTTTCCCCCGAGGGCATACCGCGCGAGAAGAATTGTATACATCAACAAAGCGATAACAGGCACATAAACTCTTAGTTACAGAAACATGCGGAATAGATTCAGGTCACACACACAGCGACATGCAAGAGTACACGGATAAATTCTTGTGTATATATGAGTATATATAACTGACACAATAATTACAAACATTTACACAGACAATTACTGACACAAAAACAATTTCAAAGACACAGAGTTTCGAGGGAAAGGAAGACATTCAATCGGCAAACGAAAAGAAAAGCGATAGACGTGGTTTTTGGAGGCAAGGATATTTGTTTGTCCTTTTTTACGAGGAACGCTATTTTACAGGACAAGTCAACACACAGCAAAAATTCAGAACCACAAAACCAGCAATTTTTGACGCCCAGCTACATGAGAGAGGATCCATGAACAACTTTCTTTACACCAGCCGGAAATGTGCAATCCAACTTGACCTTGGAAATAGGTAGCAAACATGGGTCATTTTGACTTCAATTAACAGTTTTGGGTTCAACTGAGCACATGTAAGACGCAAGTGCACAGTCGGTGTAGCTGTGCTAGCTGTGCGTTGGGTGGCCTACCTTTTTGCCCGCAGGCGCACTGGTAGAGGCCATGTCAAATGGAACTGAGGGGCTCCCTATCAATGATATCAATTAAAACAACAAAAAACGAGGAAAAACACGTGGCAATTCTGTTTTCTTTTTTTCTGCAATTTGATTGTTGGCTGCCACCAGATTGATTATGACCATTCAATTGGATTGGTAACGACTGCTATCTTTGCCCGCTTATGCAGAGGTTCACTAACCATGATTCCTTTTTTCCTATTTTTAAAAATGTATCTAGTTGACAGTTTCCCTTTCTCAATCGTCTAATTCACTCCACTATTGATATCCGAACCTGGAAATAGTCTCTGTATTAACATGTTACTTTTTTCACTTTGACAGGTGCAGTCTTGTTTAGTTTTTTTAAATATTTTCCCTAGTTTTTTTCTCTAAAAAGAATTTACAGAAAAGTAACCAGTCCCAGTGATGCAATCGAAATATATTAGACTTTATATTACAACATATCCTTTTAAGTAAGCGTCATCGATTGAAAAGTTGTTTGGTTCTGGCCTCGTTTCGCGCCACTGCCATACTTTAAGATCCAATGAGTGCTTAGTACACAGCTATAGGGGTGTACTTGTGAAAGCACACTCTCATTCTAACCCCCCAGGATGGGCGGCTTTGACTGTTTTAATTTAAGTACACCCCAATACGCGTACCTAGTGCACCTGGTGCACTTTTATAGACGTGTACTAAGCACACATCGGTGCAGGCTGCCCGGACGGCCAGGCACAGACCTACGGTCCTACGCGGCCCGAGACCGCTGTACGGTTCTCTGCTATGCGCTGCCCACTGGGCTCGACACGGTTTGGCACAAGGCATTTCGAGCCACAAATGGCACACGCACTGCTCTATACTAACTTGACTTGGGAACGCTACCGTCACAAACAATGTCCCAAATCTTTCTGAGATCACTCTTCAAAACAGCTATTTACAGTTACGGTGACAGGCTGCACTGACATGACAGTGGAGATTTTATCCACAACACCAAAGAAATTCGACAAAATATCTAAGAGGTACATTGAATGGAGAGTCTCGACTAGACGACTTTTAGAGTGTGCCACCCAACCGACTTTTTCAGCCTTGAATGAGACTCGGGCAGCGCACGCCGAACCGAAAACAACACAAGAGCAGGGAGCCAGTCGCGGCGCGGTCGCGGCCCGCCAGCACACTGACTCCGAGAGCCGCTTTCGTCGCTGTGAGACAGAGCGACGACACTGACTCTCGGAACCCGTCTGCAGTGTCCCCGCCCTCCGTGGCGCGACGAGGACTTGCGGTGCACCCGACCGAAGCCACGCGGCTGCCCACCAAACTCACACACTACCAGTCGACATTTTTTGTGCGACAAAACATTATTCCGAATTAAACAAATAAAGGTTAAAGTAGGGCGGTCCGCCTCAGCGGGCGATTCGGGAAGATTTCGCGACTTTGGAAATACATACGAGGGGCCCGAGACGCCAGTCCCGGAGGCAGAGGCAGCCGGAGGCAGCTTCGGGGGTAGGGAAAGGGGCAGCTCAGCGGGAACTAGATTTTCCGCGTTTTCGGTTTCGTTTCTGTTTTCGTCCCCCCGTGGGACCCACGACCCAACGGGCGTGGCAGGAGGCTCGGTGGTTCACCCCCCGTGGGGCATTTCGCGGGGTGGCCGCTGCACTGTAGACTCTACAGGCCCACGTCGAACGACTCCCACTCGCTGAAGCGAGAGTCCTGCTTGGCGAGCCGCTTCTGGCACGCCTCGAGGTAGCTCTCGTTCATGCGGTACATGCCCGAGTTGGCCTGGAACATGAGCGTCTCCAGGATGCGCTCGTTCTTGATGGCCTTGCTGGGCAGCACGATCTGCAAGAAGACACAAGCACAGTCACCACACTGTGCACGCGCGCGGCCTGCACGTCCATGTCTGTGAGGGCGGCGCGACGCCGGCGTCCATGTCCATGACGGCGTCCTTGGCGGCGCCTCGTAGCAAAAATAGACTCTGTCACCATGCGGGCACGATGCAGCACGGTGCAGGGGTGAGTTGCAGGTGGCGGGGCGGGGGCGGGGGCGCGGCGCTCGCCCGGCAGGCCGTCACTCCCACACGTCCACGTGGCCGCCGTCCTCGTCGCACCCGCGACAAACGGCCGCCGCGGCGCCGCGCTCTGTCTACCACAAGCGGGTGGGGGAGTTGGGGGGCGAGGATCACAGACTTAAATCGAACGAGTCCCAGTCGCTGTAGCGCGACTCCTGCGTCCGCAGCATCCGCTGGTAGCCCTCCATGTCCGTGTCCTGCACGCGGTAGATGCCCGAGTTGGCCTGGAACATGAGCGTCTCCAGGATGCGCTCGTTCTTGATGGCCTTGCTGGGCAGCACGATCTGGAAAACGGCCACAAGGGTTAGGCGACGTGCGGGCCGGGGCGTGCGGGGTGGGGGAGACCGGGGGGAGGGGGATGGCACACAACATGAACGCAGTCAATGAAAACGGCGGGGTACATCTTTGCCGGCTTGCTGGCGCTTTGGCCGGCGGTGTAGTGGTGTAGTGGTTGTGAGGCGAACACCGAGTTCCAAACTACACCGGGAGGGGAGGGGGCGAGGCGGGGCATGCCGGGGCCCAGGGCGTGCACAGCGGGCGTGCGGCAGGCCGCCGCGCGGCGCACGGGCCTTGCCAGGCCGTTGGAGTGCGCCGCGCGGCGCGCCGTGCAACAACAAGTCCAACGGGGGCGGGGCGGCGGGGCGGGGGCGCGCCGTCGCGGTCAGTACCTTGATGAGCTCCTGCGGCGAGATGCGGTACAGCTTGAGGTCGCGCGCCAGCCGCTCCATGATCATCTTGAACTCCAGCTTGGCGTCCATCTTGCTCGACGTCTTGCTGCGGATGCGGTGGCGCGCCCAGCCCAGCATGGCCTCGAACTTGCGCACCTCGGGCACCTCCAGCGACCGGCACATGATCATCTGCACCATGGACTCGGACAGCGTGAGGAAGTCGGGCGTCTGGAACAGCTGCGGGAAGGCAGAGCGACACTCAGCACGGGTCCGGAAGAAAGACAAGAAAAACACGTAGCAAACTTTCCAAGCACGCCCAAAAATTTCGTTTCTTGAACCAGGAAAATTTACTTGCAATATTCCGCCCTTGGTTCAAAAACATATTTTTGGCGTGCGGGCGGGGAAGGGGTGAGAGCTTAAATATTCTCTATAAGAGAAACTGCTGCCACCCCGCTCCCCAAAAATCAGCAAGTGAATGGCGATGTGGACCGTCCTCGGCCCGTCATTTCCCGCGCACCCTCGTCACCCTCGTCCAGTCAGCATCTGTTTTCTGCACAGCTGGTCCGGCCGGCCGGCCGTCCCGCGCAGCAGACTCATTCCGAGAGTCCGTTTCGTCGCTCTGTCTCTCTCGCACTCATGGGGCGTCCCGTGAAGGAGCGGGAGAGACAGAGCGACTAAAACGACTCTCGGAATCAGTCTTCAGGGCATCGCCGTGGCGGCGCGCCCACGTCCGCGCCGTCGCCGACGCGTCCTCGGCCAGGGAGGCCAGGGAGGCCGGGGTTGCGCAACCCGGACCCCCGTCACCGGGCCGATGGGCCGAGGCATGGCCGAGGCATGGCCGAGGCATGGCCAGGCCGTCGAGCAGCTGTCACTCTACTCCGCGTGCCGAGGCCGAGGCCCTGGCCGCCCTGGCCTCGCAGTGACGCGCGTAGAGATCGGCCAGAGACGCGCGGGGAGGGGGTGGGGAGGGGGTGGGGGAGGGGATCGGAGCGAATGCCAGCCCCAATCACTGGAGAACAAGAAATTGCATAACCTGGACCTCGACGGTGGACGACTGCGGACGGTGCGCGCTGAGGGGAGGGGAGGGGAGGGGCGCTTCCCCTGCAGGCCGGATCCGAACATCAGTGCTTTTGTCGCTCTGTCTCTCTCGCACCACGGGATGTTCCATACAAGCGCGAGGGAGACAGAGCGACACGCGCGGCGGCCGCTCAGGTCCGTCCACGTGCCTTCGGGGACGGCCCCGCGCCCCGCCCAGCTTGCTGAGCGGAGCGGTCGGCCCGCTGCAGACCGATTCCGAGAGTCCTTTTGTCGCTCTGTCCCTCTCGCAGTCATGCTGCGTTCTCAGGGGTGGGTGTGAGAGAGACAGAGCGACGGGATCGACTCTCGGAATCAGTCTGCTGGCGGGGCGGCCGCTGGCGGCCCGGCGCGGAGCACTCGGAGAGACGTGTGCAATGAGGTCGAATCTCGCCCCCTGCGCCCCAGCGCCCCAGCGTCACGTTACCCCCTAAGGGCCGCAGTGAAATGTAAACCCCCAGAAGGGCCCCGCAGCCCCCGCAGCCCCCAGCGGGGCGCCCTCCCGCCCCAAACGCCACCTGGCGCACGGCACACGGCGCGGCACGGCCAAGCATGCGGGAGCGGTCGCCATGATTGAGATCGCCTTCGCCAAGGCGTTCGCTCACCTGATGCGCGCGGGTCTCGACGAAGGCCAGGATCATGTTGACGAGCTCCGAGGCCGAGGTGTACCGCCAGTAGTAGTTCTCCAGGGAGCACAGCATGACGCACACCTGCGGGCAGAGTGGCGTCGCGTCAGCGCGGCCGGCAGCGAAGGGCCGCCAGTGGCCGCCAGTGCAGCAGCCACGTCTATGCCCACAGTGGGCCAGAAGACCGGTGCAGGCGGCCAAAACTCTAGACGCTTTTTGAGCTCCAGAGTCGCTTAACAGGACTCGAACCGCGCGTGGGACCCCACCAATGGATTCCTTGTGAGGAGAGCAATCCATTGGCGGGGTCACACGTTCGATTTGAGCCCCATTCAGCGACTCTGGAGCTCAAAACCCGTCCGGGACGGCCACCTCCGCCGGTCCTCTGGCAAATCCACTGTGATTGTACTGTACTGACCACTTCTATCCTGAGGAACTGCTTGGCGTGGTGGAAGCACGCCTGCAGCAGCTCGGGCAGGTCGTAGTGCTCGGCGGCGCAGATGAGGCCGGGGATGTTGGCGCACGTCAGCGGGCAGGTGCTGGTGTGCAGGTAGTCCAGCAGCAGCCGGAACGTCTCCGGGTCGAACTCGATGATGTTGAACTGGAAGCACCGGCAGTTGTGTCAAGCGTGCACTTTATGCATTTGGCGTCGTTCTGAGACGAGGCATAGTGCGCCAGAAGGCCGGTGGGGGCGGACCAAATCCCGGACGCGTTTTGAGCTCCAGAGAAGACTCGAACCAAACGTGCGACCCCATCGATGGATTTCTCGTTCGGAGAGCAATCCTCCGGTGCGGTCAGACGCTCGGGTCGAGCGACTCTGGAGCTCAAAACGCTTCTTTGGCCGGCAGCATGATGCCGGTCTTCACCTCGGTCTGGGCCAGCTTGGCTCTGTCGATCTTCTCGTCCGCGCTCACGCTCAGCCTGGGCACCGCGAGCTGGCCTCCCTGCTTGTCCTTGTCGCGGTCCTTGCTTTCCTTGTCTGTCGAACAAGAAAATCAGCTAGCTTGATTAAACGCATAAAACGCCATCGCAATACAGAAAAAAAGACGAGAGACACTGCGCTGTTGTCTAGTCCGCCTGCCACCGTCACACCTTCCACCTCGGAGGCAATTTGAAAAGTTTGAAGCGTCCTCGTGGCCTCTCATCAGCCTGGGCACGGCGGGGCAGGGCGGGGCGGGGTGGGGCGGGGCGGGGCGGGGTGGGGGTGCCGGCAACTTGCCCCGGGCCTATCAGGCTGTCATTACCGCAAAGTCTAGTCTTCTCTTCTCGAGTTGCCGCTTGAGCCGAGGCAAAGGCAGGCAAAGGCAGGTCTACTGCGAGCCGGGCGGGACTCGACCCGGGAAATCAAATTCCCTGCAATGTCGCCCAGCCACGCCACGCCTCGCCCCGCCTCGCCCCGCCCAGCGCACCCTCTCCCCCGCCCCACCGCGGCGCGCCGCCCCCTCGGCGGCAGAATCTATCTCTTCTCGTTACACACTCTACAAGTTTAGGCCGACAAGTTATTCGGAAATTGCCAAGGACTTGACGCCCCCGCGAGCTGGCCCGGCTACTGCTAGCCTAGAGGCTACGGCTACTCGCGCTGCGAGTCGTTAAAAGTTAAGCGAAAAAAAGGCCGGCAGGCGCACAGTGGGCCAGAAGACCGGTGAAAATCCCGGAGGCGTTTTGAGCTCCAGAGTCGCTAAATGGGACACGAACCGAACGTGTGACCCCACCAATGAATCGCTCTCCGAATGAGGAATGCATCGGTGGGGTCACACGCTCGATTCGTGTGCTGTTTAGCGACTCTGGAGCTAAGGTCGCGACTGGAATTTTGGCCGCTTCCATCGGTCTTCTGGCCCACTGTGAGGCTGAGCTGGCAGCACGGCGTGTACAAATAGCTCGCTCAGGAACTAGTGCGGCACTACTCTACTGCGCAGCACGCAAAACCAACACGTGTTGAACTGATCAGAGTGTGATGGCTGACCTGGTGAAAAGCAAATGGAATTGTGTCGTGGCGTCGTGGCAGTCGTGGGAACAAAATGTGAGTTGGGAGAGCGAAGAATTGATTTTCGTTGAACTGGTTCAAATTCAAATTCATAGTCATATGGCCTGGCTACCTTTCGCTCTCTCTCTCTCTGCCGCGTGCTTTGTGTGAGTGACGCGTGTGCCCCCCGCAGGGCGCGCAAGCACTACACTTTTAAAAGTGTCAATTTCAGTTAAAGTTATTTTTGTATCTCGCAAACGGTTGGAGATAGAAAAGATAGTCACCGGGAAAACCCCATCAAAAATTCAGTTTAAGATGGATTCAGCCTTATGCGTAACTTTTTTATCTCCATATGTTTACTAGGTACAGAAGTAACTTTAATAGCAGAAGTATGTAATGTATGCGCGCCCTGTACAGTGGGCCAGAAGACCGGTCGAGGCGGTCAAAATCCCGCACGGATTTCGAGCTCCAGAGTCGCTAAATGGGACTCAAACCCAACGTGTGATCCCATCAATGGATTGCTCCGAACGAGGAATCCATTGGCAGGGGTCACTCGCTCCGTTCGAGTCCTGTCTAACGACTCTGGAGCTCAGAACGCGTCTAGAGTTTCGGCCGCTTTGCGCCCGTCTTCTGGCAAATCCATTGTGCCCTGGCCCCCGCGGAACTCAAAATAATGCAGCCAGAAGCTCTAGGTGCAGTTTGGAACGCCTTACTCGAACAGTCTTGCGACGACGCCCACTTCTTCTTGTCCTCGACCTGCAGCTGGCTCTGCTGCTTGCGGATGGACCGGCCCCAGCCCGCCGTCAGGTTCCCCAGCCTGGAGAAGGCGCGCTTCACCATGGGGCTGCTGGGGACGCTCTTCGGCCTGCGAAAAAAAAGGGTTTCAATTGCCAAGTCGGGAAAAGAAGTGATAACTACACTAGAAAAGAGATACGCTAATGCAATGTAATATTATTCGCACTTATAATGCAATAAATTTTTAATAATGCTATAAATATGTTTTTGTTTTCGAGATGAGGTTATTGTTACACTTCGAAAGCCAGTGTGGCGGTGGAGCCCTACCTCGGCGTCTCCATGTCCGGCACCTGCAGGAAGTTGCTGCTCTTGGGCTTCTGCGGCGAGTGCAGCGGCGGCACGGGGCGCGCCAGCAGCTCGGCGACGGGCACCTGCGGCGAGCCGAAGCCCGTCTGGATGCCGTACAGTAGCTCCTGGAAGACGCGCGAGCGCACGCCCAGGATGGCGCGCACCCCCACGAACTTGACCTTCTGCTTGCTCTGGCCGACGAGGAACGTGACGTCGAACAGCCCCGCGTTCACCGCCATGTTCTCCTCCGTGTTGAGGAAGCACCGGCTGAAGTCCTTGGCCAGGACGTCGTAGTCCTCGAAGCGGTCGCGCACCGAGTCCAGCAGCGGGCTGGACGGCCGCATGTGGCCGATGGGGCGCCACGAGCCGCGGCGGTACGGCTTGGGGATCTGCCCGGTCTCGGCGTGGTTCGCCAGGTTGGCCACCAGGTCCTCCAGCATCTGCGCGAAGACGAGGACAACGTGCAGGACAACGTCCAGAGAGAGACCCAGGGCGTTACGAGAGACGTCGGGAAAAAAGAACGGCACCCAGTGGGCCAGAAGACCGGTCGGTCGTGGAGGCGGTCGAAACCCCGGACGCGTTTTGAGCTCTAGAATCGCCGAATGGAGCTCAAACCGAACGTGTGAACCCACCAATGGATTGCTCTCCGAACGAGGAATCCATTGGTGGGGTCACACGCTCGGTTCGAGTCCTGTTTACAGCGACTCTGGAGCTCAAAAAGGGTCCAGAGTTTCGGCCGGCGGCGCCGGTCGTCTGGCAAATCCACCGTGCGGCACTGACCTGCGACCGGGTGCGCTCCTGCATGCGCGCGAACTTGGGCGCCGAGTACGAGGCCCGCTCGCCGTTGACGATCTTGGTGAGCAGCCATTCTCGGAACATGGGCCCCTTGTCGAAGACGCTCTGCTCCCACAGGTAGGGCTTGTAGGCGCCCACCTCGTCGCGCGTCACCACGGACACCTCGTAGCGCGTGGGCTTGCGCTTGATCTTGGGCGAGGTGCGCACCAGGATGAAGGTGTGCAGGAAGTGGGACTTGATGCAGGCGGGCGAGAAAGGCGTGTTGTCCGCCTCCAGGAACACGACGCACACGATGTCGTTGCCGATGTGCCGCTTGCGCTGGAGCTGAGCAGCGCGCGGGAGAGAGAGAGAGAGAGAGAGAGAGAGAGAGAGAGAGAGAGAGAGAGAGAGAGAGAGAGAGAGAGAGAGAGAGAGAGAGGGAATCAGTACAGGGCAGCCATGTTTGATTTTTAAGGCCTACACAGTGGGCCAGAGTCCTCCTAGAAGTCCTCACCTTCTGCGGGTCGTTCTTCTCGTAGGGCAGCTGCGTCGACACGTGGAACATGATCTCGATGCTGCGCCAGTTGGTGTACACCGAGTAGAGCCCCGTCAGGTCGTGCACCGTGTCCAGGCCGCCCTTGTACTTGTCGAAGCCTGGAAGCCGGCAAACCGCTGACGTCAGTGTTTGAACCCGGGGCGCGAGCGTGCGCAAGCGTGCGCGGCGCCGTGCGGGGGAAGCCGGCGCGGGTCTGGCCTGCTGACGGCGGAGGGCGTAGGGACTTGGGCGGAAACCTCGCATGAATAATGTTGGTCAGGGCCGTGCAGCGCAGCCACGGCGCAGCCACGGCGCAGCCTCCACCGCGCTGGACCGGCCGGGTCGCGCCGCCTGGCCTCCACCAGCCGCACGGCTTAGGCGTTACTTATCTCGTCCAGAGCCCAGGCCAAGTCCGGGGTCGGCCGGACCAGCTTCCACCCACAGCAAACACCCCGCCCCGCCCCGCCCCGCCCAGCTCAGCGATAATTCCGGGGCCCCTTTTATATCACCCCATTAACTCGACGGCGAAGCGCGAAGCCCGACGGTGGGGCCCCACGCCCCCGCGCCCCACCCCGACATGGGCGCGCCTTGGGGCCGAGGCTGCTTGGCTGCGCGTCGCCGCGCGTCCCCGCGCGTCGCAGCAGGTGATGAAGGCGAAGACGGATCAGCGCAGGGACGGCCGGCAGGGAGGCGCGCGTGCACGCGTGGGGCGCAAACATGGCAGCGTTCAAAATTTAATCGAAATCCACTGTAAAACATCCCATTCCCTTCCAAGACCTTCCCTACCAGAGACACGGCGTTGTAGCGACGAGGGGGCGACGGCACGAGGGGGCCGAAAAAGGGGGGGGGGCGGTGGGGGCGCTCGGGGGGCGCGCCGAAGCGACGTGGCCGTCATTGATCCACCGGCTCAGCCCGCCCCTCCCCACCGCGCCCCCGCGGCCCCCGCGGCCCCCGCGGCCCCCGCGGCCCCTGCGTCACTCGGTGGAGGGGGCAGGCCGCCAGGCAGGGCCGCCAGGCAGCCAGGCGCAGCCAGGGCCCTGCGTACGAAGGGCCAGAGAGGTGGGCGCGGCGGGCAGCCAGGGGGCAGCAACATCCTGGGTCCGCCGGGTGGACTGGCGGACTCCGCCTCGGTACTCGGTTGGTTACTCGGCTCCAGATGACACGGCCGCCCCGCGCGGCCAGGCCGGGCCAGGCCCCAGGCCCCCGTCCCCCGACCCCCGTGCGTCGCGTTGCGTCGCGTTGCGCCGAGCGGGGCGCCCCGACGGGGTGCCCTGGCCCGGCCCGGCCCGCCCGGCCCGACCGCCGCCACCACCCCCCGCGTGAGGTCAGCCAGCCAGCCAGCCAGCCAGCCAGCCAGCCAGCCCCCGGCCACAACCACCCGTTTAATTTCGGCGCAAACTTTGCTAGCCGCGCGGTGAATGAAGCCGAAAAGTCTCTCCTCCTCCGCGGCCAGACGGCCGACCCTGCCGCCGCTTGCCGCGCCACGCCGCGCCGCGTTCAATAAGCACCTCCCCGCGGTGTTGCGCGCACCGCCTTTTCCCCTTGCCGCGTCGTCGTCGTCGTCCCCCGGGACTCCTTCCCTTCCTGGCCCTGGCCGGGCCCTGGCAGGGTTGAAGTTCTTTGCCGAAAATGGATTGCCCGGGGGCGCGTCGTAGGTGTCACAAGATGAGGGTGTGGCGGAGGGGCCCGCGGCGGGGTGGGGTTGCCCCCCCCCCCCCCCCGAGGGGCCGATCGCAGGGTAGTGGAATCATTGGCGTGCCGTGTTTACTACCCACCCTGCCCTGCCCTGCCCCCACCACCTCCCCGCGGACGCCGCCGCCCCGCGCGCCATCACTATAAAGTTTGCTATGGTCTTCTCTTTTCGCAGCTCAGCTCATCTAATACCCTGGTGCGCCCGATACGCCGCTACGTGCCTGGCTGCCTGCCTGCCAGCCCGGCTAGTGCCGGCCGCGTCTACTCCGCGCTGCCCCGGGCGGTGCGGGCCTCGCCCGGCCGCGCCCGGCCTCGCCTCCCTTACATCATTAAAAGGGAGTTTCCGACACAGTGCCAACAAACAGCGAGCGAAGGGAACTCCGCCAGGACTTACGGCGCGCGCCACGCCGCCACGCCAAATCGACACCCCCGCGGCCGCGGCCCGCCACACAGTGGATTTGCCCGAGGACCGGCGCAGGCGGCCAAAACTCCAGACGCGTTTTGAGCTCCAGAGTCGCTAGTGGGACTTGAACCGAATCAGACGCCCCAAACCGAACCTCAAGCGTTCTCTTAAAGTGTTTTTTTTTTTTAGTTTTTCTTGTAGTGGTGTGTTTTTAAACTGCTGAACAGTTAAACAACAAACGACTGATACTTTTTTTGGGCGAGGTTGGCATGGCAGATAATGGCCGTCTACTGCGCCAAGCCCAGATGGCGCCCCGGGACGACCAGGGAGCCAAGCTTGGCCAGAAAATGGCTTCCTTCCTGAGCGGGACGGCGGCGACGACGAGGACGACGCCCGACGGGGCTCCTTGGGGACGCGTCCCTCGGAGGGGCTCCCCGGGCCGCGGTGCAGCAGAGCCGTTTTCGTCGCTCTGTCTCTCTCCCACTCGTGGATCTTCCCGTATAGGTGCGAGAGAGACAGAGCGACGGAGCGACTCTCGGAATGAGTCTGCGGCGCTGCGCCCCGGAGGCGCCGTTACCTTTGAGGCGGACGCGCTCCCCCAGGACTTGCAGGAACTCGGAGAAGAGCGGCGAGTTGGTGTTATTGTCCAGGATCTCCTCCTCCGTGTGCTGCGACTCCTTGACGAACAGCACGCCCACCTTGAGCTCCGACTTGATGAAGACCTGCGCACCGAACGGAAGGCGTGTTACTACACTGGAGGTGGACGTAAACAGGAACGGTGTTGCAGGCCCGCCGTTTGGTTGCCGTATCGCCGTCTCGACGGCTCCAAAGCGCTCCACGCGTACACGACCTCGGTCGTTGGTTTGGCCAGTGCCATTACGCGAACACTGTAGGGTTGCCAACCAGTGCTATTAGGCGCACACTGTAGGGTTGCCAACCAGTGCCATTGGGAGAACACTGTAGCAGGGTTGCCAACCTGTGCCATTGGGTGAACACTGTAGGGTTACCAACCATTACTATTAGGCGAACACTGCAGGGTTACCAACGACCGGCCAGACGGCCGCGCTGTGGGACCAGGCGGGTTGCCTAAGGGCAAACAGAGGCCCCTCCCCCTTGCCCTGCGCGGAGGGGCAGCGACCCCTGCGCCCCGCGGCATCCTCCCAGTGTACTCGGCAAGCCCGGCAAGCGCCGACCGCGCGGTTCGAGTGGAACTGTATTTTTCAGCCGGCAGAGCCCGACCCGGTGCACGCCCGAAAAATAAAACAACAAATAGAGCTTGCAGTTCGGTCATACCCTTTTTTATTTACTTGAACCTGATCAAGGGCCCCAGTGGCTGGGCAGGCCGGGCAGGCCGGGCAGGCTGGCGAAGGGCCCGGGGGAGTCCAAAGGGCAGGCCGACGACGGCCAGGGTAGTGAGGGGGGGGGGGCGTCAGCATCGATCCCCTGGACGGTCATGGTGCTGGAGGAGCTGCAGGGGCTGGCGGGGCGCGAGGCGCGAGGCCAGGGGACCTGTTGCTGCGGCCGAGGCGGGCCGAGGGCAGCCGAGGAAGCGACAAGGCCTACGGGGGCTCCTCTCCGAGGGGGCACCACCAGGATGCCGCCAGGAAGCCGCCAGGTGCGGATCCAGGATTTTCCTGAAGCAGAGCTTTTTGCCTCCTTGCAGGGGAAAAGTGGTGCCGGTTGTCCACGATCCAAGTGGCCTGCAGGGGGCCATTACCCCTATTTACCTCTTCCTGGATCGACGCTTGGCCGTGCTGCCCGCCCGCCAGGCTCACGCAGTACAGTGGGCCAGAGGACCGGTGCAGGCGACCAAAATTCGAGACGTGTTTTGAGCTCCAGAGCCGCTAAATAGGACTTGAACCGAGCGTCTGACCCCACCAATGGATTCCTCGTTCGAAGAGCGATCCATTGGTGGGGTCTCACGAGCGGTTCGAGTCCCATTTAGCGACTGTGGAGCTCAGAACGCGTCCGGGATTGTGGCCACACTGAGGGAAATGTTTTGGGGCCACACCTAAACTTACAGATGTGACAACCAATCTGTTTGGTCGCTGGGGGTTCAATTAAACGTTCGATGGCCACATTTAATCGTTTAGTCGCACTACTTGTTGTGAGATGTACCTTTTTCTAACATGACGTCTGTCTAAGGCCCTAGATCAACTTGTTCAGGACTGGCATCCCGGGAGGCTGGCGATTGGGTCCGGGGACCAAAACGTAGGCCGATGACGGCCAGAAGAGTACTCAACCCAGGGACCTACTGTTACGGTCATGGTGCTGGAGGAGCTCCCCCAGGCGGGGGCGCGAGGCGGGGGCCCAGGGGCCTGTTGGCGGCCGAGGTGGGCCGACGCACCGAGAAAGGAAAAGGCTCGCCCCCTTTCCGGGGGGTCCCCCCAGCATCCGCCAGGAAGCCGCCAGGTGCGGTTCCAGGATTTGACCCCGAAGCAGGCTTTTTGCCTCCTTGCGGGAGACACTGGTGCCGGTTGAAAATCCGGGCCTGGGGGGCAACCCGCCTACTTCCTGTTCGGTCGACGCTTGGCCGGTGCCCGCCCGCTTAGGCGACACGCCATACAGTACGACAAAGAGGAATCGGTCCATGCGCCCAAATTATTGGCGGTTCTTGACTCTCCATTAGCCGCTTATTGGACTCGACCCTAAAGCGTTCCCCAAGGATTGACTCTTTGAACTGCGCCATTGGGGGGTTTCCCCACGAACGGTCAGTTTTATCGTGTGGACCAAAACCGCTTCCGGGAGGGGCAATCCACTGTGGGGAGAGTCACCTGGTCCAGCTTTAGCAGCTCCTCGGGCGTGTCCGGCAGCTGGCCCAGCATGAGCGGCGGGTTGATGTTGACCTCCTTGCCGAGGGACCGCACCACCTCCTCGCGGTTGTAGCGGTCGGCGAAGACGCAGGACGCGGGGATGAGGCCGTGCACCGTGTAGCTGATGGCCCGCACCAGGATGCTGCGGACAGGGCAGACAGGCACACTGTGAGCGGACGCCGAACGTGGATTTCGTCGCGCTGTCTCTGTCGCACTCACGCGTGGTCGCTCGGGTGCGAGAGAGACAGCGCGAGCTGCTGGGTGCGGGACACGTGCCCCACTCGGGGCCCCACTCCGCGGCCCCTCCGCGAATCAGGACCACGCCACGCGCACTCGACGGCCACCCTCATCGGTCACGTGGTCCTGGAGGGTCCCCTGGAGGGTCCCCTGGAGGGTCCCCTGGAGGGTCCCCTGGAGGGTCCCCGGTCGCGGCGAGCGCGCGGCGCTCAAAGGCACCGCTTACGAAGTGCGGGGGCGGCCGAGAGTCTCTCTGTCTCTCTCGTCCTGACGGGGCACCCCGTGAGTGCGAGTGAGACTGTCGGAGTCAGTCTGCTGGGAGGCGTGACTCCTCGCCTCGCAGCGCCCCGCTTCGGATTATCGGCGAAGCCGCCAAATGAAACCATGTTTGCAGAAACTAATTAGCGTTCCCGGCCGTCTGACTCCGCGCCGCGCCGCCGCCGAGGAGAGCGCGGAGGCGGAGGTGATGATGACGGGGTCCTTGTCCAAGGTGGGAGGCCCGCGGTAAAAACGAGGCGGGGAAAAAGAGACGCGAAACGAGTGGAGGAAGCGGACAGGGCCAAGGGAGGCAGGCCGAGACCTCGGCTGCCCTCGGCTGCCCTCGACCAGCCCCGAGACTATGAATGGCAATTATCTCAAATTCCACGGGCCGGCAGCAAAGCCACCAAAGTCATTAAGCGAGGGGATGTTGAGTTAGGAAACGACCTTTTATCTTCCAGATGGAACCAACCGGCCTGAAAAGGAGTTTAGTGCATTTCATTTTAGTTTTCATCTCATCAGCGGACGCAAAGTTGGGTCCACGCCCGCGCGGAAACGGTCCTCGGTCGGACCCACTGGCCTACAAGCTGTACGGCAAGCTGTACGGCGCACACAGTGTGCCACACACGCACACAAACTCGCAACCAGCCCATGGCCAGCCTCGCCGCAAAAGTCCCTAATCCGTTTTACTGGCGTTTATGAAGGCTTTCCATGCAGCACGCAGTTCACGGTCCCCAGTAAAGGCGGATCTCGTTCCAAGGCACGCTTTACTGTGCCGACCGTTTCGCTACACTTTTCATGTGCGTTGCGAAAACGTGCCGGCCAAGCCGCAATGTTACAAAGTTTGCCTGGTCACCGGGGAAAAGAGCTTTTCTTGTTTGCTTCTGCGCTTGATTTTACTTTCGCAAATGAAATGAATGATTTGGTCCGTAGCGACTCAGGAGCTCAAAACGCATCCGGGCTTTTGACCGCCTCCACCGGTCTTCTGGCCCACTGCGCAACACTCGTACGGACCCGAAAAGCAGACGATCATTTGTGGCCGAAGCTTTTTCAAGTCATCAGTGGCCGCGCCCCCTCCTCCTCCTAAAGCGATGACGTCATATTTGTTCTCCGCCTGTCTCGGCGTCTCGATGGGCAAACTTTGCCGCTCGGCAACGTACCGGAACTGGTCGCGTCCGTTGATCTGCTCCTGCTTGATGGAGAGCACGACGGGGCCGAGGTCCTCGTCGCTGGTGAAGTAGTTCCAGTGCTCCGTGCCGTAGAAGTACTTCTCGTACGTCTCCTGCTCCACCGAGGTGAGCTCGAAGCACTGGTTCTTCTCCCACTGCTCCTCGATGGTCGTCTTCTGGCGCGGCGGCGGCTCCGTGTACGAGTCGTCGTCCTCGCCGTCCTCCTCCACCAGGCACGACGACCGCCGGCCATCCTCGTCGTCCGCGTCGTCGTCTGCGGCACAGTCACACAGTGTCACACAAGAGTGTCACACAGTGTCGCAGTGTGTCACACAAATTGTCACATTGTCACACAAAGTGTCACAGTGTGTCTCAAAAAGTGTGAGCAGGCCGTGTTAATAGAGAATTTTAAAAGAAAACAAAAACAGATGACTCATGCCTCGTGCAATGGGGTGAAAGTAAATGCGAGGAAGACTAATCGGAGTTTGAAAGAAAATAAAGGAGTCACTCCGAACCGAAGTAGCACGAGCGAGGGCAAAATAATTCATTTCAGTCAGAAGAGAACTCGGTTAACAAAAATCGAGATGAAGAGTCTAGTGAGGTAAAGAATAAGGGAACAGTTCCCTAAATTCCAGATTCTGAGCGGAGAAGAAATATTATTGCGGCACAGCAGCCTTTTAAAAAAATCATCGAAAAGAGTACTAGGCGGAGAGCTAAAAAGTATACCGAGCGTAGACGCCGAATAGTAAGTCTCCAAGATCACACGAAAACACGCCAAACACGGTTCAAACCCAGAGCTGCGGCGGGAGGACGGTACCCTTCGTAAGGCTGGGGCGGCAGGTTTGAGTAAACCTGCATCTTGTTTTCCGAGTGCCTCTCTGTCTGTCGCACGAAAAACACAAAAACACTCATGGCGCATGCTGCATGCAACCACGGTCTCAGTGATTCAGATTACTGGGGAAAAGAACAAAACGGGGCACAGTGGGCCAAAAGTGGACCACTTTCTTGTTCTTTTTTCTGCCAGTTAGTTTTTTTTTATCAGGGTAAACTGCTGGGGCAAAACACCATGCGGGTGTGGGTCGTGAATGGTGGCAGTACCGTCCTCCCTGAGCAGCGTATAAAGGATGCTGGACTGACCGGCCGAGGGGCCCCGGTCGCGCTCCTCCTCGCGCTCCTCGCGCTCCGACTCTGACTCGTCCCAGATCGTGTCGTTCGGGATCTTCTGGCGCGAGCACTCGATCCAGTAGCCCGGCGTGGGCAGCAGGTTGTGCGGGTACTCGGAGCAGATCTCGTCTGGAAAGAAGCAAAACACGCGCGGTCAGAACACCAGCAAGAGGAACGAGAAGTCGATAGGGGAAAGAGTCCGAGGGGAGGAAGGGTCCGAGTCTATGTTCAAACACAATTTCAGGGTTGTTACAGAGTCACAGGCCGAGGAACAGAAAAGAGTCACCAAGATGCCGAATGGTAAGTGTCAAGATGCCATCATTGACCGAAGATAGTGGTTCTTGACGGCAAAGCGAACGCCAATATTCTTTTGATGAATACAACCCCTTATGTGATGCGAAGTGGACACAAAAGTCAAAGCAGCTCGTCAAATTCGCAAAGCGTGACTTCAACATGACGTCAACGTGGCTCTTTTCTGTTCATGTTCCTGGGAGGCTACGCGTTCTACGCCGCTGATGTTTACAGGCTTTATGTCGTGCACTGGCTGGCAAATTACAAACTACACCGCAATGACGCGAAACTAAGGACAAATTATCGAAAATCAGCGCAAAATATGCGCCAAAGAAAATCCCACTCTTTGAAAAATCAGCAGACTTTGGGCTATTACAACGTAATAATTTTCGCACACCCACATAACGAGAAAATCAACCCTCGACTAACCTAGCCCTAGAAAAAGCACATCCCACTGTACATTCCCTGCTGGTTTCCTTGAACTGTAGCAACCCTGAAATCGTTCCTTTGTCAATACTTTGCTTAGTTTATTTTTCACTTTGTAAAGGACGCACCGAGGCGCGTGGAATTGGACAGTCACACCTCGAGCTCTTTTCCGATCGCTTCTTAAAAGTGGTTCCGAGCACATAGTTTCGCAGTGTATAAGAAAGGGAGCGCCGAGTCCCTCCCGACGAGCGCTCCACCAACGAACCCCTAAGAGCTCCCCGAAAGGGGCGAGACAGGGTTTACCTACAGGATTCTTCCGTACGGCTGAGCCGATGAGCACGTGGTGCCCGGAGATCGTCCCCTGTGCCTTCTCGCCTCAGCTCACGAGAGGGACACGAGGGGACGAACACCGGGCACCCCGCCGAGCACCCCGTCGAGGAGTCCGTCGAGGACCCCGTCGGGGACCCCGTGACGGCATCGCAAGGTCCAGGTAAAGGAGGTTATAGGCTAGGATACTGTACCTAGAACATGCGAGTAGTTGAGGGAGGATGCGACGGAGACCACAAGCATCAGTCTGGGTTCAAAAGCCAACCAAAAAGAAAACCGCCAGTAATTTTACATCTTTGAAAATGCGCTCTCAAAATTAATGGTATTTCAAAGAAGCGATGAAAGTTGATTTAAAATTAAAAGATGAAGTGCTGTTATAAGTGGTGCGGAAGCTGAGATTGCAAACTGACCGTTTCTACGGAACGAAAAGGTGACACTGTTTCGGGAATGAGAAACGAAACTTTCGCGAAAGTCGGCTCCAAGGATCTTCAGTCATTCTCGCGACCGCTTTTGGGGCTAGCTCAACCTATCAGTGTGCACACACTTACACAAACCTAGTGAACCAATCCCAGAGGGTAAATCCGGAGGCGGACGTAAAGCTATAAAATAATAAATTTCAAACAATTTCTCATTACAACAACCCGAGGGGTCGACAACTACCCTAAGCCGTGTACGAGGGAGATTATACACCAGCAATGTATGTAGGAGATGTGTTTGTAATGTAATATAATAAAAAGTATTGCCTAGCAATAAAGAGGTGATATGAAGGGCCGTGGTAATATGCAAATAATATAGGATAATATACACAGAGGTGATATAGCCACCGCGTACGAAGTAATACATGAGTTGTCGACCCCTCGCAACAACCAAGAGGAAAAACGCCAAAATAAAAGCGATATATTTAAAAAAAAAACTCCGTGCCTCTACAATTTTCTTCGTGGTTCAATTTGTGTGTGTGGGCGTCCCTCGGTGCAGCGCTCTGGCTCATGCTGCGCTCGCCGTTAGAACGAACACCAACCAGAGGGCACGGTTCGGCGAACGCTCTAACGGGATCGAAGCAAGCAAGTGCAGGAAGCTTCATTAGGTACCAAACAAGCTGATGGAAGCATTAAAATAGTTATTGTCATTACGTCGTACTTCCGTGCACCTATATATAAGTGGAAAAAAAAAACAAGTTTGGCAAAAATTTGCGGCAGAATATCTCCGAAAGCATACAACACAACGTAAGTCCAGGATTAGTATGCGCAATTGTACAAGGCATTGTCGTCATGAATTAAAAAATAGCGATCGATAGAGTTTGTATTTCTAGCAAATTCTCTAAAACAACCTGGAGTGTACAGATTGAAAGGATTCGTTAACCCGTAATGATTTTATGAATAGAGGCAGTCCGTGACACGGTTTGCCGAACAAAGTCGCCTATATCACGGTAAAGACCTTTTTCCCGTGCGTCTGAGCCCAAGCATTCAGCTATCACATAAAAACTATTTTTACTGCACACCTTGACGGTACCGGATCTCCTCAATCTGTACAAATCAGTACTCCGTCCGAAGAGGACCCCTAATTCAACAGACATTTTCACCGCCCATCAGCGTTTGGCGCGAGAAATCATTACCCGTGGCCCGTGGCACAGTAGGCAAGAAGACCGGCGCCGGCGGCCTAAACTCAAGACTCAAGACTAAGCTCCAGACTCGCTAAACGGGACTCGAACCGGACGTGTGACCCCACTAATGGAATCCTCGTTCGGAGAGCAATCCACGGGTGAGGTCACATGTTCAGTGCGACGTCCCATTTAGCGAATGGAGCTCAAAAAGCGTCCGGGATTTCGGCCGCCTCCACCGGTCTTCTGGCCCACTGTGCGTGGCAATAAACGGAGCGAGAGAAGGAGACGAAAGCCAGACGTACCTGAGCAGGCTTGAGGCGGCAGCGGGAAGATGAGGGTGGTGGACGACTTTCGGCGGGCCACTGCACAGCCCAGGGACTGGGGCTTGAAACTGCGCAGCTGCTGCATGAAGTCCGAGCACTCCATGAGGGCCACGTCCGCGAAGTGGAGGTCGCAGAGAATGTGGTTCTTGAAGCGGCGCGCCCGCTTTTGGTTGGGCCCCGTCAGGTTCAGGCCGCAAGAGTTGCAGCGCAGGCACTCCTCGTGATAGTGGTTGTTGTCGTACAGAGGGGACGGATCTGCAGCAAGACACATGCTATTGCATGCTGGGCGGGCACACGGTCTGCATGGGGGCGGCCGTGGCTGAGGCCAGGCGTGCCTAAGGCCAATGAGGCCATGACTGAGGCCACGAGGCCGTGGCTGAGGCCACATAGGCCGTGACTGAGGCCGCGGAAGGGACCGAGCCACTCTGGGGGAGCGCGCCCTCTCAACGTGCTGGCGCCATCAATGGGGGCCACGCAATTGCAGAGGCTGCAGACTGGCACACACGTCAGTATACACTGTGTGTGAGTGTGTGTGGGTGTGCGCGCGCACGTTTGTACGAGCATGTGTGTGTGTGTGTACAATTGAGAGAAGGGGGAGAGTCTGAGTGTGTTTGCAAGAGGGACGTCCCAGTTGTGTGCATGCCTCGTGTATGTGTGTACGAATGTGTGTGTGTGTGTGTGTGAGTCGGTGTGTGTGGTGTGCGACCACGCGCGGGCTTTGACTTGGCGTGTCGTTAAATCGATGTGGTTGACGTCGAAAAACGACGCTGTCACCGACGCCCGAGCGACGCCCGAGCGACGCCCGAGCGACGCCCGAGCGACGCCAGCCCGCGCCTTCTCGCACACCCTCACAGCGCACGACGTGTGCACGTGCCAGCACCAGGTGTTGGCACGGTGACGAGCCGATATATCGCCCGTCGGCAGGATCTATGGACCGGCATTAACAGCGCCGGGGAGAGGTGGGCGCCGTCCCGGAAAACCCGTGCTTAAACGCCCCTCCCCTTCCCTCCCCCTCCACCACACAACACAACAGGACCCACGCTGCAGCGAGGTGGCGGCACCAGAGCGCCTGCAGAGCGGCGGGTAGGCAACGCGCTGCACGCGGCTGTGTGCATGTTGCCTACCCCAGGGTTCGCAGGCTGACTGGCTGTAGGCAACGTGCTGCCCGCGGCTCTGTGCGGGTTGCCTACCCCTGGGTTCGCAGGCTGACTGCGGTAATGTGGCGCAGTCAGTGCGCTGCACGGTGCACGGGTCTGTGTGCGGGTTGCCTACCCCCGGGTTCGCAGGCTGTCTTGCCTTGCCCGTCGCGTCGCGTGGCGTCACGTGGCGCGTTCCGGCCATTGGCACATCGATCCCACGCACGGCGAGGGGCCGAGAGGGGCCGAGAGGGACCCTCCACCCCAAGTCCCCGTCAATCATGCAGTGGGGTGATTATCGCCATCCACGCCTCACCGCCGACAGGCCGGACAGGCGGCGCCGAGGCCGGCGGGGCCGAGGCCCCCAAGATGTTTTCCTTCGGCACCAATCGAGGTCTGACGGGTGGCGCGAGGCGGGGCGAGGGAGGGGCCAGCGAGCAGCAGACGGATCCCAATCGTCGTTCTGTCTCTCTCGCATCAACAAGCTGGACACCTCATCAGTGCGAAAGAGAGAGACAGAGCGACGAAAACGACTCTCGGAATCAGTCTGCGGGCCGTGGACTCCGACGTGACGCTAATGACCTGGCATTGGCGCATTGCCCCGCGAGGCACGGCCAGGCACGGCCAGGCACGGCCAGGCACGCCGGGCCACGCCAGCCCGTCACGCCACTTCGTCACGGAGAGACCTGTTGCGCGGAGTGGAGTGGACTCGAGAGTTGAATCGGCCTGGAGCGCGAGTGGCGGCGCGTGGAGTGCTCGCTAGGGAGACAACAGCGGCGAGGCTGGGCGGCACGCGCACGCACCGCGCACGCACCGCGCACGCACCGCGCACGCACCGCGCACCGTCAGCACACTGACTCCAAAAGTCGTTTCCGTCGCTCGGTCTCTCTTGCGCCTCTAAGGGCACCCCATTAGTGCGAGAGAGACAGAGCGATGACTCTCGGAATGAGTCTGCTGGCCGAGGCCGTCACGTCCGTGGCGTCCGGTCACCATGACGCGGATATCGGGCCGGGCGCGGCCGGGGCGCCAGCCATTCCTCAGCTCGGCCAAGATTGATTGAATCGGGGAGTGTAGTGTGTCGAGTGTGTTGATAGTGGGTCCGCGCCACAGGTGCAGCGTGGAGGCGGCGTGCCCTGCGCGGTGCCAGAGTGCCAGTCATCGGGGAGGTGCACTCACTTCCTGCGGCGGGGCCCTGGGGCGGGCCCTGGGGCCGTCCCTGGTCGGGGGGCGTCCCGGGCCGCGCTACGCGAGGCTCGCGGGGTAGGGCCGGCAGGGCCGGCAGGGCGGGGTCAAGGGGCAGCGTGCGAGGCGGGGCGCGGGGCGGGGCGCGGGGCGCCGGGGCGTCGGGCGGGAGCGCAGCGGCTGGCGGCGCGACGCTGGCGGCGGCAGGGCAGCCGACGGTGGCGTCGCGATGCGCGTCACGGTGCGCGTCGCGGTGCGGGTCGGGGCCGCGTTGGCCGACACCCCCGGGGACGGGGCCCGCCGTCTTTTCCGCGGCTTGCTGGCCATGGCACGGCGCGGCCACGCGAGGCGCACGCGACGAACACGCGGCCAGCACGCGGCCAGCACGCGGCGAGGCGGCCACGAAGTCCGACGAAGTCGAGTCGGCGGGGCGCTTCGGCGCGTCGGGGCGCGTCTACTCGGCGGACGGCGCAGGCAGGGCGGGGCGGGGCGGCGCGGGCCCTCGGCGGCCAGGGTGGCCCGGACAGAGCTCGCGAGCAACTGGCGGCACGGCGCGGGTAGGCAGCCAGGCAGGCGCAAGGCGGGGCGCCGCGAAGCGCCGAGGAGGGGGTGGGGCAGGCCCGGCAGGCCCGACAGGGAGCTCGGGGAGGTGGCCCACGGGGGTGGCGCGGGGGGCGGGGCCTGGATCAACAGCTGAGGCTCTAGGGCTGGCACGGCCCTCGTCACGATAGCCCCGTGCCGTGCACCTCGCCGTCATCGGCCTGCACGCCACTGCAAGCCACTGCACGCCACTACATGCCGCCACGCCGCTGTCAGACTGGCCGGACGGTGCCGGACGGCCGAAGCGTTTCCGTGGTGAATGGCCGCGGCGCCGCAGCGCTTTGTTCCGCGCGCCACCCACGCCATTGAGAGGTGGGCGACGTGTAAACGGGACGCCCGTCTAAAAATAGAGCGCCCGGCCGCGCCGCCCCACCCCGCCCCGGCCGTGCATGTCCACAGCGGCGCGCCGTCACACCCCCCGCCGCACGGTGACCTCCGTCCAGCCCCATCCCGGTAAACACCTCACCCACGAGGACAGCCGACGCCCCGACGGCCCCTGTCCGAAATAGGACCAAAGCAGAGCCCGTCGTGGTGCTGGTCGCGCCGAGCATCGGCTTGGCAACGCACTCATAATCCCAGACGCGCTTTGAGCTCCAGAGTCGCTAAAAAGCACTCAAACCGATCGTCTGACCTCACCGATGGAATGGTCTCCGAACGAGGAATCCATTGGTGGGGTCACACGTTTTGTTCGAGTCCGGTTTAGCGACTCTGGAGCTCAAAACGCGTCTTGAGTTTCGACCGCCTGCGCCGGTCTTCTGGCCCACTGCGACACATCGTCTGGCAGCTGTTTCAAACTTTGCCGCCGGACGCGCCGCGGTTGGCAGTCTGGGCGCCGCGCGCGTCGCGTAGTTCCAGTCACGGCCGCCAGGGCGCGCGCCCTGATCAATACACACACAAACGCACACAGGCACACACGGACGCACACAGACGCAAAGGCGCCGCGCCGCGCGCCATTCACCCTCCCTCCCCCATTCATCGGACAGACTCCCGTCCCGACCGGCGAGCGCCCCGCCCCGCCCGCCAGGCTGCTTCCGGAACGGCTGCGTCTCCGTCGCGCCCCAACGCGACGCGCCGCGAGTGCGAGGGAGACAGAGCGACGACAGCAGCGCGGTTCGGACGCAGCCTGCAGCTGAAGCCCGCCGCTTTGAACGGCAGCGTGGCAGCTGCGCGGAGGGATCAGACCCGTCGGCGCACGCGCAGCTTCGAATACCACTCTTCCATTCCACTTTTAATTTATTTTCCTATTTTTCCAATTTGTTTTAATCCGTCACTGATGCCACACGCTGCTGCGACCCACAAGGCCGATGTCGCTCGCCGTTTCCGGGCCGCGCGCTCTCTTTCTCGTTTGCGCGCGGAAAGCAAACACGCCTCTCTCTCTCTCTCTCTCTCTCTCTCTCTCTCTCTCTCTCTCTCTCTCTCTCTCTCTCCCCTCCCCCTGTCCGCCCTTCCCTTCCCGGAATGGGTAAGTGGAACGGGCGGTCCGTTTTGTCAATCGTCTGTTTCGGAAATCAAAGAGGGCGGAGTGGAGGGGGGAGGGGAGGGGGAAGTGCCCAGCGATGCGGAGTAACGAAGTCAAAGAGGGTCAACCAGGCACTGCGGCTTGATCGGCTTGATCCACAACGGGTCGAGCAACCTGCCCACAGTGCCCACCCACTCATCCCGAGAGTCGTTTTCGTCGCTCTGTCCCTCTCGCACTCATGCGGCGTTCCGTACAGGTGCGAGAGAGACAGAGCGACGGAAACGGATGTCGGTCCTGCGGGTGGCGCATAGCAGGAGGGTGCATTTTCTCCCCTGTCTCCTATGCAGATGCCTGCAGACTGAGAGTCGTTTTCCTCGCTGTCTCTCTCGCACCTACACGGAACGCTCCATGAATGCGAGAGGGACAGAGCGACGAAAACGTCTGTCAGCCTGCAGCCCACGCCGGGCTGCGCCGGGCCGCCTCCGCCACGCGCGTGTCGGATCAAGGAGGATCGCACGCGCACCGCCCACGCCGCGGCGCCGCGGCCCGCATCGCAAACAGCGATGGCGTCCTCGCACTCATGGAGCGTTCCCCAGAGGTGCGAGAGGGACAGCGCGACGGAAGCGACCCTCAGTCTGCAGCGGGGCGGGTGGAACGGGAGCCGCGTGTGATTGGCGTCGACATGGCGTGGCCGCGTCGCCGAAGCAGGAATAGCTTTTTTGCCGCGAACCGGAGCGCGCCGGAGTGCTCTGCTGCTCTGCCTCGGCTCCGCCTGGGCGAGGCCGACGGCGCTATATTGGTCCAGGCCAACGAGCGACACGAGACACGAAAAGGCTCAGACGGCAAAACGCAAAACACAAAACACACAGCGGCCCGTGCTCCAGGCTCGGCTGGGGGTGCTGTATGGTCGCCGGGCCTTCCTCCCAGGCCTCCAGGACCGAGTCCAGGACACTCTCCTAATGCCCACACTTCCGCGTGGCCACGGAGAAGGCCTTCGCCGCCTTCGCCCCGGCCGTCCCGGCCATCCTGCCCCCGCACTAGTCTGTAAACAAGGAACACGCGGCAGCGCTAGGCAGAGCGCCGCCCCGCCGCGGCGGGGTGCTGTTTGCCGGAGTGCGGTGAGGCCGGGCAAGGCCGGGCCGGGCCGGGCGCGCCTCGTGGGAGTGACGCGCGGGAAGTAGGCCAGCCGCGCGGGGTGGGGCGGGGCGGGGCGGGGTGGGGCGGGGCGGGGCGGGGGGCGGCCCGATTCTAAAACTTCCCTTTATCCCCTGGTTTTATTACCCCGCATATAAACCTTGTAACTCTCACGCGAATAGCCGCCGATCCCTCACGCTGGGGTTCCTTTACGGAAGTTGCCATCGCAATGATGTTTCGTCGCGCCCTTGGGCGAACTCCTCCACCGTCAACTCGCGGACCGACTAATCGACCAAACGTCGATTTGGTCGAGACTATGTCGAGGTCCTCGAATCTCCTCTCTGCGCTGAGCCGGGGGCGGATCCAGCTAGTCGTCCTTTCGCCCCCTACTGGATCCGCCACTGGCCGGGGCCGGGCCGGGCCGGGGCCAGGCCGCGCTCCTCCCTCACCTGTCTGCGTACTCGAGTCGAAGAACGTGGACCCCGTCTCGACGGTCATGGTGGCCAGCGTGCCGTCCGTGATCTGCGCGCACGAGTCCCGCCGGCCCTTGTAGCGGCCGGTGTCGTCCGACTGGGAGCTCTGGCGCCTGCGAACACCACGGGGAGCACGGCGGGCGCGATGAGACGCGATGAGCGGGCAGCAACAAGGGAGAGAGAGAGAGAGAGAGAGAGAGAGAGAGAGAGAGAGAGAGAGAGAGAGAGAGAAGAGAGAGCAGACAGACACACAGACAGACAGACAGACAGACAGACAGACAGACAAAGAGGATGCGCCGCTCCAGGCGCTCTGCAAAGCGGGCTCCTTTTCGGCCAAAAGTTGGCTTTTTTCATGTTACACTAAACAAAAATTTATTTTATATTTATAAAAAGGTTGTGAAACGTTTAACTTTTACAAAGAAAGAACAAGAATGGAAGATTAAACGAACAGGTATTTTTTTTTGTAAATGAAAAATACTTTGAAAAGAAGGTTGGTTTGAAAGCCAGTTCAAGTTTCAATGACTATGATGACAGTATTTATTGCTTAAGCTACACTCCCTGCCTGGCGAAACGAAGGGTCGGTGCGATGCCCTGCCATTGCCCTGCCCCGACTCAGTACGAAAGAGTGTTATGAGAATACACGCTAAGATTTTCAAATTATGATTAGATTTCAAATTATAAAATTTAAAAGGGATTCGGGGAACCTTGGCTATTGCGTTAAAACTACGGACAGAGTAACCCTTGCTTTGATATTTATACCGCCTCCACCGAGCCACGTAATTGGTTTGCGTTACAACCACAGCATCATTGATTTGATGCAAAGTCAAATTATTTGGGGGAGGGGGGGCAGCACTTTCCACTCTTCGTTTCGTCAGTCTCTACAAAAGCGCGAAGGCTTGCCCCACTGTTGGTTTGCAGAACGCCGTGCAATAGCGAGCGGCCACGCCGGGCCTGCACCCAAAAAAATGTTCAGGGAATTTCTTTAAATCAGCAGAACAGAAATATTTTAGTCAAAGGATATTTCATTACATTAGTAACAAAGAAGTATTTACTTTGATTTAAAGGAACAATTTCTCAAGTATAAAGACAGTTGAATGACATCAGTCACTATTGATTTCAATAAAGAATGTTGATTTGTATTTTTATTGTAACGAACCAATGACACGTTTTTCTGGGTGCGGCCCAGTCATGGCCGTCCTACAGTGATTCATGAGTGATACAGTGAACTGAGTGAACCGGTTGGCGGCCGCACGGAGCGCGTCGCGGTGGCCCGCAAAGTGCCTCAACACTACGGTACGTGACGCCCCAACAACTAGCATTCAACTACCACCAACAATTACTGGCTGCTTTCAAAAAAGAAATGAAGGTCGAAAAATAAAAAGAGGTCGTAATGACATTGAATAACGATAAAGTGATGAAAATAACTGGAGCATTCCTCTGTCTACAATAAGCAGGTGTGACTTGTCGATACTCTATGTATACTGTAAAAATGAAAGTAAAGTAGAGAGCGAAGTGGCGGCTCAACTGACCGGTAGGATGGCGGCCCGGTACCGGTACCGGGAATCTGCAGCTCCATGTCGAGCCCCAGCCCTTCCTCGGGCACCGTAGTAGGAGAGGGGGTCGTTGAGATTGCGTACCTGCCGTACCTGAAGTTGCGACATCTTATCATCTCCTCGGTGGTCGACTGACGCCGGAAGCCCCGGGCAATCAGGATCTCCTCCGTGGTGGACTGCCGCCGGATGGCGGGCGCGTGCGACGGCGGCCCGGACATCTGGGCGGAGCTGCGGCGCGTCAGCTGCAACAACGGGGCGGTCAGCGTCGTCCTGGACGTCGTCCTAGACGTCGTCCTGGACGTCGTCCTGGACTTTGTTGTGGACCCCGTCCAGGACCTCGTCCAGAACACCGTCAACGACAGCGGCGGGTGTGGCGTGGCGGGCGGGGTGGCCGCGTGGAGTATCGGCGGCGCTACCCCCGCGCCCCGCGACGCCCGCCTGCACTGCGAGCGGACACTATCTACGTATGCCACGGTAGTCGAGAGCGCAAATGCACCGACATCCGAAGGGTAAGGTGAGTGGTTCGAAACCGACCAGGGCCCCGATTTTTTTCTCAGGGAGTTGGCGACCCTGGTGGCCACGCAGGGGGTCGGTCTAGGTCGCGGCCGTGCGCGCCCCGGACTTACCTGGTGTCTGCCGCCGCTCGGGGACGGGTCCCTGGAGGAGCAGGTTGACGAGCTCTCCGGCGACCTGGGTGCTCGCGGCCCAGCCACCGACGTGGACTGGCGGCGCAGTCTGCCGCGTCGCCCGCGGCCCACCTGCGAGCCAACGGCACACTCTCTAGCGCGTCGCAAACGTCGGAAACGCCTCGGCGGCCTCGGCCGACATTTGGGGACATAGCAGCATTTGGAGGGGACGGGAGGGCAAGGAAAGTCGCCTGTATTCCTTTTTTGTTGTAAAATGAGCAGGTGGATGGGGGGGATGTGTCACGGGTCAACCGAACCGGACATTAAGCGTGGAGGGGCCTGAAAAAAAAATACATTTAGATACTTCAATTATGTGAACTATTGCACGATTTAGGGGCTAAGTTAGCGTTTGCGGGGCTGTAGTGAAGCGTGCGAGATGGGAGTATGATATCTAAAGAGAGTTTATAAATTTGAACCTATGGTCTACAGGATTATTCGCGTTTGTTGCTCTACAGAGAGCGATGACTATGCTACGGGGGCCGTGGAACCGCGGTTCAGAGACTACGCGCTACCCTTGCAAATTTGTATTTACGATTCCTTGGGAAGGTCGCTGCGCAACAGCAGCCTCAAGTCCGTTCTGTGTTTTGACAGGATGTCGCAAACATTTTACTTCTTCCAGGCCCAGAATTATTCATGGTTATCAAACAGTTCATTCATAAGTGAAACGTTTTATTTTTCCGCAGACAAGCTAAACCCTACAGACTCGCGCCCTAGTAAGCGGATAAACATGAAGGCGTGGCGGTGTTGGGTGTGAAAGGTGGGTTGATCATGCGGTCTTTATGCTGAGGCAAGTTTTAGCGCTTTCGAGAGTACATTACTAGCACCTATCCCTCGCCGTCAGACATGCGCTCCCCTACCATGGCATACAGTGCATCGGGCTCTAAGAGTGCTCCTTCGTACATCGCTGGTATGAATAATGGGCAAAGTTCTCACCTCTTTCTGCAGCATGCTGTATTTTGGCCTCAGAGAAGGGGTTGACCAGAGAAACGAGTAATTGCTCACCAGAATTGCCTTCAAAAATTTCTTTGAAAATATATAATGTACAAAATAAAACTATTAAAAAGTACTTTAAAAAAATAAACAAAATTGAAAGGCAGTAATTTGGCGAGCAATTCATTCGAGACAGTATCAAAATTTATAAGAAGCTCGAGAAAGGAGTGCATTGAATGTAAAACAAGGTGGTGGAGAGTGAAAAGAGGAAAGACGAGTCAAACTTCAAAGGAGGTTCATGCATTCACCAACGCTTTTAATACAACGTCTCCAGTCTCGCACTTACTTGTCCTTTCAGACCAAGGAGTACGCGACGGTTGTAATGATAGTTTTAGGGAAAAAAGGAGAGAAGAAACTCTTTGGCCCAGCTCTAGAGATGTGCGAAATGGCTTCTACTTTTGGTTTTAAGAACGGATCAAAGCCAAGCCGTTCTATTTTCCCCGCGTGACTGCAAAAAAAAAAATTCTGCCCCTCCTGGGAGAACTTGATTGCATTGAATCAAGAACGGCCCACCACAGAAATTTCATTAATGTTCAAGTTCATGTAAGAACTAACTTTGTGAACATAATCGGTTCTGAATGGACGACAGCTGACCGGTTTGTTTTGAATCAATCGATGAAGAAGCGGGGCTTCGTCCGGCATCGAGTTTGCTGAGCGGCTCGAGAGTGTGATCCCAAATTTTCGCACATGTCTATCGCACGCGCGCCGCGCCCGTGACTGGGTTGGTTCCGGGGCAGCGCGCGTGGCCTGGAGGCTCCTGGAGGCTCCACGGAGCGCGCTAAGGAGTGCTAGGGGGCAGGCATGCCTTGCAAGATGACGTCCGTACCGGAGACACGTCCCTGGAGCCGGCCGCCCTGTCCGGAGACAGCCTGGAGGCGCGAGAATCTCTCCGGGAGTCGCGACGCCGGTGGTACGACGCCGAGTCCGGGGACAGGGAGTCCCGCCGCGCGCGCCGACCCTGCCGCACGCACACGCACGCGCACACACACATAAAGCTCTAGCCCAAGCACCAAGCACGAAGCGTTAGAACAACACCCCAAAGCGTGGACGGGCACAGCGGTGTCTGCGGCGACGCTGAAAGTAACGGATTCTGGTGCGTACGACGAGAGGGCGTACGTCGACTACAGCGCAGACTAAACGGAGACTAGACGAGGGCGCCGTCACTGGCGCTTACACTGTTACAAGCGAAGGTAAAGCCTGAGTGGAACACAATGACACAATGCCTACAGAGTAGTGCAACAACAGCGCAGTTGAGCGAGGCGCCACCGCGCCGCCACAGGGACCGCGGCGGCCCCTGCCGTGGCCGAGGCCGTGGCTTTACATGACACTATCGGCCCCGCGGGGCCTTGAGGGGCCTCGGGGCGCCAGAGGGCCTCGGCCTGCACTGACAGCACCGACGGCAGGCCGCGGAGGAGCCGACTGACTGACACACTGACAGGCGCACATGAGTGCGCACACGCGCGCCGCGATAGCAGCAGACAGCGCTACAACAAGGCGGCCGCCGTCGACCGAACCGAACAGGCTGAATACGCTTGGCGTCTAAGCGCGTCGTGAGGTAGAGGCACGACGACGACGACGTCGAGGAGGCGAGGAAGCGCGGCGGGCGGGACCTTGCGGGACTCACCGGCGACACGTCTCTGGAGCCGGCGCCGGCCCTGTCGGGGGACAGGTGGCTGCGCGAGTCCCGGCGCCCCGAGGGTCGCTGGTAGGACGCCGAGTCCGGCGACAGCGAGTCGCGCCGCGCCTGGCGGCCGCCCTCGCCCTCGCCCCAGACGCCGGGCGGCAGGCACGAGTCGTCGATGGCGGTGCTCTGGCGCCGCAGCCGGGGGAAGCGGACCGGCGAGTGCTGGTCCCGGCCGTGGCCGTCCCGGCTGTGGCGCCGCTCGGGGGAGGCGTGGGCGCGGGAGTCCCTCCTGCCGGGCTTGCTGGTGTACACCTGCACGGGGGGGCACAATTAGCAACCAGCGCGCTGTATGGTCGAGTACCCGATCGTACCCGCGAGCAGGGATACAGTGGCGCCGGCGAGGCGGGAAGGGGGGGAGGGGGCACAGATTGCCGAAAGACCGGTGGAGGTGGTCAAAATACCGGACGCGTTTTGAGCTGCAGAGTCGCTAAATGGGACTCGAACCGAACGTGTGACCCCACCAATGGATTGCTCTCCGAACGAGGAATCCATTAGTGGGGTCACACGTTCGATTCAAGTCCTGTCTAGCGACTCAGGAGCTCAAAACGCGTCCAGAGTTCCAGCCGCCTCCACCGGTCTTCTGGCCCACTGTGGGGTGGTTAGGCAACATGGGGTGTGTTCTGCCGCACCATATGGACGGCCTGCGGCTAGAGAGCCCTCCGGCCCGCCGCTGGGGCCTTTTTAATTTCCCGGCAAGAGGCGCATAAACGTGCAGCCGACATGCCCTCGCGCCGTGCCGCCGCCCATTGATGGAGGCCAGACTGGCGATATGGCGGGGGCCGGGTAACGGCCGGGGAGGGGCGGGGGGGATGTCAATGGAGCCCAATGGCTGCACTGGGGAGGGGAAAGGGGGGCGTCAATGGGGCCCAATGGAACGGCTGCACCGGGGCGCCGCATCACCGCCAGGATATTGCTTGCCAGGCGTTGCCGGGCCACCAGGTCGCCACGCCGGCACCGTCGTCATCACGAGGCCGAACGAGCGACGCCGGCCGGCCGGGGCCCGGGTTCGAATCCCGCCGCCGTCGGCCGGGTCGGCGGGTCACCCACCCCAAGGTGAGGTTTCCCCGCTTTTCCTGCGCACGAATGTGCACTGGATCACATCATTCCGCGCGTCCGTTTCACGTGCACGCGGCGCCCGCGTGATTGATGACGATCTCTCTCTCTCTCTCACTCTCTCTCTCTCTCTCTCTCTTTCTCTCTTACTCTCTCCTTACTTTCTCGACGCGGCACCGCGGCACGGCGCGACAGAGACAGACGAATGGCCCGGGGGCTCGGGAGACCACCTCTCGGCGCGGCTTGAAGCCTGCAGCTTGGGTCTCAACGACGCCGTCGTCGCCCTGTCTCTCTCGCACTCGAGGGTCGTCCCATAGGGGTGCGAGAGAGACGGGGCGACGAAAGCGCAGTTCGGAATCAAAACGGCTGAGTAACGACCTGCCGCGATATGGCAGTCCCGGCAATTTCGCAATCTGTCTGGCACGGTGACGACCTCCACGACGACCGCGTTCGCAAACGCTGGGAGAGAGAGAGAGAGAGAGAGAGAGAGAGAGAGAGAGAGAGAGAGAGAGAGAGAGAGAGGGGGGGGGGGGGAAACGCAACTCTTTTCCGAGACACGAGTCTTGGTTCGTTGCGCCTGCGGCTAGACCAGTCCAGGGACCAGGGGGACCAAGTGTCTGTGGCTTTGCATCCTCGCGCCTCGAGAGTTGGAGTGTGAGTGAGTGACTGACAGAGTGAGTGAGTGGGAGAGGCAGGGCGTTGCGTTACCTGCGTGGTGGAGTCGCGGCGCGTGGAGCTGAGCTGGGGGTGCATGCTGGAAGGCCGCACGGGGGACAGGGGCGCGGTGGGCGTGGTGGCGGGGCTGGCTGCGTGCGCGTGCCCCGGCGTGCTGCTCCCCGGGGTGGTGGGTCCGGGGTGGCTCTGGTGGCCGCTCTGGTGGCCGTGGTGGCCCGGGCCGTGGTGGCCGGGCGACGGCGGGCCGCGCAGGCCCTCGCCCACGCTCGTCACGGGCAGCTGGAACGCCACGGTGGAGTTGGGCGCCGGCGAGGTGGACTGCGAGGCCGGCGAGGTGGCCTGCGGCGGCGTCACCGAGCTCATGATGATGGTGGGGCATTGCAGCACGGTCTCTGCGCGCGAAACAACGAGGGTAAGGATGCAAACAGAAACAATGTGCGAGGAAGCGTGAAAAGAAACAATCAAAAACTTAAAGTGAGTTACACTGTCACATAAAACACCAAGCTCGCGAGTCTTACAGAGGGATTCTGGTCGCGTCCGTCCCGGCCCCGTCCCGGCCCCGTCCCGGCCCCAGCAGCAGACAATGGTGACACGCTGCACGGACGGGGCGGCCGCTACGCCGCTACGCCCCCGATGTCACCACTCTTACGATGTTTGCTTTGCTCGCTGCCCCCGCCCGCCTCACAGCGCCCCGCACAGCGCCCCGCACAGCGCCCCGCACAGCGCGGCGCGGCGTCCCCAAAGCCATGTCTCTTGTTATCTATCATCTCGTTTCCCTGTTTGTCCTCCATTCTCGCCCCTCCGCCCCCGCCGAGCTGGCAGCCCCGCCCCGCCCCGCCCGGCCGCACAAAGGGGTGTATTGGCTGCGAAAGGAGGGTAGCGAGCCGCCCAACGCAATAACGACAGGCAGCAGGCTGCGTCCGCTCGGTGCTTTCGTCGCTCTGTCTCCCTCGCACCCCTGGGGCCCTAGGGGACGCCGCACGAGTGCGAGAGAGACAGAGCGCTAAGCAGCCTGCCGCTGGGTGGCTCCGGACAATGCCAGCCCTGGCCCTGGGCTGGGGGGCTTCGGACGGTCGTGAACCCGCCGTCCCGCCGACAGGGTGCTTTAAGTAGGTTCGGAAACTCTGCTTCGGCGGCCGCCGGTTCGACAAGAGCCGCCGGAGGTTTTCCCGCTGAGGACGTAAGCGCGGCCAGGCGGCCAGCAGACTGATTCCGAGAGTCGTTTTCGTCGCTCCGTCTCTCTCGCACCTATACGGGACGCCCCATGAGTGCGAGAGAGACAGAGCGACTCAGTCTGCTGGGCTCAGCCGCCGGGGCGGGACGGGCGTATACGAGCTGCAACGTCATGGTGGCAGGGCGCTCTAGGCGGCGGCGAGGCTCAGCTTGTCAAAACTATGTTCATTTGCGACGTAAAGGAAATCTCCACGTCGGGAGAGGATGCGCGCAACGCTTTCCTCATTAGTGTAGCGAAAAGGCTTATGGCTCTGGCGCTCGCGTTAAGCATGAGGGCGCGCGGCTCGGAGGAGGCGAGAGCGGCGAGAGAGCTCTGGAGTTCTGAGGACGGGAGTCTGGCTGGCTGCAGCCGAACGAAGACGCCGCCGCGCGGTGGCGCCCCCTGCCGAGCGCAGCGCCAAGCGCCAAGCGCCGCCGGGAATACCCCGGCCGCTGGGCGACGGGGGTGGCACGCCGAGGGGCGCAGTGCAGTGGCGTAGCGTGGCGTAGCGCTGGTGGCGATACCCCGCGCCACGAGGGCCACTCGCGCCACTCACTCGCCCTCGACTACGCTCGGCTCGCCAAGGGCCTTCTCAGCATCGCCTCCCTGCCGTAGGCGCTGCTGCACTGCCAGGCCAGGTGGTCGGCATCATTCGATTACCTCCTGGAGGACGCAACCAAGTTGGCGCGAAATGGGACGAGGCGTCACGGCCGTCGCGGAGGGGCACATAACCTCGAAAGGGTCGCGGCGGTCGGCCCGCCGCGTGCCTCGGTCGTACCTGTTGCGTGCGTGCTGGTCTCGATGGTCCTGTGCTGCTGGTGCTGCTCGTGGTGTCGCTGGGACTCCTTTTGTGCCGACGGCACCGACTCCCTGGGAGGCACCGGCGGCGGCACCACGGCGACGACCGTCCTGTCCGTCGAGTCCCTCCTGCCGCCGACCCTGTTGGCGACAGCGGAGTGTGTTTACGTTCCGACTTGTCGTCTGCTGTCTGTCTGCTCGGAGCCGGAAGGGCGCGAAATGCCCACACTGACGTCATTTGATGTCATTAAGACTGCTTGTAGTTAAAATTTCGACAGACAAATGTCATTTTGGTTGAGATAATGAAGTCATTCTGACTGTTTTGACTACTTCCCGAGTGCTTCGCGTGTTCTTTGGGAGGGCGGAAACGCTGTCGTTGCGCCCAGGTTAGGTTAGGACACAAATTTTGGAGGGAAAACGGGAAGGGGACTGGCGGGCACTGAAATCGCGAATAATTCATGGACTCTCTCCGTTCGCGCGTTATCGGACTTGTCGATAATTATCCGAGCGACGGAAAGGGGGAGGGGAAGCGAATGGGGCGGAAGCCTCAAAACCGAATCAGCGGATCATTTTATTTCGCGTTGCGAGTTCCGGTCAATTTGGTCCTCGCACCACATCAAGTCCGTGACGTCATGGTGACGTCGTCCGCGCTGCCGGAAGTAATCAACTTTCCAATCACGACTCCGCGGCGCGAAGCGAGGGTGGATTTGAATTAAACAGGGGGAATAACTTATTGGCGACGTAAAAAAAAAAGAAAACAACAAAATAACCGGAAGAGCGTCGCCGTGTCGTCAATTAACGGGATCCCGTCGCAAATCGATCAACGGCGGCGAGAGTCTTCTAATTACTTTCTGCATCGTCGGAGAGGAAGGCAACAGAAAATAAACTGACAGCCGGATGGGAGGTCGAAAACAGGCGGGAACGGCCAAAACTCCAGACGCTTTTTTAGCTCCAGAGTCGCTGAATGGGACTCGAACCGAACGTGTGACCCCACCAATGGATTCCTCGTTAGGAGAACAATTCATTGGTGGGGTCACACGTTCGGTTCGAGAACTGTTTAGCCACTCTGGCGCTCAAAACGCGTCCGGGACTTTGACCGCCTGCACCGGTGCGGCACTCACCCCTTGCCCTTGGGCGACGCGATGGAGTCCCTGCGCGAGTACTCGCCGGAGCCGCGGCGCACCGACTCCCGGTGTTTGGAGCCGGTGGAGGCGCCGGAGCCGCGCCTGCCCGAGGAGCCGCCTGCGCCGCCAGAGGGCAGCACGTCCTCGCTGGTGACGCTGGTGACGCTGGGGCCGTCATCCTGGGTGCACGCGTCCCGCTGCTGCTGCGCCAGCGACTCGCGGCGCGCCACGCGCTTCTGCTTCTCGCGCAGCTTCTTCTCCTCCTGCTGCTTCCGCAGCGGGGCGTTGATCTCCCGCGGGACGGCGTGCAGCACCGAGTCGCGCCGCGACGACCAGAGGCGCGCCAAGTCCGACCGGAAGTCCGAGAAGCCGGAGGAGGACTGCGACTCCCGGCGCGCCTTCACGGAGCTCCTGCAAGGCGGAGGAGGAAATGATTTGGGGCTCGGCCGATCAGCAGAGTCGCTCTGTCGCTCTGTCTCTGTCGCGCTCGTGGCGTAAAGGGCGCGAGACAGACAGATAGGCGGAAGGCTCTCCCGAAGCAGGGGGCAGTGACTGGGCGCACCCCCAGGCTGGACGAAACGTTGTGCGGAATCGGTCTGCTGCAGACGGGCCTTGGTCTGTACTAGACTCTGTAGCAGTTCCAAGAGAGGCCGCTTCCTCAAACAGGAACAGCCAAGAGGAGAGATATCACGGTCCAGGTTGTGGTCGGTGTTTGCTGTTTGCACGCTCGAATTCAGTTCAAACAAACAACACGGTTCTAGATAAATTTCGCGGGAAGAGTCCAGTTCAAGTTTCCATTTTACTAAAAATAATTTCCTTTTTCGCGGGTAGACATAAAAATAAAACGTGGAATTCTGTTAAGCTGCCGGTCCTCGGGCGCGGTGGCGCGGTGCGCGGCGGCCCTTGGGACCAGACGGCGGGGCACGGCGGGGCACGGCGGGGCACGGCATGCCGCTGCCGAGCGATTCAGAAGGGAGTCGTTTCGTCGCTCTGTCTCCGTCGCACTCGTGGGGCTGCGTGGGGCCCCCCGTGGGTGCGAGAGAGACAGTGCGAGCGGCCCTTCAGCCTCCGGACAATGGCAGCTGATTGTCGACTGTCGAGGGTACATATTTAATGGGGCGCCATTCGTTTTGCGAGACCGAAGGGCCGAAGGCACCGCAGGAAGGACGAGGCCGGAGCGCCGGAAAAGAGGCAGAGTTGGATTTTGCGGCAGACACTCCCATTTCGACCAGCAGACTGATCTCGAGAGTCGTTTTCGTCGCCCTGTCTCTCTCGCACTCATGGGGCGTCCCCATAAAGTTCGGGCAGCTCGGCGAGCAACACTCACGGCCGCTGGCGAAGATCCTGGATGTTTGGTTATCTGCAGAGGACTCTCGGCGCTTGCGCAGGGCCGCGGCGCTGTCGGTGGAGCGCGGCCAGGGCAGGCTCTTGGCGATGTCGCCCAGCGTCTCCCTGCGGTGCAGCTGCGCGTCCTTGCGGGTGCCCTTGGTCTCGGAGCCGCCAGCTGCCACACCGCGAAAGGGGTTAGTTCAGGCCACAGGGTCAGAGGACCGGTGGGTGCGGTCAAAACTCGAGACGCGTTTTGAGTTCCAGAGTCGCTAATCAGGACTCGAACAGAACGTATGACCCTACCAATGGATTCCTCGTTCGGAGAGGAATCCATTGGTGGGGTCACACGTTCGGTTCGAGTCTCATTTAGCGACTCTGGAACTCGAAACGCGTCCAGAGTTTCGGCCACCTCCACCGGTCTTCTGGCCCACTGTAAGTTAGATGGCCAGACTGCACTCACTCCAGTCGCGCAGGATGTCGGTGAGCTGCGCGAGGGACGACCGCCGTCGCCGGCTCTGCGGCGGCGGCGACGTCTCCCGGATCTCGTTGGGCGGCGAGATCTGCGAGATCTGCGTGGCCGAGTCCCTGCGGCCGCCCAGCCGCTGCCGGATGGTGTTCTCCTCCTCCTGGCCCCGCATCAGGTCGTCCCAGCCGTTGCCGCCCTGCCATACCAGCCCGACCTGGTGGCTCAGGATGGGCAGGTTGCACACGAAGCAGATGGCCGTCATGGTCCTGCAAACCGTCAAGGGTGCCTTCAGTGGGGCGGTACTCTCCCAGTCCTCTCAGCGGCGTCGCACCGATAGTACACAGTGGGCCAGAAGACCGGTGGAGGCGGTCAAAATCCTGGAGGCGGTTTGAGCTCCAGAGTCGCTAAATGGGACTCGAACCGAACGTGTGACCCCACCAACGGATTGCTCTCCGAACGAGAAATCCATTGATAGGGTCACACGCTAGGTTTGAGTCCCATTTAGCGACTCTGGAGCTCAAAACGCGTCTAGAGTTTTGGCCGCCGGCGCCGGTCTTCTGGCCCAGCCAAGGGTGGTTCCTTAAGGCACGACCCCATCCCGATCCAGGCGCGGATCCAGGTTTGTACCCAGGAGAGGGTAGTGCAGCGATTTTTACCTGCTTACAGGGGCAAAGCGATGTTTTTTTTTCAACCTTTCAGACCTCATACCTAGGGGGGTAAAGACTCACATGACGCCCCCTCCTGGATCCGAGCCCGTCCCCAATGTGCGGTGAGGTTAGGCTCAACACGCAGCTACAAGTCTAACAGGTGTATTCGGCCCGCTACTCAGCATTCTCAAGTATCTAAACACACACCATTTTCTTTTAAAGTTTCTGTTGAATCTACTGTCCTGCTCACCGCCACTTATCCGTTTTCTATAGGTACATACCCTCACATAGAACTAAAGTATATGAAACTAACAAATATTAACGGTACTTAGAATAACAACGCACGATTACGTACAAATCAAATCCCGTTACACAATTTATCTATCTCAAGCATGTGAAAGCCGGTAAATCTAATATTTACAATAAGTAATAGTATATAAGTTATCCATACAGACGACAGAACAATACGAAGAAATTAAGGTAAAAATTCAACCCTACTGTTTTTATACTTTTGTGACCGAACTAAATACATTTTACAGTGTGGAAGAGACTGAGCTAACTAGTTGGTGAGTCCCGAAGTGCCGAGTGAATGGAAGCAACAGTTGGTGGGGTTGTCGTCCACCAGGGAGCACCTGGCCACCGCCGGATAGGCAACTCAAACGACTTACCCTTCAATAAGAACGTGCAGCTCACTGAACCCCAGTCGGTTCCATTTCACCCAAACATGCATTATTTTCAGAGGCTCTCTTCCCATTGGCTGTCCCTGGATGCCCGCGAATCAGTGTCGATTCCATTTTTCGTTCAGAATGTTGGACTCCCTTGTCTTCTTCGAATCGTTCACCATCCCGTGGATCTTGCGCGAACCCACATGATCGAGCAGCATTTTCCCCAAGTAGTGGTGTGGCTTCTTGTCGTTGGCTTGCACCGCGGCAGGTACACCCTAGAATACGTGACGTGCATGCAGCTACAGTGGAAGCGAGGCCGGCGATACGTACTACTCAGTGTGAGAGAGACAGGCACTGGTACAGGTGCGGGTGCAGAGAAAGCGATGCCAAGTCAAGGACCTGTAGTGGCGAAGTCTCGGGGACGGGGACGGCATGGTTGCCATGTCTCATTCTCAGTCCGCGGTGGCAGCCCGCGGGGCGCGGGGCGGTGGGGGCCTGGTCAGGCGGCCTGGCCTGGCTGGGCCTGGTCACGAGTCAAGGGCCTAGCTCCCCAGGCCCCCAGGCCCCTGGGCCCCCCAGGGGGCCGCGCCAGGCCGCGGAACACCGCGGAACACCGCGGAACCTCCGGGCTGCCTAGAGTGGGGCCCCAGGGCCAGCCCCTGGGCCGGGGCTGCAACGGACAAGGACAACAACAGGCTCACTCTCACAGCAGGGGAAGCAGGGCACCATGCAGAGGGGTGCTTGTAGATGTTGTCAGCGATCCGCGCGGCTGGATGGGCAGTGTTTGAGCGCAGGGTCGGTGGTTCGCGTCGGCGTCGGTTTGTTTGTTGGGGGAAAACGCGTCTCTCCGCGTCTAGTTTATTAGGCGGCGTTATTCACTTTGGTAATTGGCGTCCTTGATGGCCTTGACGGCCTTGACGGCGTGCACGGCGACCTTGCTCGGAGGACGGCGTCGCGTCGCGGCGTCTTTCATTACAGGTTCCGTTTTACCCGTCGGGCTGTCCGCCAGAGAGCGGTGGCGGCGGGGGGCGGCGCGGGGGCGGCGCGGGGGCGGCGTGGGGGCGGCGCGGGGGCGGCAGGACGAGGATGACGGCGCGGGGGCGGTGCAAAGGGGCCGTTCCGACACCGCCAAAAGGGGGCACTGTTTATTTTGTTTTTATTTACAGCCCGCGCGGGGCGTCGCGGAACGGGTGCCAAAGTTTCCGTTATTAACTTTGACGGATGATGGGATATCGGCCTGCAGGCACGCCGGGCGACGCCGGGCGGCCACGAGAATGCGAACGGAGCGCGGCGGGGCTGTGGCAGTGTGGCGGGACTGTGGCGCGAGTCGTGTGAGTAGGCGACCGTAACCTGTTGGAAGAACAATGCGATTAAAGAACCCTTTTTATTATTTTTGTGCGGGGTGGCGGGAAAATTGAGCTTACAGTCAAAGAGAACTGGCGACGGGCCGCGACTGTGACAGTCGGTGGGGCGGGCGCGGGAAGGTCCGCGGCCGCCAAGCGGCGGATCGAGTTCGTCTTCGCTCGCCCTGCAGACTCATTCCGAGAGTCGTTCCCGTCCGTCTGTCTCGCTCGCACCTAATCGAGGCGCCCGTGAGTGCGAGAGACACAGAGCGATCAAAACGACTCTCGGAATCAGTCTGCTCGCGTACCCACTTTAATTAAGGCAAACAAAAGGAGCGCGGCGAATTCGCGACCGCCGAGGCTCGCGTCGAGGCCGTGCCGAGGCCATGCCGAGGCCGTGCTCGTGGTTGGGCGGGACGCAAGGATGAGAAATACAACATCCTTGCCGGGGCGAACGCGGCCGGGGCGCGGCGGGGGCGCCGTGCCATCTCCTCCAGACAGAGAAGGCCGACGACGTGGACGCCGTGGACGTAGACGTGGGCGAGGACGGGGTGGCGGGTGGTGCAGCTAGGGGCGCGGGGGTTGGCGTACGGGCGGGGCGGCGGGGGAGGTTCTGAAGGGGTTGCCTATTCACTCAGGCGTCACCACACAACCACACACACTGTATACCGACCTGGTGGGCGACGGGGCGGCGAGGGTGATGGTGGGCGCGGAGCCGAGCCCCGGGTTCAGCAGCAACTGGGTGGGCAGCTGGGGGAGGGCGGGGGTGGGGGGGTGGGAGGGGTGGCCGGGGGTGGAGGGGGCGGGCCCATCCGAGCACGGCGATGCCTGCAGCGCCTGGAACACACACACACACGCACAATTCTCGTTAGAGCCCTTCTGGAAACTGGATTGCGCCCTTGGCGGCCTTGGCCTCGGCGGCCTGGGCCGTCCCGCCGTCTAATTCGGCGTGCTGTTTGGGGAACGTCTGTGGCGTCAGCGTGGCGCGGCGATGCGAACCTACACCGCAAGGCGTGGCCAAAGGATGGGCAAAAGGGCCCCATTTAGGCCCCGCGCCGCCCTGCGCGGCCCCGCCGTCAAAGGGCTATTTTGGTGCGAGTCCTTCGGCCGGCCGGGAGGGATGATCCCAGAAATGAGGCTGGTCGTCACCCAACGCACGCTGCGGAGCGCGCAGGGTGCTCCCGTCGCTCTGTCTCTCTCGCACCGCAACGGCACGCCCCGTGAGTGCGAGAGAGACGGAGCGTTACGGGGATATGAGCGCGTGCGCCTTTTAGGTAGGCAACCCCTCGGACCCAGGTCGCCGAGGCCCCAAGGCTGACGGGCGGCCGGGCGTGCTTCGCGCGTCGGCCGACAGAGGGCGGTGGCAGCGCGTGGAGCGGGTAGGCCGCCTTGCCGTGCCGCGTTCGAACGGAACGGCGTCCGATCCGGCGAAAACTGCCCTCTTAACGTAACGGTCTCCGCTGCAGAAGTTGGCGCCTTTCGTGTTTGCGTGGGAACGGTTTTCGAAAAAATGCCTGTGACTCGGCCACGGCGACTGAACGCTATTCCTTCTTCATCAAAGGATCAAAGTGTGCTGTACCAGCATGAAATGCGCGGCGTTGCGACATCCAAACCGTCCGGACCGTCATCGACTCTTCCCGTCAACAACAACAATAACAATGCTGACTGACGGCAAACGTGAGCAGATCAACAAACAAGTAGTGAGTTTTCATTACCTATTCCCTTTCATGTCCATTCCCACGATTGGAAACGTCAGCCAGCTGCGCTGACAGCCGAATGACACGGTGTACTTCAGAAAAAATCCGACCTGTGGGGACCAACCCTAACCCTACCCTCGAGTCGAAGGGAAGGGACACTGGGGCTCTGACGCACGGTAAGTATCCGAACTCAAAATTAATCATGTGTAGTTCTAGGTGGCAGCTTGAGTCACTGTAAAATAAATTGTTGTGTACCTTATTTAACTTTTTTGGCCAGTGTTGTACTCAGAGTTCACCATAAACTCAAACCTGGTAATGCGCTACTGAGGGCTGATAGGCCGTAAACTGAGCTAGTGTGTAATACCAGAGCAGGGTTGAGAGTGAGTGTGAAAAACAGACTCCTTTCAAAAGCAATGACATATTTATGCCATGAAACACTTTGTGGTCTGAAGCACGAGCAAGCATTTATTTTTCAGTCCCTTCCGTCAAATGTTATGACGTTGAAAAATTAGGAACAATTTAAACTTACGATAAGTCTATGGGGCATTTAATTATTTCTCCAAACTATACAAAATAACTTTTACTTTGAAGAAGCCTTTTGTGACAAATGAATTAACTACTGGAGGGTACTATAGGTCTCACAATAATCACAACGTACTGCTCAGGACCACAGACTGGCTCCACAGTTGATTTCAGATCATAAATTTCTTTTTCTGTGTAATTCATTTTTGATATTGTTTCTCGCACAAGGACGGATCTAGAATTAGACTGAAAGGAGGGGCAAAGTAGCACCTTTTGCCCACTTGCAGTGGCAAAGTTTTGCTCAGGGGTGAAGTGTTGCCTTTTGCCTACCATTTAGGCGGTTCTCGCCATGCCAAATGAGGGCAAAAGTTGTTTTTCGCCTCGCGGAATGAGTCTGCGGGACAGAGCAGGGACGCACCATCTGGCGGCCCTTCCGTTGGGCCTGCCGTCCGTGGCGCGCACCGCTGCGGCCTGGACATCGGGGCTGCTCGCTGCAGGGTGACTCGGCGCGGTCCGTCTCTCTCGCACTCACGGGACGTGCCGTGGAGGTGCGAGAGAGACAGAGCGACGGCCGCCGAGGAAAGCAAGGGGTGAGGGATGGTCCATGGATCAGCACTGCGGTTTGCACAATCCCTCTCGGGCTCTGCCTGGCTCTGCCGACCAGAAAGGGGCGAACGGGCCGACGGGGGCTCCGTCTGGGCGGCCGAGTCCGGCCCGTCCGGCCGCAGCGGGGGGGGGGGGGGGGGGGGGGGGGGGGGGGGGCGTCCAGCCCCGTCCAGCCCCGTCCGCCCGGCTCGGCGGGCTCAGCGCACAAGGCCGGCTGGCCGGCGGGGCTGGGCGTTGTCCGATTCGGAGAAACACGGACCGACAAACGAAACGGAATAAAACTTCTCCCCTTTTATTTGCTTGTTTATTTGTGTGCGTGCCGGAAACGCTGCGACGGCCATTCTGAGACGCACGACGTGATTGCAGGAAGCGGCGGCCAATAAGCGGGCCGCCCAACGGCTTATCGGCAAAGAAAAAAGTGAAAAATGAAAAACAAAATGAAAAGAATTAGGGAAAGGAAAATTGGCATTCGCGGGCCGTGCTTGAGTCGCCCGATCGTTATTGGCAATCGGGGTTCGCTTCCGCATCCTGGCCACGGGCCGCAGTTGGGCGTGTTGTGGCTGGCGGGGCGGGGCGGGGCGGGGCTGCACTGGCCCCATCAAGGGCTCAAAGGACGCGGCGGCTAGGGCAATATACCCCGGCAGGCCCCGCCGCCAGGCCCCGCCAGGCCGCGGACGTGTTGTGGGCCGCTTTGACGCCAAGTTGGCCCCGAAGTTGGGCCAACGTGGGATGCATTGGAGTATGGGCCGGCCGGAGGCTCGGCGATATCAACCTGAACGGTGGCGGCCTGCAGCGAGTCCTGCAGCGAGTCCTCCAGACACGCTGTCTCTCTCGCACTCGCAAACCGCTCTGTGAATGCGGTGGCCGGCGCGCGGGCCTCCAGCCAGCGGCCATCGGACTCCCTTCAAAGCAACTCGGTCGCTAGCCCCTGCAGGCCCTGCCGAACTCTCTTTCCGAACAGTCGCCCGGCGCTCTGTCTCTCTCGCACGCCCGCGGTGCGCCTCTACAGTGCGAGCGAGACGCAGAGAAACGAAAGGGCGGTTCGGAAGCAGCCCTCGGTAACCAGCGGCCGAAACGACCCGAGCAACGGACAAAGAACGCCAGTTTGCAGTCCAGTGGGCAGGCAGCGGCAGGCAGGCCGGGACCCTAATGACCCCCATGAGGATGGAGGAGGACGACTCGCTGCCGGCCGCGACGGACAGACAGGTAGCAGGCAGACAGACAGGCAGAACGTCTTGAGGTGAGAAATAACGAGACAAAGAACGGCGACGTCGATTGAAGTGCCTCTGGGCCGTCGGGCCGAGGCCGAAAGCCGCTCTCGTCGCTCTGTCTCTCTCGCTCACACAGAGCGCGCCGTGAGCGGCGAGAGGGACAGAGAGGGTGGAGGAACGGAAGCACCGCGGTGCACCGGGGCCGAGGCGGGCCGAGGGGATATCGCCACGCCACCGTTAATGGGGCGTCTGCACAGCGCTCGTCTGGGGGTAGAAATAACGATCATAACGATGCGATCTTTGGCTGGCCGCGCAGCGCAGCGCCGCGATGCTTAGCAACGGCTGCGGCGGCTGCTGCCTCCCGCTGCTGCTGGAATGCGGGGGGGGTGGGGGGGGTGGGGTGGGGGGCGGGGGTGAGGCGGAGCCTCCGGCGAGGAATCTATTCCAACTTTCTCGCGGCGTCTACAATGGCATTTGGCGAGTTTGCCATTGACTCAATTTCGCGCCCGCCCACGCACCGCCGCGGTCGGACTCGCTTACTGGAGTACGTCGTGGCGGGGCGGGGCGGGGCGGGGCGGGGCGGGGCGGGGCGGCCTTGTAAATTCCATTGGGGCGCCCAAAACGAAAATATATCTGATTCCATTCTGGCCGCCCTGCCACGGTGGCCTGGCCGCTGCTGCGCCGCGCTGCTTCCCATTAAATGGACTCGAGTGGCGGCCGCGGCCGTGATGGCTCCTCGAACTAAATGCCGTCGTCGGCCTTGCCACTCGACTTGCCCGTTCCCCTCTCGAGTTATCCAGGTAGCCTTGCCGTGTTTCGCGTCTCGCCAAGTCTGTCGGCGCGCGCCCGGCCGAGGCTGCCTTGCCCTGGCGTGGCCCCGGCGTTGCCTCGTTGAGTTGTAAAAATTAAAATTCCGGGCCAGGCGCTCACGCGGCGGGCGGACAGCAAGAATGCGGAGCGCGGAGCAGAGAAACTGGCGGCGCTGGGGGCGTGGCGTGACGGTGCGTGCCGGGGCGGGGCGTGCCGGGGCGGGGCGGGGTGGGGCGGGGTGGGGCGGGGCGGGGCGGGGCGGGGCGGGGTGGAATCAGGCCGAGGCCAGGCGCCCCCACCGACATTGTTCTCCTGGCTGCTGCATGCTGGTGCGGCCTGCCTCGATAATAACGCCGTGAAAAAAAAACAACAAAACAAAACAAAAAAAAAGTGAAAAAAAAAGAAAAGCGCTTGCCATCCTGTTGTCGCCGTGCCGGAGAATCTGCAGCCACCAAATGGCCGCCGTGCTGCGCGGTGCTTCGCGGTGCTTCGGACTATTTCCAACTAAAGACGCGCCATTATCGTGGCCAGCCAGCCGGGCCACCGGGCCTTTCTTCTCCCACCTCGCTCTTTTGCATGGCGCTCCCCCGCCCCGCCCCGCCCCGCCCCGCCCCGCCCTGCCCACGGGGAGACCCCCCTCTGATAGTGTCACTGCTTGGCGGCGCTGACAATGCGCGACGCCAGCGCCACCTGGCGCCGTATCGTCAATCAATTACGACTCGAGCGCGAGCAGCGCGAGCAGCGCGAACAGCGCGGCGTGGCAAAGCGTGCCGTTCGTTGCGTGCGGCCCGCACGCCGTGGCACGCCGCGCCTTCCGGAAGGGCTGCTGCGCCGTGCCGTGCCGCGCCAGCCGAAACGTCCCCCGCAGTTGTTCCCGGCCTGAGCCCGGCACCAGACTGATTTCGAGGGTCGTTCTCGTCGCTCTGTCCCTCTCGCACTCATGGGGCGTCACCTGCAGGTGCGGGAGAGACGGAGCGACGAGAACGACTTTCAGTGTGCTGGCTTTTGCCCGCTCGCGGGTCGTTAGGTACTCACCACAGCGGCGGCCTATTGTGGAAGCCTCGCGACCTGCAACAGCGGAAAGGCTGGGTGAAAACACGCACAAAAAGAGCGAAATGGGAAACCTGATATTTGATTGCGGCGCGCTTCGAGAAAGAGGCACGCGGCGAAGTGGGCAAAGTCAGATGGGTACGAGGAGCGACATCTTGTTTTGTTTTCGTCGCCAGCGAGTGCAAACGTCGCAAACGACTTTCGGAATCGGTCTGCAGCTTCTTTTTCCGGCCGTTGCCTCCGCGGCCGCACGATTAAAATCCATTTCGATGCGTCCGCCTCTCTGCCTGTGCTCCGCGTGCTCGGCGTCGGGCGGAGCGTGGCGGCGGTGGACGCGTCTCGGGGACCGGCAGACAGTTGGACACCTCTGCCAGGACCTCTGCCAGCCCTAATTCAGTGCCGCCTCGTCCGCGTCGTCCGCGTCGTCCGCGTCCTCTCCGAGTGGCTGCAGCCGGCAGACTCCCCGGGGCGCTACTTTGGCGGCAATGAACGTGGACTGCTCGCCTGCCAGTGCCGCGCCAGTGGCCCGCCACTACACTGCTAAGCTGCTCGGCGACACCGTGAGGACCGCACAGTGGGCCAGAAGACCGGCGGGGGCGGCCAGAACTCTCGACGCGTTTTGAGCTCCAGAGTCGCCAAGTGGGACTCGAACCGCGCGTGTGACCCCACCAATGGATTCCTCGTCCGGAGAGCAATCCATTGGTGGGGTCACACGTTCGGTTAGAGTGCCATTAAGCGACTCTGGAGCTCGAAACGCGTCCGGGATTTTGACCGGCCCACTGTGCACCGACCGGGGAGGCGTAGGGCCCTCCTCGGAGGGCGCACGGGGCGCGGGGCGGCGAGGCAGCGAGGCAGCGAACGGCGGCAGCGCGCAGCAACAGGTCCCGAGGCCGCGAGACACCCGCCGAGGGACACAGCGGATACAGTGCTGGGCCACTGGGCGAGTATGGTCGGACCGCCTGGCCCCTGGCGCCTGGCACTCGCAGCGAGCGGCAGCGTGGAGCAGCGTGGAGGGCGTAGAGGGCGTGGAGGGCGTGGAGGGCGTGGAGGAACGCAGCAGGCGGCCGCTGGGGACTCTCCCGGCTGCGCCACTGCGCCGCTCCGCCGCTCCGCCTCCAGGTACAGTCAGCCTCAAAAGAAATTATGCCCGCGTCGCCGCGCACCCCGCGCGCAATAAGAGCGAGATGATGACGCAGTGGAGTCGCTCTGGCTCTGCCTGCCTGCCGAGACGACCGGTGGAGGCGGTCGAAATCCCCCACGCGTTTTGAGCTCCAGAGTCGCTAAATGGGACTCGAACCGAACGTGTGACCCCTCCAACGGGTTCCTCTGCGAACGAGGAATCCATTGGTGGGGTCACACGCTCGGTTCGAGTCCTGCTTAGCGACTCTGGAGCTCAAAACGCGTGTGTCTGTGGAGCGCCCGGTGGGCAGGCCCGCCCGGCGCACCGCGGTGCCCCGCAGCCACAGGGACGCCTACCCAGCACGGCGCTTCGGCCTGGCAGGCCTGGCCGAGCAGTGGGGAATCCTGAGGCGGCCTCAGGCCGGCCTGAAGGGAGGGCGGAGAAGCACTTTTTGCTTGCGTAGCGGGCAAAGTGTTGCTTCTTGCCAACCTTTCAGGCGGCTATCGAGCGGTGGGCGATTGTCCTCTCCCTCCAGATGCGCGCTCGCGGCGGACGACCAGCTTTGACAAAGCAGGAGTAGCAAGGCGGTGCCCTCACGGTGTCGCTCTGTCTCTCTCGCACCTGTACGGGACGCCCCGTGAGTGCGAGAGAGACAGCGACGACTCTCGGCATCAGTGTGCTGGCCGTGTCCGCGACGTGACGGGCCGGGCCAGCCACACAGTAAATGTCTTACGGTGAAAGGCTGCACCTACATAATATGGTGGAGATTTTCTCCATAATACCAACGAAATTCGTGAAAATCTCCATAAGGTACAGTGAATTCTCGATGGTATGTTACGAAGTCAGCTGCACCACCATAATATGGAACATTTTCACCATAATATGGAGAATCTTCACTGTAGAACATTTAGAGTGCATCAGACCACTCGCACATCGACTTCCCGGTGGTCGATGCCGCCTTCGTCAACGTCAGCGAACCTGGCAGTGTCGTGGCAGTCCCGTGGCGGTGCCGGCACCCTGGCGGCGTGTACTTCCTGGCTGTGATAGGCGTCGCCGAGGGCCTCGCCTCCGGGCGAAGCGAAGCGCGGCTGCTTGTCCATGTTCTGCTCTGGTCCGCCGCACCGCCGCTCCGAGGACGGCGATGAGCGGCGGGACGTGCCCGGCGGCGCCCGCGGACTCATTCCGAGAGTCGTCGCTCCGTCTCTCTCGCACCCATGGGGCGCCCCGTGTAGGTGCGAGAGAGACGGAGCGACGAGGCGGTCTGCAGGGCGTGCGCCAGGTGTAAGCCGGCGAGATTGGTAGGGCCGGGCCGGCGGTCGGGCCGGCGACGCAAATTTGCTCAAGGGGGTCGCCTTGGCTGTCCTGGCTGCCCCGCTTTCGCCTTCACCTTCCTTGACGCTGCCGCCGACGCCACCGAAACGACAAGCATGTCCCCCGGGCCCCGCGGGCGGCGCGCGCGTCGGCCCAAATTAAAAGCCGAGCTCCCCGGTTTTAATATTCTCGTTTTATCGAGTGAAATGCGTTTTCTCTCTTCGTCGGCCTGCGCATCATGTTTCCCACCTGACCCTGCAGGCCTTGATTGCCTCGGGCAAACAATTCGCCGAACTGCGGAGGGAAATGCTGCCGAGAGAGAGAGAGAGGAGAGAGAGAGAGAGAGAGAGAGAGAGAGAGAGAGAGAGAGAGAGAGAGAGAGAGAGAGAGAGAGAGAGAGAAAATGATGAGGCGTCTCTGATGGACTGTGTGATGGACGCGATCCCACTGCGCCAGGTCCCCGCATTCACGGCTTAATACCGCTGCGTTTCGGGCACACACACACACACACACACACACACACACACACACGCACACACAGACGCACAGATTCATATGCGTGCTATGCCTATCGCAGCACACAAGCCCTGCCCGCATGCAGCGCGCGCACTGACCAAAATAGCAGGAACGTGCCCGCTGCCGCGGCTGCCGCATACAAGGCGCAGGTCGCACACACACACACACACACACACACACACACACACACAAATCCTGGCCCTCTCTCTCAAACACGTACACAAACCCACTCGCCCAATGTCCCTCTCCCCCTCACCTCTATGCTGATCTGGCTGCTGATGGGTTTGCCCGTTCTACGGACGGCGCACAGGTGACGAAGGCCGAACGGGTTACATTTGCCGGGGTTTGCATTTGTTATTGTGTGCGCAAACCGGGGCCAGTCCAGGGCCGCCTCTCGATTGGTGCGCTGCAACCCCCACCCTGTCGCTCTGTCTCTCTCGCACCCCCACGGGGCGCCCCGTGAGTGCGAGGGAGACAGGGTGACGCCTCCTGGGGGCTCGAAGACAAATAGTGGATGCTAATCAAGCAAGCACCCCCCCCCTCTCCCCGCTGATATGCGCACACTAGCGCGCGAAAGCCGTGCGGCTGAAATTTATGACTTGATATCGGAGAACGCGCCGAGCACGGACCGCTAGCCGTTTTCATATCCGCACATCTGGGTGAGTGAGTGGAGCTGTCTGTCTGTCTGTCTGTCTGTCTGTCTGTCTGTCTGTCTGTCTGTCTGTCTGTCTGTCTGTCTGTCTGTCCGCCCGGCCGTCCGCCTGCCCCTGTCGACCGCAGCCAAAATAAGGCGTGGTCGGCGAGGTCTCGAATTTAATTTGGCGACGAATGCCAAAGTCGCGAGCGAGACGCGGCAGTGAGAGCGCGTTGTGGATCCGCGTCAGCCTGCCTGCTGCTTCTCGTTAGCCCGCCTGCCATTCCGATTCTGGTCGCGTTTTGTTTGCTTCCGGAATCATTCATCGGCTGGGAATCGCGGAGCAATCCGAACGGGCCCGTCATGTCTGTCTGTCTGTCTGTCTGTCTGTCTGTCTGTCTGTCTGTCTGTCTTCGAGATTTTGACTGCCTCCGCCAGTCTACTGGCCCACTGTGGGCGACGGCCTGCCTGCTTCATCCCGCAAGCCGCTATGCCGGGCAATATCACAGAGCGTCGCATTCGCACGGCAAGGCACGGCAAAGCATCCCCCGAGCGCGTTCCGAGAATCACGCCAAAACGTCCGTCGTTTTCTATTTCTGTTTGGGAAACGAGGAAACCGACCCGCCGCCACGCCGCGCCTCGTCGCCTCAGGTCGGCGATGTATTTGCTCGGCGCATGCAGCGCAGCAGTCTCTCTCTCTCTCTCTCTCTCTCTCTCTCTCTCTCTCTCTCCCTCCCGTTAGAGACGCCCCATGAGTGCGAGAGAGAGAGAGAGAGATAGTGGCCGATAGAGGGCCGTGTGCGACGACCTGACGAGCGGTCGGGTAAATATTTGGCGGGAATGGGCGCGCAGCGTGGTTGCCCCGCGTTACCCGCGTTACCTGCTGCGGCCTGTACTGACGCGAATACCAACCGCCCCCGCCCCCAATCTGGGTAACTAAATGCAGATTGCCATCGGCGGATTTGCATCCGGCCGACCTATCTTGTTGGCCGCGGCACGTCTCACTCTTGGAAGAGAGAGAGAGAGGCCTTTATTTTTCTCTGCCTCGATGGCGCATGGCAGAAGCCAGTGGGGCGGTGATGCAAAACGCAGATCGGGCGGGACGAAGTGGCGGGGAGAAAAACAACGACAATAATGAGGAGGTAAAATAAAAGATTGGAGACTGCTTCGCCGCTCCGGCCCCGCCCGAGTGGGGAAATGCAACGGCAGGCATTCCCTCCGCTTGATACACTGCGTATTGACTGACTCGGCCGAATGCCGCGTGTACCGTCGAGTTGTTGTGGCATTTGGTTGCCGGGGCCGTGGGCTCCGCACTCCGCACACCAGAAACGGTGCCCGGTTTTCCCAGGTAGTAGAGATGTCATTGGCCATTTCCAGGGAGTTCCAGGGAAAACCAGGAACCGTTTCCACCATGCAGGCTGCCTGGAGAAAAACGCA